CGTTAACGATCTATACTCTTAACCGTACTATTGCCTAATAGGCCTTACTATAGGATAGGTCCTTTTAAGGTATCGAGGAACGATACTAGGTAGAGCGCCGAGTAGATCTATACCGAGGTATTGGTCTGCTCGTGAGTGTTATTAAGTTATAATCAAGTAAAGAGTCATAGTAGTCTAAAAGGTAAACATAAGTAACAATGTATGATTGAAGACGAAGAACTATACTAAGTATATGAACGAGTGTCCTTATATATCCTTCGTGCCTACTCCCTAATCTACCCCCTAGGGGTCGATACTAGAGTCACTATATACTCCTAGGTATACTCCTATAGAGTAGTTCCTAGAGTCACGCTTAGTTAGGTATATCCTACGATCAACCTTTCCCTATAAAATACTGGGGTTATACTTAGCCAAGTATATCCTACGGTAGTCCTACGACTAGTCCTATCCTAGGATAAGCCTAGTCCTACGATATGCCTTAGTCACGTGTCTCACTCACTAGATCCCTAGGGATCCTATGATGGTTGCTGTCGTGCGATAGCCTATGTCGTAGGATCCGTGGTTCCTTACGATATGACTTGTCTTGAGCTCGTTGACACCGTTTGTTATTCTGTATCATGAGAGTATAACGGAAAGACCATGTATTTCCGTGGTGCATCACGTGACTTGTTGGTTGGTTGGCTCTCGGTGGCCTATCGGTGTGGCTTGTGGATCTCCGCTGATTGGTGACGGGAGTGCCCGTAACATTATAGTCTTTAAACCAAGTTTATTTAGTGTTTAACTTATATATCTCTATATTAAAAGTGTGAATAGTTTGAATAGAATTCTTTCGTCTTCCTAATATAAAAAAAGTCCACCTTATATCTAAATTAAAGATATTTTAAAACAAAATACATTTCTTATAAGGAATGCTATACGGATATATATATCTATAATATATATTTCTACTATAATACAGACTGATTACTTCCACCTCACTTAGTACCTCTTCCCTATAGTCGTATAGTGTAAAAAAAGTATAGAACTAAGAGAACTATCATCAAAATATAATATTATCAAATAATTCTAGAATATTTAACAACTTTAATAGTCGCGAGTCGGTGTTCATAGTCTAGTGGACAAAACATATATAAATAACAGTATTCTATTAAGAGAAGTAAGCAGTTTTATCCACCTTAATTAGGCTTAGCGCTAGAAATTTATACATTTGAGGGTCGCTACGGGTCGTGGAGGGTCACCCGTGAGCGACGCTTGGAGGGTCAGGGTCAGGGTCAGGGTCGCTCACGAGCGACCCTAACCCTCGGAGGGTCGGGTAGAGGGTCCAAGATCATGGACCACCCGGAGGGTCACTGCCAGGTCTACTTAGCACTTATATTTAGCTTATATAACGAAGGACGGTCGTCTTTATAGACCTCCTAGCATTTCTATATAGGATACCTTATAAAGTTTCTACTATATAGGTATTATTTCCTCTATATTAGTACGTCTCCCTACCTAGCTTCTTTAGCCTTTATTAGTTTAGGCTTTACTTCTTTATGGTTTTACTAGGTTGAAAAGGCCGCTTTCGACATATTGTTTTTCGAAAATTGCTTTATATAGGTGATTGACTAGTGAGCTTTATACTAAGTAATAAGCTCACTAAATTTAACCTCCCTACCTTCGAGTATCACTATCTATTAATTATAAAAGTATAGTGATATAACTAATATAGTATCTAGGAACTAGATATTAGCATCCTTTACTTTAGTGATACCTACCTTTATATAGCGAGTATAAAGGGTTTCCTAGTTTAATAGCTATATATTAATATCTATATTTCTATCTAGCCCTTAGTCTAGATTTCTCTATTAGTGACGAAGCTTAGTAAGGTATGTTAGATCGTAGTCTAGTGAGAATCTTATCCTCAGATTTCGAAGTAATTTATATGCTAAATCCTAAGAGATAATGAAGGCTTAGAAGCTTAGGTGAATACTATTTCGTATAGCTATTACTATAATACTTAATCCTTTCCTCTTCTTTATATATCTATTATCGGCGATCGACTAAACTAACTACTTAGCCTTTAAGTTCTTATACCAATCTTATCCTAGCGTCGTTACTCGTTCTCGAACCTCTTAGAGATTAGGTTCTTAAGGTTATATTAGAGCAGCTAGCTCTTTTTCTTTTAAAGGATTATATAGCTCCTAGACGTTAAATTGATCGGCAATTCCTCTAATATTAGTAAGCTATAGTTCCTATATTATTATATCTTATAGGATAACGCGGGTAGAGGCCGCAGAGAGAGTATGATCTGCTATTCGTTATCTTTTTTATAGATAGAAATCCCGTTTTTCTTCGATTTAGGGGTTGCTTCGACGGTGGGTGGTTAAACTTTCAACTTAGCATTGACCGGCGACAGCGAGGTTTATTAATCTTAACAAATATAGATCATATTATTGAACGATTCCGGGCTCATAACTAACAGAAATCTGGCTATATGACAACGTATGGACAAAATCAGATATATTAGAATCTCTAACTAACTAAAATAACAAAACCCGCGGTTTTCAACAATCTGTGCGGACATAGATGACTAACTGTAATATGCACTTTTGTATGGTATGGATGGTACCATTTGTCACATGATTTTCTGGGTATTATACCTTGTTTCCGCCATGTATTCAATCTTAGTATTCGACAATTTGTACTAACCGGCCCCTCTTTTTTTTACCAAAAATACGGACCCTCGCAAGCGAGGGTCCTTCACCCACATGAACAGGATCATCTAAATGAACAATTTTTTTAAATCCTACCACTTTCTCTTGAATTGTTAACCACGCCACCCACCATGCCTAAAGACAATAGAGATATAGAGGATCTGATTCTTAAAGCTATCGACTCTCTCTCTGAGCAATCTAAACCTAATATCTCGAAAACTGCACGAGAATTCGCGGTTCCAATTGGACGACTACAACGCCGGTGGTTAGGTGGAAAATCGCTTTTTCAGCGTCAACCTAACGGTCGGAAACTAAGTCCTAGATAGGAGAAGGCTCTATATGAATATATCGATTACTTTGACTCCGTGGGAGCATCGATAAATCGTCGTCAAATTGCTATCGCAGCCAATTCAATTCTCGAGGATAACCATACCGATTCGGCCACGAAACCCCCCTAGATCGGCGACTAGTGGCTAAAACGTTTTATAAAACGGCATCCCGAGTACCATATACGACGCCGGCGAGCTCTTAACGTTAAGAGAGCTTCTGCACTTAATAAAACTATAGTAGAAAGGTGGTTTCAAGACTATCAACGTGTGGTGACTAAGTATGGTATATGCTAATAAGACATCTACAATTCTGACGGAACTAGCTTTCAAATCGGCGTCGGACGGGATCAATTCCTTATTATAAGAGAGCTAAAAAAGAAGCTATTTAATAGATCTGTCACTAATCGAGAATCTATCACTATTTTAGAGGCTATTTCTACTAATGGTTTTACCTATCCACCACTTATTATTTTAAGTAGAAAGTAGGTATTACTACGCTAGTTTGATAATATTAAAGAAGATAAGTATATAGCGGTAACTAATACCGGTTATATTAATGATTAATTAGTATATTAATAGATTCAGCTATTCTATAAGTGGACGATTAATCGTACGCTTGGTAGAAAGCGGCTGGTGTTATACGACCGTTTTAGCTCCTATTTAACACGCCAATTTATTGAATTTTATGAGAAGAATAATATCATTTTATTCTTCTTACTCTTATATACCAGCTATATACTACAGCCTCTCGATATAGGAGTGTTTAGCGTCTATAAACACTAGCATAGTGAGGCTATTAAAGCGGCTATAATAACTAGATGCCGCAAATTCTTAAAGGATGAATTCCTATATTATATCGCCGAAATCAGACGAAAAACCTTCTAGCCGTATATAATTAAGCTTGGATTTAAATTGATAGGCCTCTAGCCTACCAATCCCAAGCTTATTACTAATGAATTGGAGTCGTATGATCCATATCATAACAATTTACCCCGGCTGGATACCCCGTCAACTAGCTCTCAAAACACGGAATTCAGCACTCTAAAAACAGCTGAGAGAATTCGAAGAATTAGCTCTCGTCTCAGTTAGTACGATCCTACCACTCAGCGTTTCAAAGACGGGTTAGAAAAGCTTGTAAAGAGCGCTAAAGCGCAGGCTATATTAGCTCTCCAGCTATAGCGGGAATTCGATCGTACCTAGGCTATTATAGGAGCGCGCCACGCCAGATATGACAATTCCCGCCGTCATATATAGATCACTAGTATCATATCTTCTACCCAGGTGAAAGCAATGAAGCGAAAGGAATACAAATTGGACGAAAAGGCGGATCAAGAAAAGACCAAGCGCAAGTGGAAGAAGGTGTTGATCGAAATCAGGAAGCATGGAAGAGCCAAAAAACGCCGGGGAGATTAAATTGTTTTTGTATTATAGTAGTAAAATGGCTAATTGATTTCTTTACTATTTTTAATTAATTAATTTACTACATGGTGGTATGTAAAAGTGAGGTTAAAGTGGAAGATTGAAAAAATTGATCATTTAGATGATCCTGTTCATATGGGTGAAGGACCCTCGCTATGCGAGGGTCTGTAATTTTGGTAAAAAATGTAAGGGCCGGTTAGTGCTTTCCCATGCGCTTATTGTCATAATTGTAATTTATAGTATAAGGCGAACACTTTTGTCTATTCTTTAGGTTCTATCCTGACTACAACCGATGATGAAAATTTCATACTTTCCTCCACGCCTATAATTTGGACCTGTCAGTTGTTCTATCTGCTATAAAACCAAACTTATACAATTTAGTCATCCGGGCAATGAAGAAGATACCGATACGTATTTTATGCACTGTCTCGAGGCTGCCCAGCCAATAGTGACATTTCTCGGTGTCGTTGTTAAACATGGTGGTCAATTGAACAGTGGGCCCACTCTTCTTCACTACCGTGCTTCGCAACAAGTTTCCACGGAGCAAAGCATTACAATGACCAGCACCCTCACCGAAGATTTATGTGCCTTTAGTGCTATTCTTGATGAGACTGCATCCTCATCTCCAGATGCCGAAGAATATCTGAATCTTCTGGCCCCTCGTTGCCTTGTCTGGTCTGCCCTATTCTTGTATCTCGACAGCTACTGTTGCCCAGAGAAATTAGGCAATGAGCCGGGTTATCCAATCACAGGCAATGCCAAAACGCCAGAAGAGCAGTTCCTACAAGTCAATGCAACACTTGTCGTACGAAGTATTAGCGATCAAGCGCACAATGCTGCATTGAGGATCGCGCAGATATTGGATGGCTGTCTACAAACTCAAGGCAACTTTCGCAGAATAAGTCCATTTGTGCTCGATGCGCTGTACTGCACGATGGCGACGTTTCATTGGGTCCTTCGGGAAGGTGGTGATGATACAATCAGGCTTAGTCTCCAGGATGTTAAGCAATGTTTGCGGAGGTTAGGTGAGGGGTGGCCGTTAGCTCTAGAGTATCTTGCTCTTGAGGATGTGTATGCTACAGCTCCAGCAGATGAGTAATAAAAATAATGCATGACTAGTGATTGTTTGCATGAGATACGGAGAATTTGTTGGCTGCGACCTTGTCAGAATCATTTGGAGGCTGGCTTATCACAGCAGACTTTTGCGAACACATCAATAGTATGTTTCCATACTTTCTTTGCTGTGCCGTTTGCGTGGTACCCCTTGAGAAGCTTCAGGTTCTGTCGTGGAAATCCGCGGTGATCCACAAGGTAGGCCGCCGTCGTGCCCAATCCAACGTCATCATACTTGGAATGGGGTTTTGAATACGCAGATAGAGGTAGGTACTTCTTGCTTGTAGATAGATACAAGTGCCGCTGTCCGCTTTCATCAAAGGGAACTAACCAGCGGGATACAAGGGAGAGCAACGCCTTTGCGCCTATGTGCGTCACAGTCCCCATGTCCCGTGTCAAGTTGGTGGGTAAGTGTGAATGAACGATGTGAAGGGGTGGGCACAAGCAAGCATTTCCATTGAAAGAGATGTCATGGTAATAGCATGGTTGGCGCAATTGCGCATGGAGTAGTTCCTTTTCAATTGTAGGTCGTCCAGAACCAAAGGGCCTTCACCTCCGGCTCCTAGGACAGAGACAACTGTTGATAAGCGTTTGGAGCCCGCTTCTAGCTGGGGCATGAGGTTGACGATGAAACGTATGCGAGAATAGTAATGCAGACTGAGCTTTTTGTCCAATCCTTCTAGTGTTTCTGTGATGATTCGGTTTAGTACTTTCTATATGTCTGCCCTTGAGGATAAGGGAAAAATATGGTTATAGTTATCACTCACCTTCGATAGGCATGAACAGGAGGTACATTATATACTTGGTGAGGATAAAAGTGATGTCAATACACCTAATGATACAACAACATACCCGGGCATGTGGGCTTCATTAAATGGACATGATAGGATCGTGGAACTTCTGCTAGAGCGAGGAGCCGATGTCAACGCCCAGGGTGAACGCTACGGAAATGCCCTCTAGGCTGCTTGTGTTGGAGGACACGACAAGGTCGCACAGATGGTGCTAGAGCGAGGAGTCGATGTCAACGCCCAGGGTGGACATTACGGAAATGCCCTTCAGGCTGCTCGTGCCGGAGGACACGACAAGATCGCACAGATGGTGCTAGAGCGAGGAGTCGATGTCAACGCCCAGGTAAAGCAATATAGGAGTATTACGGGACTTAGCTGAACTCTAGCCCGATCGGTAGGAATTCCACGATACTTATAATAGTCTCGATACCATAATTGAGTTATTAAGATAGTCAAATCATTTAGGGATACACCGCCATCTTTATTCATTTGCTTAGTTAAGAGAGGGATCTTGGTCTTTAGTTCTCCCACGATATACTATCTGGTATTAGCCCTAATTGATCTGAAACAACGCGAGTACAGACCTTATTAATTGTAGTCCTAGTAGCTAGTAGGAATTCAAAACCTCTTTTTCTCTTTATACTAGTGGCGAATTTCCCAAAAAATCCCTGAATCGTCTCGACTATAGGCCTTTCTTCGATGCGACCGTCCATTCCTCTTACAACCCACTCGAGAAAAGCCCTATAAGTTCTAATATCCGGCGGAATGACGGCCTATAGATATAATTTGACAAAACTAGGGATAGAGGCGCAATTTAGCGGTTTGCTTCTCTGCTCCTAGGGCTAAGACATACTCGTCGAAAATAAGTAACTTGTGACTATAACCAGATTCTGTTTGTGGCAGCACTACCCGCTGGATTTCATTGTTACTATACTCCCCGAAATCCACAATATTGACCATATATTTCAACGTTGGGTCATGCTTGGTACGCATTTTGCTCGTGATAAAGCGAGCTTAAGTTGGAGTGACGAAGTGAGGTTGTAGTGATAAAGCGAGGCTGGAGAGATGAAAACGGAGGGGAAAAGAAGGGTACTTGTAGCTTTTTTAGTCATGATGGGAAATGTACCTTTTGCTGTACGGGCTAAATATTTGGGTGAGGAATATTCAGGTGGGTGAATATCTGCCCTGAGTGCCCTGAATAGAGCGGCGAGCCGCCCACGCCCGAACCGTGGGCGCTAGGTGACCACCACCTTAGACATGCTGTTGTATGTTTTTGTTTTTGTGTTGCAATGAAAGTGCTATTGTCGCCCTACTCCCTTCAACTCCTTCACCTGAATGCACTGAACACCTCTATGTTAAGATCGGGGGAGTATAGCGGCTATTCTATTACCCGAGCTCCAGCTTTTGAATCGGAACGTTATCTTATCGGCCCGATCGGCCTCCATCTGATAGGGGTTTGACTGTTTTTTTCGACATATCAAATTTCTCACAGCCCCTGAGTCGTAACAAGTACCACAAACGGCGCTGAAATCATGGAGAATGGCTGCGGCGAAATTTCCCAACTCATTCCTCTGGAGCCCCCAGACCAATGGGTGCCAGTTAATAACATCCGCAGCATTGTTTTTATGGTCGTTCGCGAGATCCTCAACGAGGGTGCAATGCGCGATGCGCTCGATCACCTCATCAGAGATCATCTCCCGATCCTCGGTGCCCGCCTGGAAACCAATTCTAGAAATGGAGACCTGGCATATCGCGTTCCGGATTCATTCTCGGCTGCTTACAACTTGTTCCAGTGGTCAAATCAAATCGATGATTCTTCTCTTGCAGCCGCTCAGGTGCTACCGGAGACTCCTCAGGCCGATTCCGGTCCTTTTTACGGGCCATGCTCTATTCCAGAGTTGGAAAAGAAATGGACACCTTCTACTTGGCCGAAGGAACGCAGATTCGAGAAGCCTGACACTCCTCTTCTCCTCGTGCATATCACCAAATATACGGACGCCACGGTTGTTACATTGAACTTACCACATGCTGTATCGGATCAGATGGGATTTGCAAGCTTGATCATTGCTTGGATACAAGTTATCAAGGGAGAAACACCGACAGAGTTTCTCAAACTGCAGCCTGGCGTATTGGATGGACTGAAGAATATGTCAAAGAAAGAGCTGCGAAAGAAAGGAACATTGCGTATTATGAGCAATTCGGATAAAATAAGATACATAATCGGTTTGCTACCGGATCTCATACTCAACCCAGAGGAAACACGGCGAACGCTATTCCTGCCGGTCAAGTTGGTTGAAGAGCTACGCGACCGTCACACGCAGACCCTAAAAAGCGAACACGGAGAAGATACTGTGGCCTTGACAAGCGGTGATATTGTCACTGCAATCCTGGCCAAACTTGCGTACTACGGTCGCAAAAGTTCCAAGAATGTGAGCCTCCACACAGCCGTGAATGGTCGCGGACGCCATCCGGCACTTCCTGCCGACAAGCCGTACCTCCACAATTGCGTATGCCATATTCTCATGCAGGGCCCAAATCCGCACAAAGTCTCGCTCGCAAAGCTAGCTCACCAGCACCGCCTTGCAGTCCTCGAGGGGCTCAAGCCGGAAAGTATCGAGCGCAACCTGGCAGTCACTAAGGTGCTTTGGAAACGCAAGCGTATGTTACAGATTGCCGAGCCCGGTAACTTGAGTTATTCATGTAGCAATTGGTGTGGCGCGTGGCGCAATATCGACTTTGGCCCAGCCGTCGTATCAAAACAGGGTATTTCTGTCAATGAGAGTGCTACAGCTCCGCCTCTTGTGTTGGGACATTCACTTGAACGCAACCATCCTACGAGATTCAATGCGCAGATCATGTGCAAGGCGGATGGCGGATTCTGGTGTGATTTCACGGTTTCTACCAAAACAGCGGCTCTGGTGGAAAGGCTTCTCAAATCCGACCCCAGACTACGCAGCCTTTGATGTACAGTCTCGGGAAATACCCCAGAGCCCCAAAAAGAGAACATCCATCGGTTCATCCAGCTTTGTAGCGCATGTCCTGCTCAACGCTATTGTTCTATCATCCTGATACGCACTAATCATGCATTAGGGTTAGAGCTATATCTATGTATATTACTGGATTGTGACCCACACAACTCCACAATAACACAACCAATATACATATGCTACGAGATTTTGGCTTGGCCGGCACAGACTAAACCCTGTAGAGGTCTTGTTCTGGTGAGTCCCGAAGGCGTGGTCCGTCTAATCATTTTTGAAGATGATCCCTAGCGAGCTGACTGGCCTCTTTATAGAATGCTGGAAGTCCTGCCTGCATTTCTTAAATTTATTCATCGACCATATCGACGCAACCGTATCGAAAGCCGAAAAAAATCCACTGTCATGTAAGAACAGTGGACAGTACGTCATCAATCCTCACAAGACTTTCCGCCACACGCAGAGCTGAAAGGTGGAGATAGACATCACGCACGCCCCGTAGTTCCACGCTGAAGTTGGGTAAGATCTGTGGAAAGAACTGGCTGTCTTCGTAGAAGTGGAAGTGACGAGCTCGGTGGTGGCTTTAGCGCTGATGGTCGTGGTTCCTTCAGATCCAACTGTGACTGTTGCGGTCGAAGTAGTCTTACCAGCCTTTGCACTCGTAGTCTTGAGACTAGTGATAGTTACTGTCTCCTTGTCGGTGACCGTGAAGCAACGGCAGTGATGGTTGAGGTTGAGGTCGAGGTGAGGGTGCTCTTTACGGTCTTTGTGATATCCTTGCCAGTGATGGTCACTGTATCGGTGGTCGTAGCTTTGCTAGTCTTGGTGACAGTCTTTATGTCAGGTGTAATGGTGCTGCCGATATCTACAGTCACGATCGAGGTTTTGGTGGAAGTGGTCATTGGTTCAGTCAAAATATCAGTACTAGTGATAGTTGACTTGAGGGTTGTAGTCTTTGTCACATCTTCTGGTGTGACCGTCAGGAGCACAGTGGACTTAATAGCCGAAGTTATACCAGTGGGGGTAACCGTGATGAAGACGCCTGTGGTTGAAGTGGAGATCACGTCAACAGTGGTAGTGACAATCGTTATAGGGACAGAAATCATGGTTGAAGTGGTGGCAGTTGAAGTAGTAGCACTTGTCACGACAGCACTCGAAACAGTGGTAGTCGTTTCCAGGATGAAGTTTTCCCTTTCAAATCGATTTCCTTCTATAGTTCTCTCCCACATGGAAATCAATACATATGTAACGGGATAATATTTCACCTAATGTCATGACCACGCGTTTTACATCTATTCCTGGCCCCCTAAGCAGGAATCCCGGGAGTACGAGGGCTCCCCGGAATTAAAAAATGATCCCCAGCGATGGGGAATCAGGGATCTAGGAATAAGAAATTAAAATCGCAGGATTAATCCATGTCTTTCTAAAAACTTACAAAGCAAAGCTGACTTACTGTGACATATCGTGAGGGTATGAATGAGCCTCCGTAAGACTAAAGGCCCCCGCACGACTGAAGCTAGCGCTAAAAGCTTGGCAAGCAAATAAGAGCCATGGAGGCTGACATGGCAAGTATGAGAGAGGCAAATTATTGTCAGGGGAAAGGCTGTTATGGGTAAAGCTTGATTTACATATGATAGCGCAACATCCATGGATGAAATGTATGAATATCATTGGATGCACATCTTCAAGAATAATCAAGGAGGATAGCCTATGACCTAATGTTTACAATAGGTTTTTCGGAATCAATCAATGGGTAGCCCATAATGGACACCATCTCCCGTGTATAGCCCATGGGCGGCGCCGAGGTCTAATTACTCGATCTGATTTATTTGACTAGTTTCGGCGCCATACCCAGTATTTTAAAACCGCAAAATCCGAGGGCCTTGGTGAGACTTTCCACTTGACAATCACATGCAACCTTAAGCAATAAAATCCCGAGGTTGATGGATAGAGGAAATGTTCAGTGGCGCCGACATTTAAAAAGGCCTAATCTCATTGCGATAGTATCATGTCAACGTTTACAACAGTTCCTGACGGTAAAGTCATCTGCTTTTTTCTTTCAGGTTCTCTTTTGAGGCCACGGTGTTTTTATCACTGACTGACGAGGAATTTGCTATAATTTCAGGTATAGTCTAAAGTTCATACAAAATCCTTTTATTCTTTGGTATCTCTTAAAGAAGCTTCCACAAAGATGTCACAAGATAGTTTCCCTTCAATGATATTTTTCGATGTCTTGGGGACAATTGTGGAATGGAGGCATTGCATCGCGAACGAACTGAATGCCGCAGCACGAAGAGCTCTGCAAGATCAAGATCGATATCTGAGTCCCGATGTGCGAGCGCGTGTCTCTGATATGTCCACTCCGAACTGGCAGGAGATCGCTGAGGAGTGGCATGCCTCATATATGAACTTCGGAAACACTTACGACGCATCTAAGCCCTTTGTCTCAGTAGATGAGTACAACCGCATCTCTTTAGAAAATATTCTTATCAAAAGGCTTCTCCGGGGATTATTTGACGAGGACGATCTCAAAGATTTGACACTCGCTTGGCATCGACTTGACTCACACTCTGACAGTGTGCCGGGCCTTTCGTTGCTGAACACTAAATTTTTGACATCTACATTATCTAACGGCAATGTAAAACTCCTCGAAGACCTACAAGAACACAATTCTTTGCCATTCAAGCACATCACCAGCGCAGAGCATTTCGGTGCTTACAAACCGTCGCCAGATGCCTATCATGGTGCTGCTCGCAGATTCGGCTTCGCGAATTCACAATGTTGTCTCGTCGCAGCCCACCTTGAGGACTTACAGGCCGCCAAAAAATGTGGGTTTCAGACAATCTATCTCGAGAGAGACTTGGAAGAAGCTTGGGATAGTAAAGATATTGCACGAGCCAGAGAAGAGGGGTTTGTCGATCTTTGGGTCGGAGTTGAAGGCTCAGGTCTGATTGACGTTGCTCGATATTTTGGAATAGAAAGTGGATTTTGAATGAATTATCAGAAATTCGGATCCTGAATCAATAGATCCAATCCCTTCATCTGCTGTTATGCGGATGGGAGCTCATTTGATAGTCTCTCTCTTTACGTTCCGCATATTTGCATAATAATATAAGAACCATAGCTCGGCAGTAAGGTAACCTATAATCGAGTGGCCGACGCAAGCCGTTGGACCACAAATATTGCCTCTAATGGAATCCTGGTATATTTTCACGTTTATTGCAGCAATTCCTAGGTAATTAGAGAAGCTTCCAAGGTTGAAAATTGTTTTGGCATCTTAGGAAGAAGATATAGAATCATAATTTGTAATGACATATTCTGCTCTATATTTAGTAATCCTATTTTATAAATGACAAACGTGATATGGTATATTTAACCGTGTCCTGACAATCTAAGAAGCCGAGAAGACGAAGACGAAGACGAAGACGAAGACGACCTCGACGGCGAACGCGAACGCGAACACGAACGCGAGCAGGTAATTGGTTGGTGCCATATATGTAGACCAAAGTTAGTGGAGAAGTTCCAGTCATGCTTCTTGGCATCCTTTATGTGATTGCACTTATGAAAAGTATATATAACCACTTTCTTATCCTACCTAGAAGAAAGACCAAAAAGATATTTTCTTCTCTGCACGTCCAATCAACAAATCACAACGGAAAGAACTATGCCCTCCAGTCGCCCCCGGCCGCCATATGACCCCGAACTGCAGCCAATCTTAAGCAGATTCAATTTCACACCAACCGTCACAACAGCACATATCGAAGAAGTGCGGAAAAAGTCAAGCCCTACTGTTGATGATGCCCTCGCCGGCCGAGCAATTGCGCACGAAGAATGTACCATCCTGAGCTCTTACGGCAGCTCGGATCTGAAAGTGTCAATATTCCGACCGACAGCAATGACAGCTCGGCCTGCTTCCTCGTCAAGATGTCAAAACCGTCCGGGGATATTTTACACCCACGGTGGCGGAATGATCGCGGGCAATCGATTTCTCGGTATTGGTGTCATCCTCGACTGGGTGGAAAAATTTGATGCGGTGTGCGTATCGATCGAGTATCGAATCCCTCCCGAGCATCCGGACCCGACACCGATCGAAGACTGCTATGCGGGACTCCAGTGGACCAGTTTGAACGCTAGGAGCCTTGGGATCGATCCGAGTTTTCTGATGATTGCGGGATCATCGGCTGGAGGAGGACTGGCAGCAGGGACAGCGCTGCTGGCTAGAGATCGCGGTGGACCACTGCTATGTGCCCAGGTACTCATTTGCCCCATGCTAGACGATCGTAACATTACAGTTTCGAGTCAGCAGTATGTTGATGAAGGTACCTGGAGTAGAGACAGCAATCAGACTGGATGGAAGTGTCTGTTGGGAGAGCGACGTGGGCAGGAAAATGTCAGCATATACGCTGCCCCTTCGCGAGCCACTGATCTCTCCAAACTCCCCCCAGCCTTCATCGATGTCGGCACAGCCGAGGTTTTCAGAGATGAAGCCGTTGCATACGCGACCCTCCTCTGGGAAAGTGGAGTTCAGGCTGAATTGCATGTCTGGCCTGGCGGGTTCCATGGGTTCGACCTTCTAGCGCCGAATGCAATTCTGTCAATCAATGCACGTGAAACAAGATCGGCTTGGGTTCATCGTTTGCTCTCTGGGGGTAAAACCCCATAAACTAAGGTACGCCAATACTCCACTATTGTCCAACCATGCTAACCACCTCTGGGCTCTTTGTAGCAGAACAGATAGATGTACCTCACAGCAATACTAGAACTACCGATTGGAAGAGGCTAAATTTCGGGCACACAATCAAGTTATGTTTCAAGAATAATGTAAATACCAAAAGCAGCAAGTTGATACTGAATGTGTCATTATCCTATTTTTGACTAGATTGTAAATTTAACTGGCTTTAAATTCCAACGAATTGCTTTAGAAAAACGTCAAAGCAAGAAATAGGACAGATATGGCCCCGCTAGGCCATAAACAAGTACCTTGGTTTTTGTTATGGTATATGTAGTGGTAAAATACGCTAAAATACGTTGTATTTTGTTTCACAAAAAGAAATACGCACGTGATACGACGACGCGCCGGTTAAGTGGCAGAAAGCTGCATTAGGGTTGTCCGTCCGCCCTCAACTCTGCTCAGGATTTATCAAACGGGCAATGCCTCCAAGGCGATCATACAGGAAGAGTATTTTGGGATGCAAAACGTGCAAGCGGAGGCGAGTAAAGGTGAGGATTATCTATCAGCATTCAAAGCATTTGTCTGACCTGTTTCCAGTGTGATGAGACTTATCCACGATGTGGACAGTGCAACAAACATGGTGTTCCGTGTGAATTTAGCGCTACCAGTCCCAACTCTTCTGCTACAAGCTCGGGCATGGTATGTGAGGCAAACCCTTTATCTAGACAGATATCTCCACAATCCTTGCCTGAAAAGTCAACTTTACCACCTGCAGTGGTATTCCCACTGTACAGCGAGAATGACTCTTTGCGACTGATGGAGATGCGCCTAATGCATCATTGCACAGCTGTGACATGCGGAATGGCGTAAGTACAATATTTCCCTCGGCCGTTGTTTAGAGACCACCACTAATAGTCTTAAAATGCTAGAACCGTAATCGAGGATACCGGGGAATGGCGCATCTGGTCTATGGACGTACCATTAATAGCCTTCCAGGGCGGCCCATTGAACCCTCTTATCGATCTCCTCCTGGCTACTTCTGCCTCTCACCTAGAATCGCTCAACCCCAACGACCCATCCTTAAGGCTCGCATCCTCTTATTATCTTTGCTCGGGGCTTGAGAAGTTTAACAATATGCTGCTTCAAGCAAACGAGGAAAATGCCCCCATTCTATTCACATCTAGTGTACTGGTTGCGCTGAGCGTGCTACACTCACGTCAAGAACAGAGCTTTGGCGCTCAGTTTTCAGTTCCGTCTGACTGGTTTCGCGCTTTGCAAGGCGTCGGGAGCGTCGTGTCTATCACAGGAGCATGGATTCAAAATTCGAAGTTTCAGCCACTGCTCCTGGAAAAAGAGAGTTCATTTCCTTTCGGGGCTATAAAAACAAACTTCTTGTTCGCAGAGCTCTTGTCGGGATTAGATCACATTTCGATGGATCCGAAGGAAACCGCTGCATATGAGCTTGCAGTGGGCCACCTCGGCTGGTCATATGGGTGCTATATTGCAGGAGAACAAAAGTCTGCTGTGCGGAGGAAAATTTTAAGTTTCCCGGCTATTGTCCCCTTAATTTTTATTGAGCTCCTAGAAGCTCAAGACCCACGGTCCTTGGCCATCACGGCATACTTCTTTGGGTTGACTGCAATTTTGGAGGAAGTATGGTGGATGCGAGGAGTTGCTAAAAGAGAAATACTGGGCATTATGACCCTTGTACCTGAAGAATGGAAGTGGGCGATGGCATGGCCGCTCCAACAGATTAGCAGTGATTTTGAGACCCATGGATAAAGCGATCAAGGGGGCAATTAGCTTGAGACAACTTTACCAACCACAGGGACGGAATTCCCCAAAGTTCAATTCTTCCCCTGGGTGGAGATCGGTCACTGTTCTCGTCGATATCGTATACAGATATACGAAGCCTGAACTTCCTGCCTAGGCGAAACAGATTCATCCATATACGGAGCTGTTTCTCTATAGCGCTCCAATCAATATCGATATTTTAAAATGCTTGGTCAGATAATGTTGGTATGGTCATTCACAGATACCCCTGAATTATAGTATTTTAGGTCATTATTTCGTCCTCTAACGACCAACGTCTATTCTTGGAAAAGCGAGATCCGCAACTAACCCAAATTTGGATTAGCGCATATTAAGATAGGCAATCCGCAAGTATACCAAGGGGAATCTGTTTTCGAATATGACAGTACAACACCTCTACTTTTTTTGGGGGTTTTTTTTGAGATGCAACTTCGCCGAAGGGTTGGGGTAAATGAATACACACACTACGCAGCACACACATAAATTGTACGCCTTATTTTACGAAAGCTCGTTTGTCGTCGAGACCAATACAAAAAAGGTAAAGGAGGGCGTAATATTCAATGATCTCTAATATGTATATTTAGGAGGCTATATGAACAAGAATTACTCAAACCGCGGTATGACCACAAGCTGATACGGCCAATGGAGTCGAGGATAGGACATTAATAGAGGATGAAGTTCTCGATATAGTCGGAGTGGAGGATGAATACGAGGAAGGTATAGATCTAAAGTTAGAAGCACCACACGAGCTCCCAGCCTTAAATCCATCGTCCAGTGTGCATATTACCTTATCTCCATTCTAATTGAAAAAGGTGACAAGGCCATTCTGATGAACCTATATCCATGCGACTAGGAGTCCATTTTCAGGGCCGCACGTATCAACGTCAAGGACAGAGAAGTCTTTGCGGGTATATAGTTCATATGGTCAGTCGGGGAACAAGAAAATAGTGAAGTTGGAGAAGCACGACGCGGCGAATATCTAGAAATTAAAAGGTGATCGCCCGAAAATGGAAATTGAAAAAGCAATCTAAGAAGGCCCGAGGGTCCTGGTATTCACAATTGTACACGCGATTGGCTCATCTGCAGCAGCTCAGCCTCAATTCGTCACACTATAGATAGGATCAACATAAGTTGCACAGTTGTACTTAGAGATTCAACGTTCTTTTGCGGTTGCTTACATCTAAGACAACTGTTCCTAGATTTCGCGTGTGTTCTCCGAAGCTTATGGTTTGTTATATCGGTAGCGGAGATCTCAGAACCAATGCAATCACAACTTATTAGTTAGACGCTCGATGAGATGCTCTAAGACCTTTTAATTGTTGCGTTCTCTCATAGTCATCTATTCATAAGGCCTAGATGAGGGCGAGATGTCCAGGACCCCGCTTGCGACTGATTATTTGGAATGCCTAGGTAGAGCGGAAAGAATGTGCACTCGCATATTATGACCACCTTTTCTTTTTGAGATAGTACTAAAGGGTTTATGGGATATATGGTTGTGAAGGATGAGGCTAACTGAATTCAGCGAAAAAGAAAATCCACGTGCTGCTAGTCTATACTGGCATTTCAGCTAGCCAGTGTAGATATACTGCAGCATGATATGTCCGAAAGCCATATAGGCGCCTAAAAGTCTGAACTCGGTGTGCGAATTGCGCTTTTTATCCGACTGAGGGACATATGGTCAGCGATCCTAGCGGGGTGAGACATTCCTAGTATACGGAGGAACAGAGAGATACGTTCTTGATGGATCTTGATAGTATGCTGTTTAAGCTAATTGGTCAAACGCACGAGACCAAGCGACAGGGATTACCCCGTGTCTCCTTCTGCACATCAACCCTCCTTCTCACCAGATCCAGCCATTGCCCTTTCCTTGTTTGAGATCGTTCGCCATGATGGGAATGTACTGGTACCGGGCCGGGGAGTTTAGGACCAGGAAAAACATCACGAAGTTGTAGTCGTCCCACCCTATGTTTCGGGGGATGCGGCCAGCCCGCCTGAAACCGGAGATTTTGCTGTGTATCATTAGCTTGAGATTGCAAGAGATAGAGTAGAGCATACACATCACCTGTGGCCTTGTCGAGTATGATCTTTGATGCGGTCGCCAAGCTGGGCTCGTACCCAAACCTCAAAACTTCACTAATTCCAGTCAGCTATAAGTAGGTGATCATAATAAATCGTTCAGTAACAAACGTGTAGGCCTTTTTGAAGTTGTCACGGATGATCTCTCGTTTGTTGTAGGGAAGGCTCCAGAACTCCTTAGGATCAAGAGAATCTCCTGGGACCTTTTTCCATACAACGTACATGATGTATCCGCCGGGGACAAGGTCGTTCGAGTCTTGCTTTTCGATTCCATATCCACGGAGTTTGGGGGTAGCAGTGCACCTGTTTTCAGTTAGATACTTCAAGGCATCCAGCTCCACGTGGTTTCGAGGCTCGGAGGCCTGTGCCTTCCGAACGTCCAAGTTGTCAAGCTCAGTGCCAGCTAGAGGAATTTGTTTGTAGATCCGCATATAGGCGAGCTTCCTTTTGTTCCCGGCACCTGCAAGGCGACAAAGATACTTTCCAGAGGTATATGCGGGGCCCATTCCGTTGTCAAAACCTTTGCGGGTAACCGGGGTTGGACGCTCACTCAGTTTTTCGAGGATGAGCCAGTCGCGAGGGGGGTAAAGAGCAGAGTCCGGAGACTCCTGGCAGCATGTAGTGATCGTTTCACCAATCATCTTGGGAAGAACTGGATGAGCCTCCATTTCAGGCATAGTGAGCGTGAAAGGGCGAGGTGGTAAGAGATAAAAAAAGCGTAGGAAGGTTGGATCAAGGGGAAGATGAAAATGACAAAATTGTCAGGTCAATTCAAAGTCTAAGGTCAGGCAAACATCCATGGATGAGTACAACCTTGGAAAACTATCGAGATCATCTGACCAATGGCTCACTTAGGACCCTTAGATAATTTAGGTAGCTACTACAACTATCTTTCTACCGCATTTCTGTGCATCTCTGCCTTAGAGTCGTATGTCTTATCAAAAGACTTCAACAATTATGTTTGACGTGGAAAATGTCAAACTACAATGCACCCATAGTAACTTGGTGCTTGTGAAAGCTACGTACGGAGTTTGATTATTTACACAATGTAACAAGGTTGGAAGCAAGGTAGTGCGAGTGTCACAATGTCTATTCCAATGTCTTTTTTTGATACAAAGCTGTAATTGTTCTACGTGCAACGAACAGCAGAAGCTTATCGTCTTCAGCTCAGCACGTTACATATCTCCGTGGTGCCTTATCCACCAAGGGGCCCTTTCCGTTCAAATCGCCTGCCCATACTCCCCCCATTTCAATCTATTGTGATCATTGCTATTGACTATTCGATTAAGCATTGCTATTAAGCCTTACTATTGAGCATTGATATTGAACACTGCCGTAAAAGGTACGCCTGAGACAAAGGACATATATTCAGATCTCTTCTAATATATCTGAGACCAATATCAAAGGTTATACATAGAAAAGTCCATTTCACAAATTAAGCGTTTTCCGCGTTTTGCTGCCGTCTAACTAACAACTGAGAAGCGAGAGGAAATATATATGAAAACAGACATCTAAAAGGACTAACTGAGAAGACTAACTGAGAAGATCACCAAAAAGAACATTTCAAAAGACATCTAAAAAGACTACTAAAAAAGACTACTAAAAAAGACTACTAAAAAAGACTACTAAAAAAGACTACTAAAAAAGACTACTAAAAAAGACTACTAAAAAAGACTTGAAAAGGCCGCATAAGCGGCCAACTATTCTTGTGCATACTAAACCAATATGTATACTAGGCGACAGGGCCAACCCAGGCACCACTGCTTGTCATTAGAATTACGATTGTAGAATCCTAGAGGAAAAGGTAAACAATAAGTGGCCAATCATTTGAATAGCGGAAGGAAGTGATCGAGTTTAGCTGTGCTGAAGGTGTCTATAGGTAAGTACTAGCTTCTCTCTCACCTTCTCTTTCCCTTCCGCATTTCTCTTCTCCAACTCTTTCAATGCGCTGAGCTTTTGAACCTCCATTTCCTTCCATTGCTTCCCAATTTAGCACTTCGTGCATCCCAACGAAGTCTTTTGCTAGCTGTTTTGCACCCAAGACTGCTATCATCTTCCCTTTCTACTTTGCATTTTCTTCAATCTTATCCCAATCTTCAGTCAACTCCCAGTCATCTCACCACAATGGCTACACGACCACACCAGATCTTTCCGCGCGAGGCAATCCAAAGTTGTCTTCCTGAACTTCTTCTGGCCTCCAACAGGACCGAATCCTCCGCAATGCATAGGATTACCTATGTTGGCCCTCTACATCAATGGTTGAATTTCGAGGCAAGTTTCCAGGCTTGCATGCCAGCACGTTGGTCCTAGACTGACATTAATCAGAAGGCTTCATCCACCCCACTGTCGTTCCGCACGACCACGCCCTAGACCACCCGGCTTAGTCTCATCGCCCCGTCGGGCACTACGCGCTCACACAGACATACTGGCAGCCGAACGCCAATGATCACAATCACCTCCAAAAAAGCTCACTCAAACGTGAAGATTGTCCCTACCACCCAGCCAGCTGACGGTGACGCTGCCTGGGTCGGCCGCGACGAGCATGGCCTGACCTGTGCAGTTTCCGACCGCGCTAACTAACCCTCCCAAGCGCTTAACTTCGTTTGGTGTCGACGAGGTCTGTCTACATTGCGTTTCGCGTGTAGCATTTCATGATCGTATGACGCTTCGTCATGACCGTCCTTTCTATACCCCCAGACTAGAATCCCCGTGTCGGAGCTGTGTTTCCGGCTCGATTGCCTGCTTTCGTGTGCGTCTTGCTAATGCCCGACAATCCGCAGCCGGGCTTCTGTTGGACTCGCGATTACCACGCCCTCCCTCCTATTATAGCCTTTGATCCTGAGATATCAGACGGGAGGAGGTGTCGTAGCCGATGAAACGGGCCTTCAGGGACGGTTCGAACAGGCTTTGGGCCAAGTCCTTGGAGGGATCTTCAGGGCGGAGGGAGTGAATATGCTCTCTGCCAACTTCAAGTCGGCTGGTACTAGCTACAACAAGAGCCCAGATATACGAGTTGCCTTTCACGATACTAAGATGTTCCGTCGCTAAGGTCTATTGTCTTTCCCTTCTTCTTCTTCCTCTTCTTCTTCTTCGTCGCCTCTTCGTTCCTTCCTTTGCAACGCATCTGTAGGGGATTTTCAATGGGCTTTGGGCTGTGTTCATCCAACCGATACTGGTAGAATGGGGGAAACACCGAATTTCTAAGGTCACATCCCAGTCTGCGTGGAACCGCTCCGAGGCATCGGTAGATGCCATTGTATCTTAGGTTGTCCCTGTGCAAGGTCTTCTTTCTGCCATAAACCAGGCCAAGGTGATAATATGGAAGTGAATGATGGCAGGATTAAGAGTCCATCGCCTCAGGTTAAACGGACTTAGGTTTAAAACATTGTCATTTAGTTTCAGAGGCCAAGTGATATTCCTCAAATGCCCCCATTCGCCCGCAAACCGACGGAAATTATTTCAACCAGATACGTATGTGCAAGGGATGTCATCCAAAAATGACTGTAGATCTTGTGTAACAATGCGATATAGTTAAGGGTGGCGCCTTGGCATGCTTTCGGTCTTCTAATTCGCTGAAACTGCCACATGACGATAGAAACACCAGCTCTGTACTACACACCTATTTTTTTAGTCCTCTTTAATTTATGTGGTGAGCCTATCATAAACAAGACGGACGACGTCACTCTCAATAGTATTATGTGACTCTCTTCGTTCGGTGCTCTTCAGCTCTTTAGTCCTCTATAATTTATGTGGTGTGCCTATCGTAAACAAGATGGACGACGTCACTCTGAATATTATTATGCGACTCTCTTCATTCGGCACTCTTTAGCTCTATAGATCGTCAAGGCCCCCTTTTTACTTGTCCCAAGATCCCGAATCGTCATGTGAAAGCGAGGGAGGAGAATACTTACCATCTCCCACGATCTTTATATAAAGGAAGCCATGTGTATCACCAGTGATATAAGCTCTTTAGGTTCTAATTGACCTTCTCTCATACTGTCTGTCCTCACGCACTGCCATGGCACCAAATTCCTCTGCTCTAGATGCCTCTTCCTATCGACACCCGGACCGGAACGGGCCATATGAGCCACTTCGGAAAGCAACTATTCTCGCGATGCTGGAACAGGGGATAGAATATAACACCCTGAGCGAAAATCTCCTCTCCTGGGCTGATGACCAGGACCCATTCGGACATGTCATGGCCCAAGCTTATGTGCATTACGCCGGCAATTGCTTCGTTCGCTTGCTTGAGTCTTTCCAAGATCGCCTGAAAGATAACTTTTCTGACCTCATGTCGGGTGATGGAATCGGTCCAATGACGAACCAGTATACGCTAAAGATCAAAAGGGTCGTCAAGTACCCTGACCTGGTTAGTCTTCACTCCTTTTTTCCCCTTAAAGTAAGAACCGAGGGATGCTAACAACAAGGCTTTGCTATTTACAAAAGATTATTGCCGGTGCCCACATTTCAGATGTACGCTCGGACAGGATTCATGTTGTTTATTCCATCTGGTCGGTAACCCAGAACGCGCAGGCTGCTGAGGTACATACCTGGGTCGTGTTCTTCGATCATAAGCAAAAGCGAACCGTCAACCTCACAGAGGAAGGTGGTGTGTATCAGTCTCTGCATGCTTCGTTAACAGAGCGTGCAGCGGAGTCGAACGACACCCTCAAGGCATGGGAGGAAAAGCAGGCGCAAAATGCTGATGCTAAGAAGGCAAAGCTTTGAGCTAGCTTGCCCTGTTCTAAGATATTCTAGAGCTACATAGTATTTTCATTGTTTTTGTTAGGATGGATGCCTATGGATGCCTTGTTTGCCGGGCTTCATCCAGCTACTTAAGTAGCTCTCTATTTGTTTGTAGAGAATTCAATCCTCCTTCTCTCTCTCTCTGCTCCTAGTAGCCAGATCAGTTTTTGGATTGGAGATTCTTTGACTTCGTGCCATACTAAGTCAGACCTCATGAGAAATCATGCTGCTATAGTATTGAATACAAATCACCTGGTTATTCTAATTACCTAATGACACACATTCCTAATAAAAGTGCGAGTGTCCCTATCAGTTCCCAACACCCGCGGACTGACCTGGGCGCCAGAGCAGACGAACCTAAATGGACACTGTATCGTTCTATAATTTCATCACCTCGTCCAATACAACTTGCTATGTAGGAAATTGCTCCGCATGTTTTCGGCATTTGAATCTGTTTCGGGCGACATCTGGAAGACGTCACGGCAATCTAGGAATGTGTAACCACCCCTCTGACTATCGCATGTAAATTAGAGGCCAAAGCCCCTCTCATCGCCACCACTTAACGATGTTCTCTACGTAACACAATATGCTATCGACAACTATTCAGTATTGCACGTACATTTTCAGTAATAGGACACGGTTAAAATAGTGACCGTGCCCGATTTCGCATCCCTGGCTAATCAATGAAGGGGTGGTAGGGTATCACAAATGATCACAAAGGTCTCCAGATCTGCCAATACATGCTGCAATTCCCCTGCTTATGACATAATGCCATAATACAGACGTGTGTGGTAGCATGTCTGTAACTGGCCTTTTGGAACAGATGTTACTATATGGCTCTGTGGGATCGGTACATCCCATCCATGCCAGGGAGGAATCCATCCCCAAATACTATATTGTAGGCTATAGAGGGCTGATTAAGGTACAAAATCACATTGTCAAATTTATACCAAAATCAACTTTATTTACTATCTGTTGGACAGAGTGATTCCAGTGAATGCACTGTTTTCCTCCGCATACAGTTGCGTTTTGCCACCATCTTGGCTACATTTGTATATGCCACCGCCAAGGTCCGCGACATATATGGCTTGGTCATGGGAATCTAGTACCAACCCGATAGCCTCGTTGAAGTGATATGTGAGGATATGGTGATCTGAAGCTCCGCCCTCTTGCAAGTCGGAAACCTTGAGGTAATTGAGAGTATTTCCTAAAGGCAGCTCGCCCCGATCCGTCCAGTATAGAGTCCCTGACTGTTCCTCATAGAGGAGGTCCACGGGTTCAGGCAGGCCACTGACTAGACAGGTAATATCTGGTCGATCCTCGGCATTGTAGCCTGTTGGGATATTGATACTTGCTGCAAATATCTGACCATCAGAGCCTTTGGACGGGCCTTTCTGCGTCCAATAGAGGTTCCCGGTCTGGGTGGATATAGCTATACCCACACACCATCTAGACTTATCTTCTGCGTGACTTTGCGTTTGCCAATCTCCCGTCTTGATCAAAGTTTCAAGTTTGGACCCATCGGTATTGCATCGCATGACTCTAAGTCCTTCTCGGTCTGCAAAGTAAAGTTTTCCCGAAGTGTGATCAAATTTGAGCTGCTTTGGTGTGTGGACCTTTCCTGGAGCTAGCACTTGCTGAATGTCGCTCCCGTCAGGATTGCAGGATAGAATGCTACCGTCATTTTGATCTGGAATCCCCATATTGGTCCAGTAAATACGATCATCACGGCGAGAATAAATGATACCGTCTGGTAACCGTTGTTTTCCCACAATTTCCTGAGGGTCCGTGGTACCTGGTTCCCAGGCAATGATCCTGCCTGAATCAAGTGGAGCGTCGAGACGCTTAACTCCGGAATCAAGAAAGTATAGTTTCATCTTCTTTCTGGTTGCATTTGGTGGTAGTCGGTATAGAGTCTTTAGGTTGGGGGGGCGTGTACACTGAGACACGTTTGTTGTTTTAGTTTATCACATAGATGTTTGGCACAAAGAAAACGATTATAGCGATAGTAATTATTAAATAGTTCGCCATTTAGAGAGTATTTCAACATTTCAGGGACACGTCAGGAGGACGGACACCATTGTTCTACGCATTTGGGAACCTGCAGGACTGCGTGAAAGCTACGTCATTATCCTAGCTTAAAAAAGAATGCTTGTGTGTGTGATAAGCCTAAAAGAATAAGCATTCTTCGAGAGCTCTGTTACACAAGGGCTTATTTGGCCTGCAGTGACGTAGCCTTGTAGCGGGGTTTCAACTTAGGTAGTCCGCAAAAAGGGATATCTGCATGCATTCAAAACACTAAAAATATATGGGTATGCGGTAGACCTATAAGCATGGACGTTTCTTCAAGATCTGTGTTACCCAAGGGTTCATTGGCCTGCAGTGACGTTTCTTTGTGGCCGAGTTTCAACTAAAGCACTCCACCAAAAGGGATACATGCATACATTCAAAATGCCAGAAAGATGACATGATATTTTACGAAGACTTGACTGACTGGGAAAATTATTTATAAATTTTACGCTCCCTACAAATTTAAGAGATATCCTAAACTGAACTACAGCGACTTCAGGTAGCTAGCTGTGTTTGATTGACTGATCAGTTATTTGACGTTTACTTCCTTAATCCATCCATTATGGTGGAAAAGCCTACCACGGACCTTGAAGGGTCTTCCTGTCAGCATCCCAATGGCGGAGATTTCTACCGGCAGCAACGAGAGAAAGTTGTTCAACAGGCAACTTCTATGGGCTTTGAGTATCCCACGATGTCTGAATATCCACTCTCTTGGGCTGATGACCAGGACCCGTTCCGACATGTGGCATCGAGTGCATATATGCACATGGTGGCCCGTTGCGGCCATCGCCTCTTCGAGTCTTTTGAAGGAGCCCTGAAAGAGAAATATGAGGATCTGATTCGCGCCCAAGGTATTGGAATTGTAACAAAGTATTCAAATGCCAAATTCAAAAGCCCGTTGACCTATCCTGACTCGGTAAGTACTCGGAAACTATATACAAATTCTCACATGAACTGAATATCTTGAGTACAGATCATTATCGCCTCGCGCATTACAGATGTTCAGCAGGACCGCATCCTTGCTAAATTCTCTCTCTGGTCGTTGCAGAGAGCCACCATCACGGTGGAGGCTGACCTACGAATGATTTTTGTTGATCATCAGCGAGGAGGTCCTGTGGACTTGATCAGCAGAGGAGGGGTCTACGCAGATTTGCATGCTGATCTAACAAACCGGGCCTCAAACTCCGACCGACTTGCCTCCGAATGGGAGGAAAAACAGAGGCGAGGAGCAAGATTGTAGTGATGCTGTATTCTAGAGTCAAAACTGTTAGATGATCCCATCTTCCATGTTGATTCCGGTTTCTACAGGCTTGCTTGCTTGCAGACTGAGCGCTTGTTTGCCATATTCAGGGAATAAATACCCTGCTCTTCATAGAATGAATACGCAGAGTTTCTTCCTCCTCTCTCTCCCCGATCCCCTTGGCTAGTAGCTACAACAAAAACGCATTGTCCTTTTGTGAAAACCTATTCGAAGCTTTGTGGAATAACCCTCACTCGCGAGCTGAAGCCTGATAGAGCACATTTCGCTTATGGTAACCTAACCCATTGCTAGACACAGAACATGGCTGTAGCCGTTGGAAAGGGCGTCCTTTTTTACGTTATGGCCGGAGTCCAACCGATCAAATATCAAATGTTTCCAAATGCTGCTCATCGGAGGGACACCTATGCACAGTGCATTCGAATTCGTTTATACAGGAAGATATACTGGTGGACTAGGCAACTACTTTGGTAGGCTCACAGATAAAGCGTCATTATTCTACGCACGTATGTTCGCCGAAGCCGACTTTTTGGACATCGAAAATTCGAAACTGTGAGTATTGAAACTGCTGCTCCACTCGCTCGTTGATAACCTCGATCGCTTTTCTTTAGAAGGGGTTATTTATGAGATATATTCCCCCAGGTCCGATAGGGTTAACTTGGCCGAGGTCAGGGGAGCTTTGCTCGATTTCATAGTGAGTTGATCAAGCGTCCAAATTGGAATTGGGGGTGGATTATGGGTCCTCCTGAATACAGAGTTTGGAAGCGAAATGTGCCTGTGTCTGGTGTCCAGTGGGCTACTGGATTCCTTGCGAACTGGCCATACTTGTCTTTAAAGATTGCAAGTGAGCCCTATCATATTCTGTGCCGATTTTGGTATAGAACTCAATATGAATGAACATAGGTATCACAGAATATGATGTCCTTACCTTCCTTGGAGAGGGCACTAGGAGCAATGGGAGTGAGCGTGTCTTCTTCCAGAAACTTTCTGTCCACTTTATATGGAAATTGTTTCAGTGACAATTGATTTGGCATTATTGGCTTGGCTCGTACCTCTTCGAGAACCTCCCTTGCAGCCATTAGATAGGTTGGGCCTTTGGGATCGGACAGAGAAATATCTAAGGCTCTGTTGACCATTTTTTTGATATTCCATCCACTCTTGATTTCACCCGAGTATCGATAATATTGCCGAAGAATGGAGGCTTGATGTGGCACATCTTGCAGTCAGTGGATGAATCTATAGCAATGTCAGTTGCGCCTTTGAGAACCTTGGAAGAGATCAATGTCGCGGTACTCAGTTCGTGAACCTAGAAGCTCTCCTCTCTGAGTAAGGGTACTAAGGCCTGCAAAATACAGCACTGGCACTCTGCCAACGGAGGCATAGTGGATGGATTGTCCGAGGGCCAGTGTGCCGCAGTCGACATGCACGAGAACACATTGCTAGATGGGATTAGAATATGCAAATGAAACCAATTGCAGAGTGCATACTGGTTTTCCAGTCACTTGGGCAAATCCAAGAGCCGCGGACAATGCCACTAGTTCTGAAGGGCAAGTGGTGATGTTGGGAAACTTTGCAAGATTTTCTACCGATAGTTAGAGGATGTTGTTGAAGGCTTCAGGCAAACAAAACCTGCTTAGCTTTGATCATAGCTTCGAGTATAGCAGGATGGTCACTCCTCTATGACATGTTAGCTAGGTATGTTATGCGAGACTTTATACGAGCACTTGGAGATTGACAAAGCAATATGTGACACCGGCTTCAGCTGCATAATGCGTAAGCAACGTGTTGAGAGCAATTGAAGACGTTGTACATACCCAGTGCCTCGAATATGCTTTCGGCAGCCAAGATCAAATCGCTAGTCTCGATATAATCGTCATGGCGCGCTCGTTTTGGGGCCTATTCTCAAACTTTGTCATGTTTGATGCTACAGTTTGGTTTTATTTCACATTGGTTCAGGGAAATAGGGGGCTTTATATGGTGCTGGGAGGACTCCCCCGGAGGAGTTCGTCCACGCCAAGACAACAGGGAGCTCGAAATCTCCGAGAGCCAACCAGTGCAATCCACAGACCCACTCCGTGGCCGATCCAAGTGGGCTCACCGTGCTTCATTCCTATATGTAACCGTGGTTGTTGCGTCAAGGCGTACGAAGTGTAGTATTTCAAGCTACCAAGGGAGGTAATCGTAGAATTAAATGTGGATGGTTTGTCCAGTGATGGAATTTGTCATATTGTGCGGTCTTTTTTTTTTTTTTTTTTTCGCCCTCCCGGAACGAGGGCGATACAAATAACGAGGGGATTCTGTCTGTCGAGAATCTCATGTCATCACACGGTATCCGGTTGCTTTCACCAAAGTCTCCTCTGGGTGAAGCCCCAATCATTATCCAATGATCGCCCCCCCGTGCCCTGAGGGCTGATAGATAGACGGATACATGGCCTTCTTCCCGAGGGAATGCCCAGGAAACTGTTCTGCCAACTTTGCTATATGCCCAGGGGCAAAAGTTTTTGCGCCTCGTAAGGTTTCCGGGTAAATGTGAGCCCCATGGCACAATAGTAATTCCATGATACCGACAGCACGATGGACGATTGCTTTACCGATTGCACACTCACCGATGGTTGGTAAATCAGGATCTGTTCCTCGTGACAGGAGAAGGGCGACTATTTCCTCTTGACCGCATTCGATTGCTTTTAGGAAAGCCCTTTCTTGGTCTTCGAAGCCTTTATCGAATAAGATCTGGAATATTTCCGTGTCGCCAGCCTCTGCTGCGAGCTCTAGGAAATTGGTCTGGGAGTTTTCGGTTCCGTACTTGATGAGGACCATCTCTAGTGATTTCTTGTTGCGTTGCTCAATAGCAGCACTGATATGTCCACCTTCGACATCAGCACCGTGAGCCAAAAGCACCTTAACAACCTCTTCGTGGCCTTTCGCAATTGCTAGGTATAAGGTAGTCTCCCAGAGACTAGACGCCCCCGTTATGACTTCAACGTCAGATTCATTAGTAAGCAAAAAGGTCACCAGATCTAGATGCCCGAGTCTGGCTGCTACTGATAAAGCAGTCGATACGTGCCCTCGTTCGTCGTGTGGGTATAGAGCCATCCTAGGAGCATAGCGTTCAATATAATTGTAGTTGATGTCTGCCCCATAACCAAGGAGCATAGATACCAAGGCTATATTACCGGAAATAGCGGCAAATGGAAGGGTCGAAGAAGCATAGTCACGGGGGCTTGGAGTATAGGACAATAAATGTTCAACCACATGCGTATGTCCTTTCAAAGCAGCCTCTTTGATAGGAGCCAACGTGAATTTGGTGTCGTTATCCATAAGGAATGGTATAGAGCAGCCTTTTTCGAGTAGGACCTTGATAACAGAGAGGAACCCGTTTTTCGCTGCTAGATGTATAGGCGTTTCGCCTAGGTTGTTCTCAAAGTCTGGTCCTGAGCCTACGCGTAGAAGATATTTCACAAGCTCCGAATGTCCATATTCTGCAGCACAAAGAATAGGGTGCTCCAGTCGACATGAGCACGGGTCCCATCGTAGAAATCCAGGTCGTGGTGGGTGTTCCTCGGCATGGATTGGTCGGTCTTCTATAGGGTATCCCTCTTTGATAAATTGGACTACCGTAGGGGTTAATCCCAGCCTAGCTGCCCGGAGAATACCATCCCCGTTCCGTTGCTGTAGGTTGTATCGATACAAGATGTGCTTTATAAGGTGATTGAGGCGGCAGTTAACCTGCACCAGCGCAGCGAGATCTGCTTGCGATTGTAATTGCTGCGCAATCAGGATGATGACTTCGTTCGACGCGGCTGATATGGACATTTTGAATTCATGTCAGTGACACGGTTCCAGGACGTGAGCGTGGACGAGGGAAACGGATAAGGCGGGAACTTGATTTGTGGCCTCAGGTTAGATCGTGAATTCTGCCTGTTTCGGGATATTTCTAAGCCTGAATGGCGGTCAAACTTTAGTTCTTTTACACAATTTAGGAGATTGAAGTTTCTAAAAGTATGGAACGACCGGTATTCTAAAGACATTATATGTGAATACCGGAATAAATTGGATTGTGGGTGAGTCGGTAATACTTGGATTGAGAGAAACTACTGTGTTGGCCGGGTTAATGACCATCCGCTGTACAGCCTAGAAATTTTCGACTCACGCGTACGGGCTTGAGAAAGTGACAAGACCCATGAATTCAATTGGTCCCAAATTTTATGTGGCGGCGTAAGCTTAAACAACGCTGTTTTTCCGTTGGCGAGAGATATGTATGAGCAAACGGTCACTCAGCATGCGGAGCTGGAATCTTCGAAATTTGTTGGACGGCGCAGAATCATTGAATAAAAATGCAAAGATCCGAGTACTCCAAATCCTTTTTTCTAATCCAAACCATCAACCCAACTCAACCTTTCCCTCTTTCCCAGTCCCCCAAGCCAAAAACCCACTCGCATTAAACACTCTCCTACTCTCCACAACATCCTTCAAGTATTCAAAATCCCAGCACCGTCTCGCGAAACCGGCTCCCAAAAACCCATGCTCTTTGTCCACTGCCGGCTCAAGTGTACTATCCGCCGAACATGTAATCGCCTGGGCAAGGTAATCAAAGCAATGCGCTACATGCTCAGAGCGATTTCTGCCTAAGTCGAAGCGTTGGAACTCTGATTCAGGTGTGGCGGTGTAGTGGGCTCGCCGGAGGAGGTAGAGGCAATGGAGTTGGTGGAAGACGGAGGGGATTACCACAGCAGAGGCCTTTGGCTTCGACGTGTTTGTGCTTGAGGGAATGAAGTAGCCCAGGCCGTCTGAAGATTCTGTTATTGCCATATCTTGGAGTAGGTGCTTGGATAAGGAGGTGTTTGAAAGTAAATGAGGACGTACTAGGTATTAACGCATCCCATGTTGGCTCTGAGACGTTCCCTTCTTGCGGGGCTTCTTTTGAGAAAGGAGATGGATATATGAATTCACCTGCTACTTGCGGGAGGGGGATCTGAGGTGCTATTTGCACATTTTCTAGAGACCCGGATTCATCGCTGTGCGTTGTGGTTGGATTGGAGATGTAGATGGTAAGCAATACTCCAGTTGAAAAGGCGGTTATAAGAGAGAGGACGAAGCATAGAATGTGTACAATTGTAAATTGTGTGTTTAGTGGTTTTCTGAGATGAGGTCGAAGATTCTCTTCTCCATCTAGGTCGTCGTTCGTGTTTGAGAGGGGCTTATACTCTGGTGATCTTTTTGTGGTTGTCAACATTATTATGAAAAACTAGGTTCAGATAAAAATTTTCAAAAAAGGTGAGTTCACAGTTTGAGGACGCTCAAGTTGGGAAAAATATCACTATCTGAAAATAGCCAACCAGGCATCGCTCCTTAGCGCTGACTTGGATGTCTTCAGCAGGTCGCACCTGGTTCCACCTGAACTCTCAGTGATTCCCATTGGTCAATGGTCAGGTGGGTCTTCCCGGGGCCCCTAGTTTCGCTGACATGCATGGATACAGTACATGTACCTATAGGCAGTGTTTTGTCATTACAAATGTGGTATTTATGTAAGGAATGCACTCTTAGGTACAGGCGGAATATATCTCAATAACCACGTTTCTGTTTGATATCACTGACATTAGATAGCTATTGATAAAACATTTCAAATCATATGTTGGATCCAAGAAAAATTAAAAGCCTGCATCATCATGGTATTGAAAATTGTGTTGCTCTAAGCCAGTACATATGTCGCAATCACAAATTCTTAAATACTACTTTCCACACTCTCTAGAGGGTTTCTATATATATATATATATACATATACGGAGTAATAATCCTACTGAGATATCGTGGTTTAATTGATCGCAATTACTATGGTGCTTTGAGGGTCACTTGGCTCTGGTTGGGTGGTCTTCCAAGGTTATTCGATGGCAACTTGCATATCTAGCCCATTTTGAAACGGGCTGAGTTCTGTAGATTATCTTGGACTATGCGTAACCCCGCTTCTTAACGATAAATATAGTGTTGATCTGCGTGCTTTTCTAGGATCCCAGCACGTTTGATCACATTTGCAGGGATGGGGGCTGACCTTGCATGCTTTTTAAGGGTGCTAATATTATTGTACTAGCCGCTTATAGGCAAGAGAGGGGTGGAATTATGTACCTACAACATAGGTAGCCGCCTTAGACTGGCTGATCAAATTCCATCCAGGTTGTGGCGCTATGGTGCTACTATGCACGGTAAGCAAATTATTATATTAATGGTATCCCTTCCCTCGTGTTCTTGAGTAACATCTCGAACAACAAGAAGTTCTCTTACCTAAGTACCCCACGGTCGACAGATTCAGAAGAATCCACTGCTTATAAACTTCATCTTTAATCGTTTCCATCCTCCACTTGGCAACAACCAAAAAGCCTCCAGCCACCCATTATGCGTGCATACTTCATCCTTCTTTCCTTCCTGGGCGCCATGGCACTGGCTGCACCTACCTCCCTTGAGAGTGAGTATATCCCAAGCAAAGACACAGCTTGTAATTGAACTAGACTGACGACTGCTACCAAGATGCTGCGAACGTCAAACCCGACGAGGGAGCTGGCAAGGATGATGTGTTTGTCGCGGATGGATTTTAGAAGATTTTTCTCTAGCGGAGCCAGAATTTGTATCTTCAATCTATACACGAGATCCGCGAGATCTCGTTTTCTTGATCGTTAGATTATTGGTAAAGCCAACTCAAGCCCTATCTTCCCGTAAAAAAAAAAAGAATATCCCCTACGTGGCATTCCAATCAAAGCTTTTGCCGAACACAACCTCAATACTTCTATACCTCCTGTGTCACACTTGTTGCGATCGATTCTTCGGGCAGGCCGACCAAAATCTCCTCCTTGGGCACATACCCCTCATCAATCACGTACCCACTCCCCTCCGGACAATGCATATACCTCCGCAATCCAGTCTCATCCCCCGGTTTCTCGGGCCGCTTATAACAAGCCGTATGGGCTTTCGCCCAAAGTTCCAACTGCCCCCAATCCCTACAAACCCTATACTGCCCGACCCCACTAACAACCTCGGCCCTTCTCTCTGTAGCCCTGGGCGTATCATCCGCATCGCATAGAATCTGTCGTCTTAAAGCATCTAGACAATGCGCGATGTGGTGCCAGGTTCGCGATTGTGCCTGGCCGTCCCGAAATTCAGAAAGGCTCATGTAGATGATCTTTAGGCAGTGCAAGTTGTGGAAGCCATGCAGGATGTAGATTCCTTTGCTTGTGTCCCAGGGAAAGCGTTGCGCCGTGCGGAGGTTGTGGGATGAAGCGAAGGAGTCCGAGAGGGCGACAACGCCGCTGTCAATGTTTATGGAGTGCCAAAGGGTGTCTGCTAAGGTTGTGTTGGAGGAGGAGTAGTCGGTTAAGAGGACGTAGGGTTCTGTTTGGGTGAGGTGAAGCCCAGCGTATTTCGATGGTGCTCGATGGGGTTTGTGGTTTGAGGTGATGATGGAGAGAGTGATTATGTTGGTAGTGAGAGATAGAAGTAGTATAGGAATTAGGATGAGGAATCGACGCCTGTAGGGCTTCGAACTCTCAAAGCCATTTGCAGGTATGTCTGGATCCTGGCTTTTCTTATCGATATTGTTGAGAAGACCAGTGCATTCTTCCTGATTCTCAGATGTTGGCGTCATTTTAAGCAGACTCTTACAACTTTTTCTTTCTTTAAAATAAATTTCAAGGGTTATAAAACTAAACTAGAGAATTGAAATGATCTTCCACGCCAAAAATTATAAAATCCACCAAAATCAAATCATGCACACCCCCTGCATTCATCACGTTCGCCTGCAGCGCTTACTCGAAAACCTTGCGCAAACATATTGCAAATCAAACCGCCTGAAATTTCTCGCCCCTGTAGGGGCCAGTCTAGCTGCAAGTCACTCAATCTAGCAAAAATACCGAGCCCAGGCCATACATGGATGCATTACTGGTATTTGTACGACCTATGATTATCTCTCAGCTGATCGGTAATCATTTTCGGATCATCAGCTCGCCTTTTTTTACTAACCAGACCTGTCTGATTCTGTCATACTTCGTACTCAAATTCATCCATCGCGGTACAGCCTCATGAACTATATGAACTGCATCCCAAGCGCATTTTGACTCAAAGCGGTCGGCCATGGCATATCATCGCGCTCTCGTCCATGTCAACGACCGCCCTGGGCTAATTTTCATGACATCAATATTCTTCGTGATAGGGATATTTGCAGTATTACTCCGCTTCTACTCTAGGCGACTCTCAAAAGTCCGTCCAGGACCTGATGACTGGTTTGCTCTGGTTTCCCTTGTGGGTGCATCCCCCATTATACTAAAACAACTTATCCCCAAAGCTTACAGCTAAATATACTAATGTTAAGGTGAGCAGTTCTTTGTTCTTGCTCTCAATGGAATATTCCTCTCGGGCGTAATCCAAGGCGCAATAACTGGTCACTCCATAGTTCTAAACAACTGGCCCCAACCCAGCGCGCTCGAAGTCCTTGTCCAGAAATACAAATATGCTTTCCAGACGACAGAAAAAATCGTCTTTGGACTGATCAAAATTTCCATCTTATTCCTGTGGAAGCGCATGCTGAGTCCCATTCGCTCATTCCAGCTGTTCTGCTGGATTATGATTGGGATTGTTGCTGCTTGGAGTATATCTTTCTTCTTCGCGACCTTATTCCAATGCGGGACGCACTGGGCCTGGAATTGGGCGCCAATCGGTTTTTTTCTGACTCAGTGCACGGATACGCTAAATATGCTGACGGTGTTCTGTGGGACGGATGTGCTGACGGATTTTGTGATTATGCTTATGCCTGTGCCGATTATTTGGAGGTTGAAGATGTCGGCTAAGAAGAAAATCGGGGTCACGAGTGTGTTTATGGTTGGGATATTGTATGTTCTTTCTCATATCATCCCGTGGAAAGTTGGTTTGGGGATACCGGGTGCTAAAACTTGATTCTCACAGCACGATCGGTGCAGGAATTGCGCGGACGTATATCTATCTTGTGACGTCTTACGATAAAGAGGATAACCCTGATTTCATTGCCGATTTCACGCTGTTTATCCTGTGGTCGGAGATCGAGGTCAATGTAGCTATGATTGTTTGTTGTATGCCAGTGTTTGGACCTGTTCTTGGACAATGCCGCGATACTCTTTACCGCCGTTTTGTTCAGCATGACGACGGCGAGTTAGGCCTCCTTCGACATTCGGCATCGGCTTCGAGAACAGACGGCAAGGTACAACTCACCATTTCCCGCGCTTCAAACGGGTCTTATGCGCACCATGAGCAGGGTGGCCAAGAAACAAAAGTGGATGTCCCCTAGTTGGTCAAACTCGGACATGGAGTTGTATTGGCCAAAGGTGGCCCGGGGATTTAATGTTATGAATCAGACTGAAGCAGGAAAAAGGGAGATTCGGATTCGGACTAATATCTTATCCCCCATTATTACGGGAGCTAAATACTGGCAGCGAGCATAATGTATCTCGTTGTTAATCCCCTAACTAGGGAGTAATGATGAGGAGCAGGAGGGAGAAGCATTAATGGAATAGATTGGTTTATCTAGAAACTGGAAACCGGGAAATGAAAGGAAGATGATGGAAAAAACAGAAGGGAGCAGCAATACTATGTTATTGAAATATCTAAACTCTGAGGGGGAAAAGGGAGAAGAAAGAAATGGAAGAAGAGAAGCTATCTCAGTCTTGCTGATTCTCCAACAAATAATACTGGCTAAAGAAGAAGAAGCCGATAATTAGCAGGATACTATCAGAGTACGTAGTGTTTTAACAACATTTACTCCGTACGATGTAGCTATCCAAGTATGTCGGTGCCTACATAGGTAGCAAACAAGGCAAACGCGGTAAGCAAATGCAGTCAGCAAACAAACAATGCACCGGCGATCATTGCTCTTGGCAATACAAGCCATCTGCTGTAAATCAGTCGAATAAATCCCCTTCAGATAGCCCTACTTGTAATCAATTCTTTGGCTTTGTTGGAGCTCAGGTGACCTCACATGTGAGACCTCCCAGTAGAGAGTAGTCCTTGGAGATCTCTCTCTCTCTCTCTCTAACTCTCTCTAACTCTCACTCTTTTTTTCTTTGTCTTCCTTTCTTCCCCATCTCGGTTCACATCCAATCCACTGCTTTCTCTGCCCCTAGCCTCTGATAAGCTTGCTTTACTTTCTCGATCATTTATCGAGGGAGCTTCAAAGGGCCCTAGAACTTGGACGTCTAACACACCGTTTGAGCCATTATGGCTAACCGCTTGTTTACGGCTGTGATCGTTGCGCTTCTGGCAATCATCGCAATATACTATCCGGATGTTTTGGATAAATTTCATTCAAGTCCCAACTTAAAGATAGTGGACTCCGTTCGAGATATCACTTATCTTGGCAGTCTATCCTCGGCTGGAATTGAACATTTTCAGAACATCTTCTACGCGGAGGAGCCCACGGGGCTAAGACGTTTTGCGGCACCGGTTCCAACAAGACCAGCGAAGGGATCTGTTATTGACGCCACCCAGGCCGGTGCCTGGTGTCCACAAGGAACGGGTGACATACTTCCCTTCACGAGTAGGGTGACCAAAATTAGCGAAAACTGTCTGAGTTTGAGGATTGCAAGACAGAGAGGAACGCAGAAAGATGCTAAGCTTCCAGTCGCGGTATGGATTCATGGAGGCGAGTTTACAGTTTGCGAAGATGTGAGCGCTCGATAGCCTAACAATTAGACAGGCGGCCATGCTTTAGGCTCCGCTTCTGATGTTCTTTACGAGCCTGACGGGTTGGTTAGACTGGCTGCTGACGATGGGCGGCCGCTGGTATATGTTGGCATAAATTATCGCCTGGGCTGTAAGTCCTCTATCAGGAGTCCCCGTGACTCTGGGCCGAGGCTGTATACTGGTTACTGATTCCTGTCCAGTATTTGGCTTTGCAACCAGTGAAACATTGATTGAGAGCAAGGACACAAATGCAGGGCTTCGAGATCAACGTGCTGCTTTGGAGTGTATGTATATCTGTTCTCCTTGATCCCAAAATGAGAAGCTAAAATACAGAACAATCAGGGGTTCGCGATAATATTGAAACGTTCGGCGGTGACCCTAACAGAGGCATGTTAATTATGTTTTCCTGGATTCAAGCACCGAAATGCTGACGGACTATCTTCTAGTGACTGTTATCGGACAAAGCGTGGGGGCTAGTGATATTGGTCTGCAGCTAACGGCCTTTGATGGTAATCAACATGTCCCATTTCAGCAAGCAGTGTAAGTGAGTCGAGACTTGAAACTATTCACTGCTAATCCTCCGGCTTCAGAATGATGTCAGGCGGCCCAGGGCTGAATTTCAATAGCCAGCCAGACCTGGTTGCAAGTCGCATGTCTGCCATTTCACAGCAAGTAAGCTGTGGCGGTGGCGAAGATTCGAAAACACTAGAGTGTCTTCGAGGTATTCCATTCGAGCTGTTAACCAACCTATCGGTTACCGCATCTCGGGCAGCGCATCCACCTTTCGGCGAGGCGTATTTTTACCCGACGATCGACAATGACTTCATTCAAGATAAACCCTCGGAGTTGATTCGAACAGGGAAGTTCACCAAGGGAATACCATTGATAGCTTCCTGGGTCACAAATGACGGCGCTTGGTACGCACAGCCGACCACTGCGACGGACGACGAAGTTCTAGGGAGTTTCGGACTATGGCTGCACAAACTTTCCAAATCCACCAAAGAGAAGCTATTACACCTGTATCCTCTGGGCGACTTCGAACATATGATCAAGTCAGAGCATGAGGGCCAAATTTCACCTCAGTACTATCGCGCTGCACAGCTGAATCGTGACATCTGGTTTACCTGCCCCGTCCTTGACTTTACGTGGCAGTACGTCAAAAACGGAGGTGTAGGAGCCTCCCAGGTGCGACTGTACGAATTCAACGAAACCAGATACACGCCAGTCTTTGATTCCATGGGTGTCTCAATGTGGGGTGTCGCTCATCTCAGCGATATCCCTTACCTATTCTACAATGACCACTTGAGGGCCGGCGCAGATAACTCTGACCCACAGCTTGAGCTGGCTCGAAATTTTAGCCGGACAATCATTCAGTTCGTGCACGGCACCCCTAAAGGGGCGGACGATCGACTCCAGTCATGGCCGCCTGCCTTCTCAAATGATTTTTCAAAATCTTCAACAGGCGATGTCCCTAGTCATCTCTCAGTACAGTTGTTTGGTGGCCCATATGGCTCAGAATCTCCTACATGTCGCGAAGGGGCTGGAGCTGACGTGGAACACATGACAGATGCAGAGAAAGCGCTTCACTGGGAAATGTTGTTCAGTCGATGTGCATTTCTCAATGGGAAGCAGTTCAGAAAGGAAGCAGGGGTGTGATTAGTAGAGCACGTTAGCGTCAACTTGGAAAGAGGACCATATCCGGCCGCGCGACCCTTTGCAGCGCTCAGCCATCATATTTTAATGTGTTGACAACGCAATATCTACATTAATTCTTTTTCAAATTAGTCCGAGCACATACGACCAAAGGATGTGGAAACAGGGCTTCCCGTCCGCAAAAAAAAGGCCGGTAGACGGATGATAATACAGTCTTACTCAAGAGTATCGGCAGTTCTAAAAAATAATGTGTATGTCAGTTGTCAACCTGATGGCTGTGGCATCTCAGGATCCCGAGGTCCATTTAAATTGACAGCCCGGATGGTCGCCTCTCAGCCTAGCTCTCTTGTCATTCACGTATTTCTCTTTTGTGGTGGACGCATTCTACTCATTCCAACACACACCTCTTGCCCGCAACTCCGGCAGAAGATATTTCATAATATCTTCGAAAATCACCGGGACAAATCGCATAAGAAATGTTGAACCCATCAGTCCCAGTCTTTTTCATCCACTTTTCCAGATTATCAACGACCGTCTTCTACGACCCAATAGTTCTCGCGTATAGTCCCCCAACAGCGATCTCTTGCGATAACTACCGCTTCTTAAGAATTGACTACGGAAAACACACTCTCGCAGCCGGCGTGCGAAGGGGCTTGAGAAATACGGCGGTATACGATCCAATTGGTTCACATGACCATCCATTCTCTCCCTATACCTACTGTGTATATAGTTGTTCGCGTCACCGGGGCTTCTGCCCTAATACCGACTGTCGATTCCTTGGTATTCACTCAAAATCCTAATGCGACCCGGCAAGGGGCCCCCTGCTCCTCCAGCCGTTAGGGCCCTGGAAGAGCCCGGCATCCCGGAGCTATATTAGGAGAATACATATATGTATACCTCTCTCTATCGATTTGGAGTCACAAAATAAATAGATTCAGCGCCATTCATTCTCATAGTGCTAGTAATACAGAAAGGACATACAACAGAAGATCATGAACCATAAAGATAATGAACTATAAAGATAATGAACTATAAAGATAATGAACCATAAAGATAATGAACCATAAAGATAATGAACCATAAAGATAATGAACCATAGTAAACAAAAGCTGGCTTAGTATCCACCCCGCTGATTAGCGACATTGGATTGCTGATTCGATCGGGTAACTCGAGGATCAATTTTGTTCAAGGGGTCAGCGGTTTGAGCACCAGTTGGCTCTGAAGCGCCTGAGGTGCTACTACCACCAGCTGCATTACCGCCGAACCCCTGCCCAGCCGCAAGATTATCAGTGCCTAGCTCGTTTTGCAAATCCGTCTGGCAGGGCATCATGTGGGTAGTAGCGGAGTGGGATTTGTGCTCCTGCGTAGCGGTTTTGTGGCTTTCCTCGCTGGTCTGTTGACCCCTAGGGTCGTAGTTGCCGGCAGGTTGGGACTGAGATTTTGTTTCCTGTGTGGATTTGTTATAATCATCTTCGGTGGATAGATGATTGTCTACACCAGATGTGCGAGGCTGTTCTTGGGCTGTGTTGCCCTGGACGTTGCTAGAACGTTGACGGTTGCTACCTCCAGCGAATTGAGCACGATTGTCTATATATGTTATTAGCCTAACTTGCTCCAAAGAGAACTTAGCAAGGCTTACCCAAATCACTATCGACACGAGGATCCATCTTATTCGCCAACTTTGAATCATGAGGACCGGCATTTATGTCGCTTGAGCCAGGTTGAGTAGCGCTGGTTGAATCATCTCCGCCCGTTGCCGCCGATCCATAGGTGTCGGGGTCGGAACGGCCACCTCGATTGCCCATCCCAGAGTCGCGATAGGTACCAGGCTCATTGCCAAAGCGGGTATCAGAGCCGTAAGGATTGTTAGAGCCCATACCAGAAGATGGATTCATACCAGAAGAGTTGTACTCGTTCGGATCGTATTCTGTAGTGGGGGGATTAGAAGATCCGAAGGTATCATGAGGAGCTTGGGAGCCGCCGGCTCTAGCTGGATCCCTGTCATGATCAGTCATGGCTTCCTTGACTTTGTGCACGAACTTCGACATAGTAGGTAGTGAGTTTGCAATAAAATACTAGAAAGTGGTTTGAAATAAGGTAGGCTGTATAATTTCGGATTGCTTTATCTCTAGATAAAGCTACTAACAACGGGCTTATATGTAACTTCGGCCATCTTTTGCCTCAATGAGACTCGTAATAGATCGAACCTTACAGATATCCACTGACGCCATGGTGAGAAAATCGTGTGGTTGTAAAGACAAGGGAAAATACTTCATGACCTATTCATTCGGCTTCTTTTCCGTTGTTATGACGTGCCAGACAAGTTCAGTGATTATTGAGGCAAAATCTAGCATAGCTATAAATGTCATCTGCTCAAGTTTCGTCATTTCCGTAGTCTCTAAAGCTAAAAAAAACTAAGGAAGTGTAAAAATACAAAATCTGGGGGAATACGAACATGGTTTACCATCCTGTGGTTCTTCATTTCCATGGTTCCATATTCAGGTTTTGACGAACATAAACAGGAAATCATGCAAGATACAATAATTAATGAGGGATTGAGTTAACGTGTCGGTATATTTTTTTGTATAGAGGCTAACTAAGAACTGTCCTCTTTAACTTACAAATGTAATCAGGAAGAGATCGAAAAGTATCTGGCTCCCACTTTAATATAAACATGAAGATAGTGAAGTTATTATAAGACGACTTTCACGGAATCTCTTTCCGTATTGTAGAGGAAGTTAGTCCAAAAAAGAAGAAAATATATTAAACATGTCTCAGGAGATCTAGGTGACAGGATCTAGTTTAATTGCTCGCTTCTCTCCTCTCTATCGGTTCCTTTCTTCTCTCCGTCCGCCATTTCTTTAGTAGATCTATAAATACACTTCTTTCTTTCTGATCCATGGATCTATAACTGCATCATTAGATCTAATTTAATACCCACGTTATGTAGGTGTGTGTCCACTCCTGGAGTCAGAGCGGATGTCAAACTCGCGAGTACAGTAGATCCGATCCCCAAGAGGCACCTCCGACCCGTGATCTCGTTGTTCAAACTTTGCGGTCGATTCCTGAATTGCGAGGTTCTCAACATCGGTGCCTCGTTCAATACCCTTACCCCAAACCTGGAGCGGAATAGTGTCCACGCGATCCGGATCCTCAATGACTCCACCCGTAGACTGATTTATCGCCTCTTGGCTAGAATGCCCGGCAGTGCTGTTTCTAGTGAGTGATGTACTATTTGCCGAGCTGCGGAAACCGGGTCGAGAGAGATGAAATGGGCGGGTTAGCGAAAAGAAGGCACGGGGCTGCGAGCCACCGGTCTTGGAGTATGGATGGCTTCCCTTGTTGTCGGTGCCCCGGGATGGCCGCCCAGGCGTGCTGTTGTACTGGAAGGTTTGCAAACCGAACAGCTTCCGGAGGAGCGGCCACCAGCACATCATGTTCGCGACGAAGACGGCAGTGCTGGCCTCTCGTATATACCAGATCTGGTACACGGTGGTCAGGGGGGAGGCAAAGTTGAAGTATTTATTCAGGATGGCGGCAATGATCGTAAAAAGACCCAAGCTCATCACGCAGAGTAGTAGCATCTTCCGGCGCTGTGGGAGTCTCGCCTTGATGATGAGCGGTATCGGAATGGCAAACATAAACGTGTCTGATGAGATATTGAAAACCGCTTGTGTGATTGAATAGTGTTGGTACGTGGCGCACTGTAGATTTGATACTGGCAATGCCCAATATTGCGAGAAAGGTCGGCAGTACACAGAGTAGTAGGTGACCATAATAACGAGGAAACCAAGGGCCACGTAGACGGCGAGTATTTTGACATAGAGATTCGAGGGCAAGTTCTTCGTGATCCGCCAGTAGAGTATCAGCATACAGACCTTAACACCCCATGTTACAAAGAGCATGCACTGTTCCAGCGCAATGACGATTTTGCTTCCGAAGATACGGTCGTGAACTTGTTGAGGGTTGGAAAGCACCTCATCGTACTCGCTCGGATCCATCAAATTGGTCGCGTATTTTGCCGAGATTTGAATCAATACCAGCAAGGACGTATATACCATCTGTCGGGATCGGATCAGTAGTTAGTCGAGGGTCACGAATCGGGCTCTGGCCAGAGCAGGGGACTCACGAATGTTGCCGTCATCACATAATCGTCCCCTAAAATGTGCGATGAAGCTGGTGAGTTATGGCTGGTTAAACGAAAAGAAGCAAGTATGCGCACATGATAATCCCTGGATTGACATATTTGCCATCAACCGGGAGGCCCTGTTCATGGAATCAGCGTCTCCGTGTCTCGTCGATGCCCACGGGCGCAAGCAGTTCACACATACATTCGGCCAACGTAGAGCACCAACCCAATACTCCAAAAGACCGTGGCTTCCACCAAGAGCTGGTGGGGCGTGGGCGATACGTTCCCCATTCTGGCAGGAATATAGTTGCCCTCCTTGTTAAGTGGATCTACCTCACAAGGTCGCAAGAGTGAGCATCGAGCCTGCCATCGGAGGCTCTGGGAAGATGGGAGTTGAAGATACCATCGATGGCCCGATGGCCCTCAGGAATGGAATCGGGCTCGGAGCAGCCGGCGGATTTTCAGCTCCGAAGAATAGAGAGATTCGCTCGGGTCTGAGCTCAGTAAAATTACTGGTAGAGGGCCAAAAGAAACTTTCATGGACTTCATCGAAGTCCGTGCGCCACCCACGAGGGCCCCGATCGAGGAGGGCGAGAACCCTTCGCACCTGAGAAATCTGATAACCAAGGATCAATGAAAATTACTTTAGGAGAGATGAGGCAGATAGGCTTTGACGTGAGGAGCACCTGTGTCCATGGTTGGATTATATAGGACATCACGTCTTTCTTGAGCCTTTGAGAAAAAAACTGTGTCTCATGTTTTGCACCAGTTTAGTAGAGACTGATTTAGCGGACCGTCCACGGGTGGGTGGACGATCTTTGACGGAAAGCCTCACACAAGTGCTCGCGTGGGGGCATCGTGAGCCCATCGGAGGCCCCCGACGAGATCCCGATCATTCGTGTCGCCTTAGGTGCATTTCATTTCGAGCGCGCTAGATGGTGGAGGTCATTTCGCCACGTTCTAGCCCGGTATGTGCCGACGACATTTGATTTCCACATGGTCCATTCATCAATAGCAGAATTTAACAAGATATGCCAAAGATCTCACTCTCTCACAGGTTTCCCCTTGGAGATCTGAACCATCCAACAGTTGGAATATCATCGGAACCCGCCCGTCGTTCCTGAAGGCTAATAAATGGGTCCGGCACAGTGGGGCCTCATTTCTGTTAGGTCCGGTGCCTGTGGCCCGATAATTTCAACTGAGTTAAGGCGATGCCCCAGATAGAATAGCGGCGAGGATTTTGAAGGCCTGGGATTGAATCGCGCCCTCGCGATCATCATATGGTATGTATCCACTCGTCCTCGACGAATGGGGAAGCTTTTCCCCCAAACTTCTAAGAGACTTGATGGCACTAGGAGAATTTTCTCAAACTATTATTCGCATAGAAGATGATATTCCCGTATATTCCCAAAAGGAGTGATGAAAGAGGTTTGACGCTTATCCGACCAAGCGGGCCTTGTCTTGCTTTCTTTCTTTTTTCTCTCGCGATTCCTATCTCACTCCGTTCTTGACTCGCTCCCATTGCCTCATTCGATATCATTCGACAGGTGACACCATGGTGGTCGTTGAAAAGCAAACTTCCCAAGTCGGCGAGACTGCGCCAAGGAACAGCACGGAGATAGACACGGTGCGCCTGGAGGCTGCTCTAGGTCATAAACAGGAGCTGGTGCGGAATTTCGGGCTCTGGAGTGTAACGAGCTTGGGAATTGTGATCGCCAAGTCAGTGATTTGAACTTTTTTCTGTCCGAGTCCGTCGCCTTGACTAACTTAAATATGTAAACACAGTTCCTGGGCCGCGACTGGTGGCACAATTGTGACTGCACTCATGAACGGAGGCCCAATGGCTCTGCTTTATGGCTTGATACTTGTCAGCATCTTCTATACGGCGATTTCGGCGTCGCTGGCCGAATTGGCATCCTCCATGCCCTCCGCAGGCGGAGTATATTACTGGTCGACGGTGCTGAGTGGCAAGCATGGTCGCGCCGCCGGATTCTTCACGGGCTACCTCAATGCATGCGCCTGGCTCCTGTCGGCTTCGTCGATGAGCTCTATGTTGGGCAATGAAGCGGTGGCCATGTACTTGCTTCGGCATTCTGACGTCACCTGGCAGTCCTGGCAGGTGTTTATTGTGTTCCAGGTTGTCAATTGGACCTGCTGTGCAATCGTCTGTCTAGGGAACCGGTTTATTCCTCTGATTAATCGGATCGCACTGATTCTATCAATGACCGGACTCTTCGCAACAGTGGTGGTTCTCGCCGCCATGCCAAAGACACACGCGACCTCTTCGCAGGTATGGACGCAATACTATAATATGACTGGCGGCTGGTCCGATGGGGTGTGTTTTATAACGGGGCTGCTTAATGCTGCCTTCGCCGTGGGGGTTCCTGATTGTATCAGTCATTTGTCTGAAGAAGGTATGTTAAATGGCACACATCCCATCTCGATTATCAAATGAAGACGAAGAGATTCTAACTAATGATGATAATTTAGTTCCTAAGCCCCAAATCAAGGTGCCGCAGGGCATGATGCTACAGATGTTGACAGCCTTCTCCACCTCCTTCATCTACCTGATCGCTCTCTTCTATTCGATCCAAGACATTGACACTATATTTAACACTAATGTGGGCTACTTTCCTACCGCTGAAATCTACCGACAAGCGACAGGATCCACTACCGGTGCTATCGGACTTATTGCGGTGCTGTTTCTAGCTACCTTCCCAACCCTAATCGGCACGTTTGTCACTGGAGGTCGGATGTGGTGGAGCTTAGCCCGGGACAACGCAACACCTTTCTCAAACTACTTCGCCCAGGTGCATCCTACATTGAACTGCCCGGTCCGTGCCACTGTCGCGATGAGTGCGCTGGTTACCTGTCTCGGCTGCATTTACGTCGGCAGCACAACGGCATTCCAGGCCCTCATCTCGTCCTTTATCGTGCTGAGCACTTTATCCTATTTTGGGGCTATCCTCCCCAATGTGTTGACTGGCCGTCGGAACATAGTTCCCGGGCCATACTATATGGGCAAGAACCTAGGAATGGTGGTGAATATCGTCTCGTTGGTGTACATTATAGTCACCGTGGTATTCTTCTGTTTCCCATTGGTGATGCCTGCCACCGTTCAAAACATGAATTATACGAGCGTCATCACTGTCGGCTTGATGACATTGACCGCGGGGTGGTGGTTTGTCCGCGGGAGAACCGAGTACCGAGGCCCACAGTTCAGCTTCGAGGCAGCTAAGCAATTGACGTGTGTACAAGCAGGCAAGGAGAGCGGCAGCCCTGTAATGGCGCCGACAGAGGATTCTACGCCAGGTTCCCTTGAAGAGCATGGGCGGGTGGAATGAATGCTACTCCTGTGATGAGCACGATAATAAAAGAGACATTCAAGATCTAACGCTCTGTACGTTATGACTTCCTACTGTATGTTTATGAATTAGACTACTCCATGAATAGGAATACATCGTGACCGATACATCACCTACACGTATACCCATCAGTTGTGGGATATAACTCCACAGTGCTGAGCGCCTTTGCCATCTACATACGGTGGTTCAGCGCATCGGATCGCACTCTATTCACAGCAGGGCTTCCTGCAACTAAAATAATGGAGAGTCTTAGCAACTAAGCATATGGCTAGCAGAATTCGTGAAGATGTACCGAGGATTCCATTGCAAAACCGTATACTTTGTCACCTAGCGCGTTCCTATCACCAACCTCAATTACCTCATGGCAGCCAAGCTTCCCTAGACTACATTATAAATAAGTGCAAATACTTGATTATATATAGGTCCATAGGGAATATTCACAGCACAAGCTCCTAGCAAGTTACAGGTGTGCAGGTTGAACCCTTTTTGCAGTGCTCAGCCAAATATATTGTCAACATTCAATACATCAGTTGCTGCCATATCGAAGTCTCCTAACATGGAGAAGAATTCCGAGTTAGTCGCCAAAGAAGTTTCACGAAGCACATATGATCCCCCAAGGCTAAATACTCTATCCCGATTGCGGAGAAAGTTCTTTTTCAAGTTTTCTTCAATAGAACCACTAACAATGTATAGCCGAGTTATTACATTATGGAGCGTTGCGTGGATGCTACCTTTCCCCAGGATGACGTGTGTCATGTTCATATCAATTGTGAGTATAGAAAGTTCTGAATACCCTGTCTATTGTGTTCTGTTTTGATCGAAATATCTGATTTTGGATAGCATTAAGGCGGCGGTGTACGAATTATCGACGAACCTTTGGCTATTTATTTACGCGCGTTGAAGTGCAGCCTTATCAAGTGTGTGCATAGATCAATGAAGAAATCAATATATTCATCAAATAGCAAGCTGGAAACGAAAAAAAAGGCATCGTGAGCTTTTCAAGACATCACACGTCATGCACTGAACAAACCCCAAACTGATATGACTAGACACATTGAAACACTGAAGCATCGCATGCCAGATCAAACATTAACAAAAAAAAAAACAACGTAGCCATAAAAGCAAAACGGCCCGTCAACAAATCATAAACCAATCTCCCCTCTACTTGCTTCCCCCAGCCCTAGAGACCCCAAACCTTCGACTATTTTGTCAAGGCCCAAGCCACCAAGCAAGCCACTTAACAAATTACCGAGCCCTAAACCGCCGAGGAGCTTATCAACCAAGCCCAGAACACCGCTCAGTAGCAAGCCCACGGCGGCAATGATTTGGAAAAGAGGTTCTGAGAGCAGCGCCCAGAGAGGATTCAGCTTCTTCTTAGCGTGAGGCATGTCGGCTAAGCGTCTGCGGCCGCTCTCGATCGTCGCGGTGACCGTTTCGGAAAGCTCCTTAATTCGGTCGGCCAGCTCATACTCCTCCGGGGTCGCATCACGCGAGGAGGCGCGCGCCTTAGCTGTCGCGGCAATACGGCCATCCGGGTCAAGGCCTCGGATAGCGCCGTTGCATTCCTGAAGGATACGACCGCCCTCTTCGAGTAGTGGCTTAACATTTTGCACTAGCTTCTCCTCATCTAACTCGTCCTTCGGGGTACGGTCTGCTCTCTCGAGGTGCTAAAGTAGATAAGAGGTTAGCGAGAACGTCTCTATAGTTTAGAGTGTTATAAAAACTGACCTCGGTAATCATTTTGCATATCGGCTTGACCTGCTCTATGGTCTGGTTAAGAATACCGCACATCTTCTGTGCCAGCTGGCGGTCCTGTTCCTTCTTCTCCTGAGCCTGTTTCTCTTCGGGCGAGAGTTCCTCGACTTCCTCGACCTCTTCGGGGATATTCTCTAATAGTGTGCACTCGCCAATTTTATTACCGTCATTATCGACCACATAACCGTTATCGTCGACTATTTTACCCATCAACGTGGGCAAGTCTCCCGATGTCAGCTTGCCGATAAGGTTACCATCGGCGTCGCGCACCTCGCCTTCCTTAGTGACCTTCCGGCCGGCCATCGGGTTAACGTCGCGCTTCTTCTCTTCGGGCTCCCAACGTTCCGCCTTCCCGATCGTGTTCCCGTTTTTGTCTAGTATGTCGCCATCCTCTTCGACCTTACGGCCGAGAAGCCGCTTCGCATCACCCTCGAAGAGACGGCCAATAATCTGTTCTCCGTCCACGACCACGCCATCCTTACCGACCTTAGCGTTGTGGAAACCGTAGAACGGACCCTCCGCCTCTTCCCGCTCCGCCTCGGGAATCAGCTCCGCCCGGCCGACCACTTTACCGTTATCACCCCAGACTTGACCCTGGCTGTCAACCTTACAGCCCGCGAGACGCTTGTCACCTTCGACGAGTCGTCCGAAGACGGCACCCGTAGTTGGGTCTACGATATTGCCCTGTTTATTAACAACCTTGCCCTCAAGAATAGACAAGTCCTCTTCGGCAGGGGCTTCTTCTTCGGGTGGCTCGTAAGGCTCAGCGCGGCCCTTAACATTGCCATATTTGTCTGTGATCTCGCCATCCTCGTCGACCGCGTGGCCACGTAATTTCTTTGCATCGCCTTCGACAAGTTGGCCTACAATAGAGCCATTCTCGTCCTCAACAAACCCGTCTTTAGTGACAACTAGATCCTCCAGTCCGGCGAACGCGCCAGAAGGAATACCTTCTCGGTCATCCTCGGGAATAAGCTCGACGCGACCCACCATATTCTTGCCGTCGTAAATTTCGCCGTCCTCGATCTTCTTACCCACCAGTTTCTTAGGGTCTCCCTCGATAACACGGCCGATCGGGAAACCCTCAGGCCCGATCACATAGCCGGCTTTATTACAGCTTAGCCCATCCATACTAGACATGTCGATAGGCTCCTCTTCCGGAGGTTCAGGTTCTTCCCAGCGCTCCGAACGCCCGATAACGGTGCCGTGTCGGTCAAGCACTTCACCGTCCTCGTCGACTGCCCGGCCGACCAGCTTCTTAGGGTCACCTTCAATGAGTCGCCCAACCCTCGTCTGGTTCTCGTCTTCAATCCATCCATCCTGGCCCACGACCAGGCCATCCAGGTTCGCAAATGGTCCCTCTTCTTTGTCCTCTTCGACGGGGAGAGGCTGAGCCTTGCCGATGACATTCCCGCGGTTGTCCCAAAACTGGCCTTCAGCGTCGAGCTCAGCGCCAAGCTTCGAGAGCCGCTTAGGGTCACCCTCAATTACCTCGCCAATGGGCTTGCCATTAGCCTCGTCTATGATGTAGCCGCGCTTGTTGCACTTTAGGCCCTCGAGAGACTCGATCGAAGGAATCACTTGGCTGGCTTCCTCGGTGGCCTCGTTGGCAGTCTCTTCTAAGGCCTCCTGCTGCTCTTCTGCTGGAATCAGCTCCGCACGTCCTATAAGGTCGCCATCATCATCCATGACCTCTCCCTCGTCATTAAGGGTATATCCGACGAGGTCCTCCGAATCGCCCTCGACAATTTTTCCCACCGCCTGGCCAGCAGCATTTTTTATCACGCCACCCTCAGAAACAGGCAACCCATCAAGATCTGCCAAGTTAGTTACCACATCATTGGCCTGGTCTAGCTCCGACTGGCCCTTCGTGGCAACCTCCTCGGATTGATCGGCCGCGTCTTCCAGAACTTCAACACGACCGATCAGGTCACCATCTTCATCGACGATCTCGCCATCATCTTCGATGGTCTGTCCCACCAAGTCTTCTGGATCTCCTTCCACTACTCTCCCTAGTGGGTTACCGTCCTGATCGAGAACTTGCCCACCGTCGGCGACAGTGAGACCCTTAAGCGCCGCCAAAGTGACCGGTGCGTTCTTTGTGAGAGCCTCTTCTCCCTCCGGTATCTCTTCTCCCTCCGGTATCTCTTCTCCCTCCGGTATCTCTTCTCCCTTCGGCATCTCTTCTCCCTTCGGCATCTCTTTTCCCTTCGGCATCTCTTTTCCCTTCGGCATCTCTTTTCCCTTCGGTATCTCTTTTCCCTTCGGCATCTCTTCTCCCTTCGGCATAATATCCTTCGCTTTGCCAGTCATGCTCTTAGCTTCACCTGCCTGCTCGGACGCTGCGCGCCCAAGTGGGGTCCCCGAACCAGAAGCTTGAGATACCTCATCCTTGGATGAATGGACAGGACGCCGCTGCTCTGAAGTACCGGTGGACTTCTTTAAAGACTTTGGGGATGGTGTTGTAGGCATGGATCCTCCTCCAGCATCATCCGAGATTGGCTTGGACTGCTTGCTATGGAGCTTTTGCGGACTCATTTTCTTCGAGGAACTGAGGCTCATGTTGTCTCCAGGGGGGTGTTGGGGATTTTGGGGGGTGTGTTTTAGTTTTCTGCTTATATCGTTGGTCGTATATATAATTTTTGTCAAATTATCGGCAGATGGGGAATAATAATGTAACAATAGGTCGTTGGAATCGCCAGTAGCATAAAATTCACTGTTATTAATATTGAAAATTAACTACGATGTAGTGGAGTTGTTACGGCTTAAGAACGAAAGACCTGCCACCAAGCTCGATAGTGACGTCGTGAAGTCTAGATCATATGGTCCTGTCTTATGACAAGCACAGCCAAGATATACTTCACCATTACCTGCTTTGCAGTCTAGGCTGCCAAACCAGACAAACTATCCGCCGCTCATTGAACCCCAAATGTTTTGGTTGGCGTCATAGATTAAATAAACTCCATGACCCACTTTAGATAATCTACCTAAGTAATATTACCAAAAATTACTTAATTACCTAGGAGCCATATACCGAATAGCCGTAATATAACGTCTACGGCAATTAAAACTAACTAATTTTATACGGCTGTCTACACATGTAGCTTTTATTCAAAGATTAAGTTCCATAATTCACGGAGAATTCCAATGTATACATTGAAAGGCGGTAAGATATAGTGCCTGATGAGACAAATTTTTTTACAGGACTGACGCATGGCTATGGTTGTCAACCATCCGTAGCGTTAACCATACGGAATTTGCTACGGGCAAGCACATCTACGCGGTGGTACTAGAATCAGTAATTTGATAGCTATTCTGTGTGCTGCTTCTAGAGAATCAAATTTTGAAGAGAGGAGAATATGAAATTGGTGGTTAGGTTCGCTGATCTTGAAAGTTGGCCTTATTGTTCAACCTTATCGTCGAAGCTGCTCGGCGGCATTAAGGGGTTACGAAGGCACGATTTCCACCTTGTCATACTGTATCACGGTGAATTAAATAATGATTATAGATGGGCTGCTCGATGCTGGATAGTGAAAATGTTTTCTCCCCTTCCTCATCATATTGATATATGAGAATACTTGCTCGATATCGCTCATCCAAGAATCGTCTACTCCATTTTCGTCCGCCGAGCGCGGCGCAACAAATATGATCTAGTTGGATGCCGACTGCTGACTAGTTGAAAGTGAATAATTTACGACCATAGAATGATCCATTTGATAAGCTCAAAGCTATTGCTCAATTCACATGCACCAACGACTTGGTCACTTTTCCTAAGTATAGAAAGGTAAAATAAAGCGAAAATAGGTGCTGTATTGCCAGCTTATAGTTAGACGCGACCAAAATTGGCCTGGAAAATGGAGTCCGAGTTTCCGCGACTAAAAGAGTGTATGAAATACCATATTGAATGATAACAAATCAAGGTAGTATCGCCGTGGTGAATATTGCGCCCAAATCTGACATAATGATACTAGATGATGTAAAAGCCATGTTATGGTACGTTCTCCTTGAAACTCCCAAACGGTAAATTCTGTTTAGTGCGATATCAGCAAGGGGAGCAAACTTGAGAAGATAAAAGACAAGCCCATAGCCGCTGCAGCCGGGGTTTAGTTACTATATTGCTAGTTAGTTAAAATCTCACTAATAGAACTCATCAAAACATTCAAGTGGGTCCTAAATATGGGTTGAAGGGGAAGGGCTTACTGACAGTAGACCTATAGTCAAATCACCATGAATTTTCGCCTTTAGCTCAATCTCAATATCCAAATTGATATCCAACCGAAGACGTAACTGCTCGTTATTCCCGCTGTCCTCCTTCTCCTCCTTCTGGCTATCGCCTAGGGCTCCGCCGAGGGCCTTGCCTGCGCTGTCAGTAACACCGTTAACGGCTTTGCCAGCGGTGTTCTGTACAAGCTGTCCGGCCTGGTCCACATCGCCCATACCCTGAAGTGCGTTCCCGCCACTGCTCTCCCGCTCCTTTAGTCGCTGATGTGGCTGGCGCTGGCGCCGGGTACGTTGGAGCTGCTGAGGCTGAGGCTGATCGTCTGTTTCACTAAAGTTTTTAGGTTCGGACTCGGATTCCTGACGGTATGAGCGAGCGGGGCGGGGTCGGCGTCTGCCGTGATTATAGTGTTGCTGTTCAAGCTCGGGTTCTGGTTCAGGCTCCATTTTTTCTTGCTGTTGTTGTTCCTCCTGTTGGTTTTGTTCCAGGTCTCCTTCTTGTATTTGATAGAAGTCGGAATCGCCTTCCCCACCTCGTTGTACTTCTTTATCTATTTCTTGACTCTTGGTTTCATCGTCGTTGTTTATCTCGGAAGTGGGCGGCGTCTTGTTAGATCTCTTTTTGCCTAGTTTGGCCGGAGCACGCTTGGGTTTGTTAGGGGTGGCAGCTTTGGGGGCCACGCTGGGAGTTTCGGTTGGTTCCTTATCGGCCATGGTGAAAGGAGGAAAATAAAGCAAAAGAAAGAAGGGCCAGATTATGAACTCCTTTGGCGTGGCAAAGGCACCCACCATTTGGGTAATAATGTACGAAAATTTATAGTATTGTGGCGTATTTTGCTTTAGACTTTATCTATCGGGTGGTCTACCAGGATATCGTTATACCCAGTCGAGATGGACATTTTGGCCTCCTCCGACGTCAGAGGCGGTGGTGCTGTATTTCTTCGGATGAGTCGTCGGTACCAGACAGGGTCACCCAGGGAAAACATTAGATAGTCAACTGGGAAGAGGACAGATTACGCTGACGACTTCAACCCTTATTCGTGTATCCACACCCTCTTGTTTTCCCTTTGTTTCTTCTTCCAACTCTCCTTCGTATATATTCACTTATACTGAATTATAGTACGGAGCCATCCCATGCACCAGTTCTATCATGGCTACTGTCGAAAAGGTCAAGGACCAACAGAAACAATTCAAGGTGCAGCAAGGCGACTCATTCTCCGGTGAGGACTATGATACCGCCGACGACTACGAATACTCCGACGAGAGTTTTGAAGAGTCAGCTTCCGAACAGTTACAGCAGAAACAGCAGAAACAGCAGAAACAGCCGCAACTTCAGCAGAAACGGCAACAGCAACAGCTTCAGAAGTTACCGCGGCAACAGCAGAGTGGACATGATAACGATGACTACTCGGATGACTACTCGGACGAATATGAGGACGACTACTCTGATGACGATGATGAGGATCTCTACGATGTCGACGAAATGCAGGGTAAGGCCCTCCAGTCATCCGAACAACGCAACACGGATATAGGCAACCGGTCCGGCAGCATGAGCATAGTCCAGAAGGAGAAGAAGGACATCATGGACGAGGAAGGGCTCAAGCTGAGGCTGGAGCTGAATCTGGAGATCGAGATCGTGCTCAAGGCACACATCCAGGGTGATTTGACCCTGAGTTTAATGTAAGCTCTGATATTACGGGATTTATACCATTCGTGGTATAGTGGTTGGCGAGGTTAGACTGACTTGATGTCGTTATCTATAGGGCATGACCAAATATTCAGTCGCAATTTTCTCCCCGCCTTTCACTTTTCCTCGAAAAAGTGAAAGATCCATTCTTTTTCCCAATTTCGATCCAACATCTTTCACGAACATAACGCTCGTCTCGACGGATCCTGCGGTTAGTTGTTTCTGTCGGTAAATACTAAGAGAAATGGTATGGTCTGTATGCAAGCAGATCCTTGGAGGATCGGATTCCGAGGGTTAGATTCCGAGAATCACTTGGGACATCTTGGGACATGGGTATAGCAATTCCCTATATTATTCCTGCTCAGCCTGTCCTAGGAAATCACCAGGACTTTCCTAGATGAAATAACCAGAGAGTTTGATATTACCATTCTGGTTCCCATACAATATTGGTGGCCTATATCTGTCAGTTTCTTTCACCTGTGTTCTTGCATAATGCCTCTATTGATCGAAATTCACTTTTGTCTTCGTTGCTAGCTTAGATTTCTCGTTCTAAAAAAATTTCTCTAAAAGAGCTCTTAACCTTTTCCCCCGATTTAACCCTTACAATTAGCATTAACGGCTCTCGTATTAAGAAAAACTCAATTAATAGGAAAGAAGATGACCTCTAGGGATTTAACTCTATTGTACCAGTGTCATCGCCGACGTTAAAACAAAAAATGATAATCCGTGAATACCGGACTTTGCCTACTGCCAAAACTCGGATACTAATGTGTTGCGCAGGACATAAGAGATGTAAATTGGCTATCCTAAAAATATAAAAATACCTTTCTTAATCGTAACTACACGAGGTTCCTATTTAAACACGGATCAGGTGAAAGAGATCGCAATCATAGAAAGTTCATGGGCGCAACAATTGAAAGTCCAAAGCCAAGAAGGAGGCTATTCCATTCTCTAAGATCTCGGATCAACATTAGCAGGCGATTGTTGAGCCGAATCAGCAAAAGGCCGACGGGTTTGAGAATCTGGGGATTTTATCCAACTTCCGCAATTGGAACCATTGTGCCCCGTTCAGTCCAGGCTTGTCTAGATGACTGTTGCACATTCGATTGCACATTCGATAAGTGTTGGTACTGGAAGCCTACCAATCTTATGCAACGCATGCATCTTTTGAAAGTCCTTTTTCACTATTTCAGCTGCCCCTATATATCTATGCTACGAGTAGTGCATGCCATGGTTCATATATCGAAGGACGATTCTGTACCTTGGTCGGGGCATAATATCACCCCTACTGTTTAGAAATCGGGTTACCCAAATTCTTGAAAGTGCAGCCTTCGCCACTTGTGAACCGGATTTTGAACACCATTCCTACCTACGTGTTTTACGTAGACTATTTAATATAGAGTGGGATGCTCGTCTGCGGCTGGCAGTGACGTAGATTTCTCAAATGAGGGAATCGAGAACCAGTTCGCGGAACGCCCAACACGTCATCAACCTATGGCTTCGATAATGTTGGTAAGTAATATAGATATTAAGGGCAAAATATATATGCTTTGAACGCCAATACCCGCTGAAATACCGTGAAAAATCGCAAATACTTCCTCTATATCTGTTTTATCGACACGTTTTGCCAGCCAATCAATCTAAAACAGATTATACTCCCGAGCCCTCACGATGCCCCTTGATAATGCTACCAGTGGTCTTGGGGGAGGGCTTCCCAATGACAGACTGGAATCAGAAACAGTCGGAGGGGTCAAAGGCGTCTCAACAAAGCGACTGGACAATGTGACTGAAGACCTGACCGACCCGGTCCTTCCCGGCGGATTTCCTTCTGACGAAGCTTCGAAAAGAAATGAGGAAGCTGTCGAAATCTCATTTTCGGCTATATGGTCTACCATCGCTGCAGGGTTGTCCACTCTATTCCCTCAAGCATTCGATGCATTTGAGTCCAGTATTAGTGGGCTAGTCTGTTGGCTACTACCTCCGCCCCGTCAAGCAGCAATTTATGAAGCTGCATTAAAGCGCCCCGCCGCCACGACATTTATCGTTTGTCAAATTATCTGCTGCGGAGTGCCATTGTTCGTATTCTTAGCTGGCATAGTTGTCTTCGCTGCTATTGCGATACTTCTCTGGGCTTTATTGTCACTACTAATCCTTGGACCGGTGTTATTAGTCACAAGCATGATGGGAGCATCTCTCTGGGGATGGGGCTGGATCTTCTACGGTCTGGTGAAGTGGATTGATCAGCGTTTCTTAGGCGGTATGCTTATACGCTTCTGGCTTCCTCGGCCGCAATCAGAAACGCAATCAGAGACAGAAAATGGAGGGGACCAGCCCGAGGAAGATAAAAAGAAAGAGTAATAAACTGAGATCCTGTGGATAATCCTTTTATGTCACATAGTATATTTTATACAATCCGAAAACTCCTAAAAAAAAGCAGGGTTTCCTTATATATACCGCTTCTAGCTCTTTGGATCAGATGAACGGCACTCGGGTAAAAGTCTTGAAAGACAGTTCCCTAGGTGAGATTTCAAGGGGAGTTATCCAAGGAGGAACACTCAACAGAGATTATTTACGAGAGGAAATGCTTCTACAGATAGAAAATAGAAAATAAATTTGGAGAAGGGAAGGGAGGGAGAGAAGGGGGTGTGTTCTTCAAACCAGTCTAGAGAAATCTTAAACCGTTCATATACTATGAGATTAATTATAAAATCTTATTCACTAACGATGGAATGATTTTTTGAAATATCACTTAAATTTTATTGTTAACCGGTTGCATAATATTGTCGGATAAAATTGGGTCTTACATTACTAGCTTGCTCGACTTTTACAGCACCCAATTGCTGACTAGAGAAAGTCAGCTTAGACCTGGACTGTCATGGCTAATAGTCGTCTTTTCTGCTCCCAATGATGTCCATCCTTAGCGATGTGCAATCCACGAAGTGCTTTTGAGCCCAGTTCTCCAACATTTGCTTCAAGCGAGACTTTGCTTGACTTATGCCATGTATTCTCTTTACCAGAGGCAATCGGTTTTGATCGCTCGAATTCGGTTTCTTAATTTCCAAAGTCCCGGCCTAACAATACGCAAAGGATTGCTAAAAGGATTGCTTGCGGCCTTCCAGATTGGGAAGTAAACATTCCCGAGAGGCTCTTTTTAAACCAGGAGAATATGCACGTGTGTTTGATCAAATCCATGTGCAGAGGACGCAAGTAATTACAGTATATCTTTGAGCTTATTCATGGATCAAATGCGAATGACTTATCACGCAACAGCAAAAGTCATTATCTCTAATCCATGCCAGTGCGTATTCACCTGAAAGTTAAGCGAAACTGGATGAATGCCCGAATGCCTAGAGTTTGATGTGTACGCTTTTGTTCTTGTTTCCTGTGTTTTGATTGCAATAGCGCGGATATCCTTCACAATATCCAAGTCAAGTAGACCAAAATTTTAGTATCAAGGAAACGATGGAGAATTTTGGGTGATTAAGCAAAGCACTAAGCAAAGTATCATTAATAAGACAAACCTTCGCTTCACCACAACAATAAATGAACACCCGAGCTACAAACCAAGAAACGCGGAAATGGTCATATTGATCCTACACTCTGATTGGTCTGAAAGAAACAGAGAAATCTCTACACCTTCCTCGTTTTCTCTCCGCGTGTCTAATATGTCAGCATTGCCTGTTTAAGATTTATTGATACTATTCTCAACACAACAAAAAGATAACAACGAAAAGAGGTGTGCCATAGTCCGTACCAGGTAGCAGATCCTTGGTATTGCACTGAAAAAATTGCATCTCGTCGAATCACTGTCACCAATGACGTTCAACAAAGTTGGGAATAGTGCTGAGAACCATTGAACACAATTTCGCGCATACCCAACATGAGGCATTCATGGCACCAGCTGCGAACGAAGTGAACATATCATCAACATTCTTCAGGAAGTCGCTTCCCCATTTCTTGCAAATGGAACCATAGTCCGACTTCAAAAGATAGTGGCCGAAGAACGCTGACAGCAATAAGACTCCTGCACATAGTCTGATACAAGGTTCCCAAAGAAAATGGTCAAATCCCCGTGGTCTCAATCACTATAGTCATGGCAGCGGCCAAACGCTTAGCAGGCTCATGGAGGCCTATAGACGACAGTGGTCATTAAACCGCCCCGAAAACAACCAAAACATAAGCCAGCTGACTAACGAAGAAGCACTTATACCATATCCTTTTTCTACTGTAAGGTCTCCTGGTGGCAGGCAAGCCGCCACTCGCCATCCGAATCCTGACACCAGGTACTTGAAGCCGTGGCTTGGTACTCGTTCCCCTCCCTCATGGCACGCACCTTATACGTCACGATACCCGCCATAAGTCCGACAATGATAGTTTGAGCGTCTTGCAGGTGGTAGGATTCGAATCGGCGAAACGGCTGCGCCAAGGCGTCACTGAAACCAGACTCGTCTTTCAAGGTAAGGATAGGCAGCTGCGGGAGTATCATGTTGACATTGTCATTGCACAATTTCTGAACCGCCGGCCCTGGCTCAGCAGATGTCAGGGAAGTCCAGAGAGTGTTTTCTTTATTAAAGAGATCCTCCTGAATACGGTCGTCCATTGACGGCATTGTAGAAGGTAGGTGGAAGAAGTGTTGAAATGCTGATTTATAGAAGACAAGCCGACACTAGGGAGATGGGCAAACCGGCAGCAATCCAGCTGATATACAGAAGACAGGAATACGAGTATGTAATTAGGAAGGTTTAGTTTCGAGGAGTGCGATTAACATCGGAGGTTCGATTATCGTCTGGTTGCAATAGCGACAGATCTCCTTTTTACCTGATTATGTGCTTTGCAATAGGGCTTATTGAAATCGAAATTTTGGGTTGGAATAGGCGTCATAGAATAAACATAATGACCAACTCTAGACAAAGTGACAAAACGGCGGTGCGCCATCTACCAGATTGCCACAATATGACGTCTGCGACAACTAGTACTAACTTATTAAGCAAGTCATCTACAGATTTCATTCGAAGATTCAGTTTTTAGATGCGCGAGAATTCTAAAGTAAACTTCAAAGGGCCGTAAGCGATAGTGCGCGCGATAGGACAATTTCCTTTACAGCACAGATGTATAGTTATAGTTCTTAACTCTCCGCAGCGCTAATTATACGGAATCCCCCTCCGTAGAGAAATCCTTGCACCTCCTTTTCAAGCCAAACTGCGCGGCCAATCTGTGGATTCTGCAGCTTCAGTCCAATCGAAATAGCTGGTTGCGAGCGCGTATCTCTGTCCGCCCACAGTGTATTTTCGCGTATCATCGTGCGCATATCTTCAAGCAAACCATGCCAATCTCCACCTTCATCAAGGAACTTCAGCATGCTCAGCTTGATAAACCGGATGGATTTTGGTAATGCACAAAGGAACGATATGACATCTGACTGTGTCACTAAGAAGCGCGATAGTTCAAAACAGCGTAGTTTCGGCCATTTCTCCACTGGAATAAAGCTCTGTAAAGAGATCAGACGCTCGAGTGACCCAGCGCTATATTCGTCATCATAGGGATTGTTGATGACTGTAGTATGCAAGCTGAAATCTTCCATGTCCTTTGCCTCACCCAATACACGGCGAAATCGTCCGTTTAAAAATGATCGCCAGCATGCATCGAGTTGATCATCACTTTCTCCGCCTATCAGAAAGGTGATAGCTAGATGACGGAAACCCGGATTTTTCAGTACTATCGCAAAGTTATTGTACTCCTCGCAGGGCTGATCAAAGATCGTACAATTGAGTCCAGTAGGCAGATGGTTGGAAGACAAAACCAGCTCAGAAACTGAGTTCGGTTCATTCGCGAGTACGCGCAGTGCATAAATAAAGCCGCGGTACCTTTCTCTGAGTTCGGGATACTCTTTCCAACGGTATGCGACGGGAGGTTCAACTGGGCCATTTAACTATCCCCGTGGAATAGGGTAATTGAAGCCTTTTGGAAAAGCGCGAATCATAGGCGTAGGATAGAGCGGAATAAAGAGATAGCCGTGGGCCGAAGGCGTGATAGTGACTCTCTTAAGAGCAGGGAACTGTTTGACGCCGTATAAGAATGCATGCGCGTCACTATTATCGGCCAGCACATCTTTTGCTTGCCTAACAAGTGGTGATAATACTTCCAGCACTCGCTCAGTGGAGGCTGTGCAAAAACTTGCTCTCGGCGCGCGATATGATCGGGACGGTCCACGTCTCGACCCTTACGTTGTCTTAGGATGTCGAGGTTTTCCTCGCATAAATTTTTGAACCACTTTGGGCATCCATCTTCGAATTCGTGTCGCTCAAGAATCTGCTCCTGGGGGTACGAGCCGTATTCTTGAACACACGCTCGAGTGTTTCCAGCTTCATCTTCGTCCGAGAAATTTTCATTTCCCTCGGCAGATTCGTTGAATCCGTGGGGTCCCCTGGCTAAGCGCGCCTCATCCCAGATGATCTCGGTTATGCTGTGGCGAAATTTGTCGTGGCCTGCTATACAGCGAAAGACTTCGACATTTAGTGGATTGGCGGATAAGAAAACGCGGTCGATGCGTAGAATCGACGCATTCTTAAATTGTACACATGAGAGGCGGAGATTTTTGATGTCGGAGCTGGATAGATACGATGCTATGCATCCCCATAGCTCGAAAGGGAGGGTAGGGAGAGTGGTGTAAGCCATAAAGTGATAGAGATGAAGTTCTAGAATAGTCACGATCGCGGGAGGAAGCGACTCCCTCCGCCCCTCCGCCCCTTTAGCTGTCGATCCTAGCCATACGGCCCCACTTTTCATTTCTTTAGCTACATCATACTTGATTGGCGATTAGCATCCAAGACGAAACAATAGATCGCAGGTCGACGTACTAGATTCTTTGGGCGGATTCCCACAGCACGACGCACAAAAGAGAGACAGACAATCCAATGATGTATTGTATTGAGGTGGTTAAGAGGAGAGAGAGTGTGAGAGAGAGAAAGACTCACTGGTCTCTATCTCCTAGTCCCAGTGCTCATGTGGGCACTTGAGCCTTGAGAATCATTCAATGGACACTGGTATCAACAATAGATCAAGCGATCAGGTCAAGAGGCTAGAGGCCCGCGTGAAACAACCACAGACGGAGGTCGAAGGGGCGCAGGCCGCCTATGCTCAAGCCTAGGCTCGAGTCCTCAACATCGGACAGGACGAGGCCCAGGAGGTAGCTGGTCTCAAGGGCGAGTTGAAAGACACACGGCAAGACATCGAGTGGATGGAGGAACAATATTCGGACACCGCGATGAGAAACTCCCGTCCTCCATTCCGGAACGAACAAGCTTGCAGCCTTTCCCCAAGCCACGAACAGCACTCATCCCCAGATTTTCACTTCAAGACCCCGAAACTCACGAAAGTGTGGTTGATACCGTAGGCAGCAGCTCCCCCGAGGTCCAGCGGGAGGCCAAGTACTTCAAGCAGGTCGTTCAGGCCGCTGGGACTCCTTCAATTAAGAAGCTCAAATATCGGTTATATAATGCTTCTAGTGGTCTAAGATGCCGAGCGTTTTACAGGGAACTAGAGAGAATGGTACGAACCAATACCGTTCTGTTATTGTTTAGCTAAGGATGTCAGCGTAATGGCAGGTGATTCTCACCCTAATTCTCACCCTGCATATTGCACATTCACTATTCTCGCCCCAGTTCGCGCGACGCTAAAGCGTCACTCACACAACTACATACTCACTACATGCAATCTATAAACTCCTCCCACACATAACATGATACATACGACCATAGGGTGTGGAAAACAGGGCTTCCCGTCCGCTCAGCCGTACTTAAGCCACACGCCGGTGAGTTAGTAGTTGGGTGGGTGACCACCAGCGAATCCTCACTGTTGTATGTTTTTTGCATTTTCCAATGCTACATCATACATACTCTTTTACGCAGCAATTCTCTCTCAATATGCCCTCAGCACCTAAGCAGCACTCTAGGTTGAGTGTATATGGGGCAGAAGTCTAGAGACCGGGGGGTGACAATTCGCACCTAGAGGTGGTAGACATTAGCAGTCCATGATGGAGGCTCTGTAGTCATAGAAGTCTCGATCCAAAATTTTAAGCTTTGCTGGCTTCCACTATATCGGACCTTGCTGGACATAATAATTAATGTTGGATCATAAACCAGGTTTAGTTAGTGGCGATCAGCTTGTGTATAGAAAGTCAATTTCAATACCTGAGTTTATTTATAATTATCAACATCACCTCGAGAACCTGAATGGCCTTAGCAGATGAGGATAATAACTTTCCATTATGCTGACATGGTTTCAAAAATGTACCTAGTAAAAATAGCAGTGAAAGCTTTCAAGGTTGTCAACCGGACGGAACACGGAAGGAAATATCCGCTTCCGGGGAGATCGACTGAATTTGCTTTGAACATCACCACCATGAAAGCTGTGGAAAATTGCATCCTCTGTCTAATAGCATACAGCATTTATAGAGAAATATATTCTTAGCAGGACTGCTTCCTACTCAATTATGCTCTATTGTTTTCAAAAGATTTTGCGGTAAAGAACTTTTCCAGCTCAGGACACGGATAGTGGGCCCGGAATAGGGACGGAACAGGACCCCCTGTTCCGTCCTTCTTCGAAGACACCAACAAAACTTTTCATAGGTGAGATTAGAGTCTTCTTAGTTCCAGATACACTCCACCTAATGCGGGGAAGAACCATGAATCTGGGGAGTGTCTTTTATATCTTTTAAGGTGATACAAGACATTGTTCAGGCACAGGGCCAAAGAATGCCTGAAGAGACTGTCCTCCCTCCGGCACGCGTGAAGAATCACTTGATAAAAAGATCGTTTTGGTCAATATCCCGAATATTCCGCTCAAAATCTCAGCTTTGTTTACATATTTCTATCATTACTTCACTCTGCCTGTCTATAGTAGTTCTCTTCCCCAGACAAGGAAATAGTGGGGCCATGGCAAACAGAGATTTTTCCAAACATAGCCGCGGGTATTCAATGAGTCAACATCAACTTGCAACCAACCCTTTAACAATAACAACATGGAGAAACACATCGACAACACCAACATGGAAAAAGACATAGAGAAAGACATGGAGAAAGACATGGAGAAAGTCATAGATCTGGACAAGTCACAAGACCCCTTCGCTGGGGAAGAAGTTGGTGGAGTGCGTTACAGGACTATGAAATGGTGGTAAGTCTACACTTTTCGGGGTTCCCAGCAAGCCAACTCAGAAAGCTAATCAAATCTGTATTCAGGAACTGTGCAATTTGTACATACACCCCAATTGGACTAAATTCAATCATGGACCTAAGCTAAACAGCCAATAGTGATGATTGCTCAGTCTGTCTCATTAGGAGTTCTCTCCCTCCCATCGTCGATGGCAGTCTTGGGTTTGGTCCCGTACGTCTGATAAAAATTCCTCCGAAGCTTTCTGATGAACTCATGCTAATCGTAGCAGTGGCTGTATCATTATTATTGGAATTGGAGCTTTGACGACCTACACTGGATATGTTGTCGGCCAATTCAAATTGCGATACCCTCAGGTTCACAACATGGCAGATGCCGCAGAGATCTTATTCGGCCCGTGGGGACGCGAAATTACGAATGTCGCCCAGGTTGTCTGTTTTATTTTCCTTATGGGCGCTCATGTCTTGACATTCTCCATCATGATGAACACCCTTACTAACCACGGTGCTTGTACCATCATTTTCTGTCTGGTGGGAACCGTCCTCTGCTTCATCCTGACCCTCTCAAGGCGCCTGGAGGAAGTTTCATACCTAGGAATTATATGTATGAAGACACTTTTCTCTGCTGTTGAAACTAAAACTAACAACTACTAGCCTCGCTATCAATCTTCACCGCCGTGATGATCACCATGATCGCTATTGGCATTGAAGCACCCGATCCCAGGACATACGCCGTTACCCACCCAACTCTGATGAACGGCTTCTCCGCTACTCTCAACATTGTCCTTGCTTATTCCGGCCATATGTCATTCTTCAGCTTCCAGTCAGAGCTGGCAGATCCTAATGACTACCCCAAGGCGCTGATTGTCTTCCAAGCAACGGACACATCGCTGTATCTCGTTACTGCCCTCGTGATTTACCGATACGGCGGGCCAGATGTCCTCAGCCCCGCCCTGCTGAGTGCAAGCGAACTCATTTCGAAAATCGCATTCGGCATCTCCATCGGTACCATCGTCATTGCGGGAGTGGTCATTTGCCACGTCGGTGCGAAGTGCATTTACGTGCGGATGTTCCGTGGCACACATATGATGAGCGAGAGGTCTTTCCGTTCATATGGCACTTGGGTACTGATCACTTTCCTCATGTGGGTTGTCGCGTGGTTGATCGCAAACGCGATCCCTGTGTTTAACGATCTGCTCAATATGATCGCCGCGGCGTTCTGCAGCTGGTTTTCGTTCGGTCTGGAGGGCCTCTTTTGGTTGAAGATGAACCGCGGACAGTACCTTTCAAGCAAACGAAAGATGGCCTTGACTGCACTTAACATCTTCCTTGTTGCCCTGTGTTGCCTGATTGTAAGTTTCGTGCCTTTTTGATTCACGACAATTTGATACTAACGAATTAGTGCGGAATGGGTCTTTGGGCCACAGGAACGAGCATTCAGATTAATGCGCAGAGTGCACACAAACCTTTCTCCTGCGCATCCAACGCCTAAAATGACTCTTTCGCGTTTTGGTCTTTACCGAATATCCTTGTAGATAACATGGCTACGATAGATTTGGAATGTACACTTACTTACTGAGACGCATTGTTCATAGAATTCAAACGCATTGTTCATAGAATTCAATGTTATTCAACGATCCATAACCCAAAGCTTTGTTTTAGATATGTGCCATCCATTGACTCGGCAGTGAATTATGTGAATTAGCTGAGGATTTACGAGCAGAAAAAGGGAGAACGGTAGTTAGAGACCGTATTGTCTCGCTGGGCAACTCTCTTGACGACTCGTAGTTCGCCATGTGGCGACTCATCCACTCATCCATGTAGACATTGTCCGTCAGTTCATACTTTCGTGTCCAAGTGGTTGTATTTCCTACTTCAACGGATCGCCAGGGAACCTCGCCACAACCCTCGGGCATACCCATCCGGGCCGCCCGTGGGCCTGGCCTTGGCTAGCCTTAGCTGTTATTGGGTGGCCCGTGGGCGAACTACGGGCCGAGGGTGGACCTCGACCCTGAAGACCCTACACCCTACCCTGCATGGCTGTTGCTTTTTTTAGGTCAGCCTTGCTATCGCATTGGACAAAGGAACAAAGGGGAGATTATGAAAATTGTGTGGGTCACGCGGGGAGCCGGAGCATCCGGCCACGGATACCTCTGCGTCCGTTGCCGGGAGGTAGCGCGCTGGGAGATTGGGGGTGAGACTTGTGTGCAACGTGATAGGAGCCTCCAAAGCCTCCGTATCCGTATAATAACTAGTTGACGAATGACTGGGCTGAAACACATGAGGTTTAGCCCCATTTCAGGGGTCCCACTTCCTTCAGTTACTCCAATGACAATCGACATGATGCTTCGCCCGGTCGCTTCTAGGCTGAAACATTTGCTTACCCAGGTTCCGCCAAAATCTTTGCCTTTTAACACAGCACCAGCCAAGAAGTTGATCCCTTGGCTACTCTCGGCAGGTGCATCATCCTGAGAACAATGAGGTTTAAAGGTGCTGGGCATATGGTCATAGTGGCCTTGCGCATTCTACCGTTTGCCAGCCATGTCTACGCGCTTGACCTGGATGTTAACAGTCAGGGTAAGAGACTGGATCGCGGGGATACATATATTCTCCTATCGTTTCAAAGGATGAATTGCTAATCGCATTGTCTTTTCAATGAGTAGAATCAATCAAAAATGCCGGCAGCACCGCTACCTACAACATGATGACATGGTATAAAGAAAATGGGACAGACAACCCGGGTTTTATCTCTAGATCCTGGTGGACAGGCGCTGCTCTGTTTCTGGCATGTCTCAATTACTGGCATGCTACGAACGACACAACCTATAACGAGGAAGTCAGCATCGGGATGCAACATCAGGGAGGTGCGGGCGGAGACTACATGCCTTCATGGGCAGTAGGCATAGTAAGTATTCATTTCCAAGATATTCATTTCCAAGATATGTAATCACAGTTCTGACCGTTTTATAGGGAAATGACGATCAAATGTTCTGGGGCCTCGCGGCGATCACAGCAGCAGAATATAAGTTCCCGAATCGTCCAAGTGGTGACACCTGGCTCACCCTTGCGCAAGGTGTTTTCAATGACCAGAAAGATCCAAATGGAAAAGGGTGGGATACGACTATTTGCGGAGGTGGCCTTCGCTGGCAGAAGGAATTGTGGCAAAGTGGTTATACCATGAAGAACGCTGTGTCGAACGGTGGATTCTTTATGCTCGCAGCACGTCTCGCTTGGTTTACCCAAGAAAAGGGGTACGCTACGTGGGCTGAGAAAGTATGGGACTGGTCTACCTCTGTGAATTTGGTCAATGATACAACCTGGGCAGTGGCAGATAGTGTCAGAAAAGGCACTGGGGGCCCCGATGGTTGCAGCCTTCCTGACAACACCCGGTGGACTTATAACTATGGTACCTATGTATCTGGTGCTGCTTATATGTATGCCTATGTGAGTATTCTTCTTTTTTTCCCCCCTCCTTTTGACATGCTAATAACAAAGCTTGTAGACAAATGATACTAAATGGCTTGATATCACAAACAGCCTAGTGGATTCGATCTTTACTACATTTTGCCTACCAGAACACGGTGGTGTGATAACCGACTGGACGTGCGAAGCTGTGGGTCAATGCTATAAAGACGCGAATGGCCCACTTTTCAAAGGCCTTACGGTGTCGTGGCTTGCAGATATTGCATTGATGATCCCTTCTCTTAAAGACAAGATCCTAGCAAAACTCCAAATTTCTGCCGAGGGTGCTGCAAAGTCATGCACCGGCGGCAACCAAAACCTCTGTGGTAACCGCTGGTACGGCGGATATGATGAACAAAATTCAATGGAGAATGCAATCAGTGGTAGTCAGATGATGAGTGCTGTTATGCTGAAATTTCTAGACTCATCTTCAAAACCAGTCTCGACAGCAACAGGAGGAAACGGCACAAGCGACCCCAGTGCTGGCACTGGGCAAAGGTCCGGGCCGGCACCGTTCGCTCCTATCACAACGGCAGATAGAGCAGGAGCTGGAATCCTGGCAGTGCTGTTCGTGGGTTGTATGATAGGTGGAGTGGTCTTTTTGTTTATGGACCCCTGAGCCCTCCTAGAATAAGAGGCATGGGCGAAGCTTACGGGCCGATGTACATTTTGAGTTTTGACAATGAATCAGCAGCCATCTTTTTAATCTATAGAGGAAACGATTCAGGGCAAAAATCATGTGCGAATAGTCCATGCTGTGTCATCATTAGTATAAAACGCCTATCCATAGATGGTAGCATATAACGGAACAGGCCAAGTCAATGGTACAGAGTACGGAGTAGAAAAATGTTCCGAAACTCCGATTTAGGGCACTACCACAGACACTAAATATAGTAATACGTATATGCAGCCTAGCTCCGTGCACCAGAAAGGAAATGGTTACACTGCAGGTGTTGGGTGACACTTAAGTAAGCATTAAGAGAGGGGATGCATCGCACTGCCCCAGGAAACTCGAGTATTAATAGCCTTCTCATTCCCCTCATTTGATGCACGTATTTTCGTAATTTGACCAAAATGACCCCCTCTCTCCCACCACAGTACGAAATTCGCGTTCTTGGGCCAGAACATGAGGAATGGGCCCGGGCAATTTGCATTCATACAAATTTATTCCACTCCCCGCTCTGGCCGGTTGTTTATCCTGAGAACAAAATCCAAAGGGCCTATCAGACATTTCAGGCTGCACACTATTTGATAAAGCACCAGATCGACTCAGGGAAGTCACTTGGTATCTTCGACAAAGAATACCAGTACAAACGACCCGAGTCTGCAGCCGCGGGGGGCAAGCTGTACTGGAATCTGGAAGATGAGTGTGCCACCGAAAGCGATCTTGCGGAGCAGATGGACTTCCCACTAGTCTCAATTGCCATGGCCTACGATGGCATCGACGAGATAGACATGGCTCAGATAGAATCTCTGATCGCGACACTGCCCTTGTTCGAAACAGTCTACCACTCCCTCGAGGAGCTCGACCAGCGCGATCCTGCATCGTGGAATCCCACTGCCCGCGGACAAGTGTTGATGCGCAACGCTACCAATACCGTCCAATCTTATTCCGGTCGTGGGCTTATGAGGCTGCTAGCTGAAGAGATGATGAGACGTTCGGCAGCCGAAGGGTTCCAGGGTATCCAAATCGAGACTATTTCTGGGGCTGTGCAGAAGGTGTGGTCCAAACCACCGGCACCGTTCAAGGGGACTATCATCGCGCAGTTTCACACGACGACATACGAACAGAAAACCGAGTCTGGGGAAGTTTTGTATCCATTCCGACCGGCGAATGTGAACATTTGCAAGATTTTCGTTGACCTCCGGGTTTCATAAGATTACGAAGGGCACCAATTGAACTGTTATAAAGATCTAGTATGTAGTTAGTAAATTATAAGAGAGCAGACTGTAAAATGTAATGTAGATTATGGGACAGAGCTAAAGTGCACCCTTATGAATCATAAGTTTCTACCTAAAGGTGTACAGTTCAATATCCACACGTTCACTGGCACACCTCTATATCAAACTGTATCCCTTGCAGCAGCAAGGAGGGCCAAGTTAACAAGAAATGGGATCTGACGCTGTCCGCTGATTCGCACCCACCAGCTTGTGCAACACTTATCAAATCCCGAAAAGCCCGTTCGACTCTTACACCGACCTTTGAGAAATGTAAAATATAAGCACAGAAGATGGTCAGGTTCAATTCTGATTATTGGACTATTTGATGTACCTCTAGGACAAGAAGTGTTTCCGATGAGGTAATAAACAGCCACGGGCCCTCCCTCACCAGAATATATACATACACCTAGTACGGGCTAGGAGTAGCCGGCTTGAAATATTTCAACAGAACCTCCTTCTCCTTGATGCTAGAAGTGCCCATATCGAACTGCCTATTTTGTGAGGGAACATTAGTCCCTCAATACGGCAATATCCCACTAGTACTCGATCCTCCCTTGTTGTGGCTCTGAGTCTTGACAAAATTGGCCTAGTAGGATGCCATCTTCTTGGCGGTCTCATACTCAGTCCCGTTGTAGCTTGAGGACTGAGCATACAAGTTACCCAGAGTGTACACGACCTGTGAACCATGAGTGGCATCACTACTTGAGGGATAGTAACTCCACGGGTAATAGTCACACAGTCGAAAGATCCATGGATCTCAGCTCAGCCATGCTGGAAACATTTAGTGATTAAAGAAGATTTTGGTGAAATCCAACGACCAGGTCATGTTCCAATAATCACTGCTGTATCCCACCATATCCGACTCGTATGGATCCTTGAGGCCACTTATCACGATAACTCCCTTAATCAAGCCTTTTGGAGAGAGGGTTGTTAAAGATATAGTAGCTGGCTCCTGAGCCGAAGGATTGTCCAACCACGGCAATTGCCTTGAGGTCTTAGCATTGAGACGATCCCAGGAACAGATGACGCAATCCCACCGTTATGCTCTATGGTCCCGCACAATGGATAGACTTCTAATTGAAGCTGTGGTGAGCCGCAAATTGCTCCACGTGGGGGAAAATTAAGGTTAAATCCGAGAATTGTACCTGAGTAAACACCGGGTGATCGGATAAAACCGAAGTGCTTAACTTCAATGGGTATTTAGTGCTGTTGATATGTAAAGATGTCAGGGAGAAGAATAAGTATGGTTATGACCCGAGAGCCTAAAGTCCTGAAGATGTACGTGGATTACGTTGTCCATTTTGTCGGGCAATGGGCCATGTCCGGTTTAGTTGTATTAAGCTACTCCTCGGTTCATTTGTTTGTGGTTAATCGCATGGTTTGACTGAGGGCTGGTGGTGTAGAGGGTCGCTTTTCAAGGCGATGTCGCGCATCAAATGTCGGGTTTTGCATTTGCTAAGGATTCTGTCTTCGCTTATCACTATCGATCCATGGTAAACACTCCTACCTACGCATGTCACTTTGAGCCCGTCACCCTTTGTCTCGATATCGCTCAACTGCTTGGTATCAATAGATCACGGAAAGAATGGATGCAATGGATTACTATCGCTTGCTGCAAGAAGGAACCAGCCCTTGCCTCATGCAAATTAAGAACGCAGGACATATAGCGACAGACACGTTCAAAGACAAAAGAAACGCCCACAATGCATTATATCTTCAAAACATCATGGCCCATCATCCATACCGCATAATCTCACATATCACATAATCTCACACATATCTTCGTCGCCCGTCTTCGTTCGCACGATGCGCCCTGCACTCTCCGTTCCAGACGTGGACCAGCGTTTCAGATCAGACTTTGCGTTTTAGTGGCAACTCAACACCTGGTTGAATAGAATGCAGACAGTGGAATCAATCAATGTTCCACAAAGCAGTCAGCTCTCTGGGAGCAACGACCACAGCATTGCAAAAGCCGAAACAATGAAGCGCAGAGAAAAGAGTGCAGAAGGGGCCCACCAACTCTCCGGCATTAGGAATCGCCAACACCAGTGTCGACAATAAGCACCCGAAGAACCCCCATTCCACACACAGCATTGAACTTCAAATAGAAAAGAAAGAACAAACATAAAGCGAAAGATTCAGAAACTCCTCCGAAATCATAATGGCACAGCCATATACTCGTTCTCACTCTCACCCTCAACCTCACCCTCAACCTCACTCCCACTCTCACTTCCACTCAAATCCCGACTCCCATACCCAGAATCAGACCACCGCCTCGCACCAGGCGAAGCAGCATATATCCCGCGTCCCGAGTGTCGGTCACAGGTATAACCAACCAGGACGGTCTTTTCTTGTACTTCATGGCCGCGCTGTCCATAAGCAGAGCATGGGTCGATTGAGTGTTCGAAGTAGAGGCATTTGCAGACGGAGTAGCGTTCGACGACTTTGTAGCACATTTTTCGTATGGTATTAGGACAAAATTCGGGGTGATGGGTGGATGGTTGAAGGATAGTTGTATTGGGTTGTTTGTTCAAGAGTCGAAAGAGAAGAAGCGAACCAGCCGATTGAATGAACAGAAGAAGAAGAAGAAGTAGAAAATAAAACGCACAGGTATAGAAAGACACGCTGTGTCGCGAAAGAATGACCCGAAAGGAAATCAGAGGGAGTGACTGGGTTGAAAGACTGAGGGGGTATATAGAGGGACTGTGGGTTATATATGCAGCGATTATAGAACGGATATATCCGTAATTATGGACATAATACAATAACAGAATATAATAATCAAATAATATCAAATAATATCAAATAACATGTAGATCTAAAGCATATCCCGAGGTCAGCCCTATGGGTTGTAGCCCCAGGCAGAAACCAAACGGGGCGCGCCCCCAATCGGCTAATAAGGCTGAAGAGTAGTTAGTGTGAATAGTTACTCCACTATGTAGATAGCTACTGGCTACCTACAAGTGTCTACTTGGGTCGAGCTTAGCAGGGTATCCATTTTACCCCTCTATGCTGTATTCAGTGGGTGACTATGGACGATAGTGGGGGGTGATATACAATAAAAGACCAGTCCAGTCCCATCCCTCAGCTGGAATGTTCACTCTGACTCCGAAGTCTCACTACCATGACACAGTAACGGTAATAGCGGCAACAAAACGGCGATCTACAACATCCAAGTATGGCAGGGAAGCAAAGACGGTGAACACATAGTGAAGACGCCCACCCCGCAACGAGAAATCCAGTACAGCGAGTCGGTGAGCCACAGGCTGTGCAGCCACGGAATAGCAAGGAAATACAATTATCACTGGATCGGGAATCAGGGATCGCGATATGACTGGCTGGATGACGTCGATCATGAATCCAAAGTGCCCAGGTGGACATCGGGGCGTTTTGAGTCAGAGCCTCTTAACACAGCCCCCTGTCACTTCCAGGACTAGTACTGCGGCTCAAGGGGTATAGGGCTGTTGACCGCATATTGACAACTACATCTCCATACAAATATGATGTATTCTGTTATAATCTGTCACGTTCAAGCGGTGACATTTTGCGATGTTGTGTTGGGGGTGGAGCGGATTAGGCGCCCGCATTCAGCTGCTGACGCTAACACTAACAGAGTTGCCGATGTACGGAGTACGGAGTACCGATGGGGGGATTCTGCTAGAACAGGTTTTTCTTTTGGTTTGACGCTAACCACTACGTTATACCGTTGCGTGGAGGATATACCTTGTGCGTTATCCGTCAGAGACCGTAGGGCTGAGGGCTCGAGCCCACTTGGATGATTACCGTTTTTGGTAGGAGGGCCAGGAAGGGCAATTTTTGCAATTGGGTACGGAGTACGCGTACGAGTTATATTGCATAAACATTGTTCCACAATATATGCAGAGAACCTAGGTACTGTATCTAAAAGGATTAAGTTGCATAATAAGTCTGATATCGTACAGCGCCTGTCCCAAAGACAAAGCGGGGTCCTGAATAGATGTGGTGTGTGTGTGTGCAAGTGGTGCTAAGCTAAATTCATTTCCCGGATTAAAAACACCCTTCAAAACTAGGCCTCCCTCTTACTCTAACTCCGTAATTTCAGATTGATCCCAAGGCGCCGTGACTCAACCCGCGTGCTAATCCCAGTCGAAGCATCTGGAGGATATCCTCGCCCTTGGCGGTCTCGGGAAGCCCGGCCCGCCAATCCCATCCGCGATCGGCGCTGGCTTTGTCACCTGGCGTGGGTACCAGGACGCCTGAGCTGCCTACAGAGGTAAGGCCAGATCCTGAGCGGGAGCGTGTGCGCGCTGACTCGAGCATGTCGTTGCCGATGCAGGCAAAGCTGGAAGCGGAGAAATTGGACACGGATTTCTTCAATAGTGCGCGGGGGGAGGGGGGCCCATCTGATCCGCCGCGGGTTGATGATTGATATTCGAGTAGGGTGGAGCGGAAACATTCCTCGCACTGTGCGTACACACGGGGAGTGACGGTTTCCAGGTCCTCGATTGCGGACAGGATGGTGAACTGTTGGGATACGGAGAGGACTGCAGTGGGTTCTAGTTCGGGGTTAGTATCAGGGAGGAAAGTTGACGTGGTTAGATTTGGAGACTCACGGTTCACAAACGCACAGGCTTCACCCAGCAGAGCCAGCAGTCCATCTACCTGCACAGCGGAATCACGGTCCGGGTCGTAGAGACCTCCGTAAATATTATCCGCCGCGCTCCCAATGACAGCCGCAAGAGCTTGCGCAGCGGCGCGTCGCCGAGCCAACGGCTTGTAGCGTGGTCGCTGGCCCTCTTGCAGTTCGAATTCCTCGTCGCGGATCTCATAGAACCGGCGCAGCGTCGCGTAACCACTGAGATAGAACTGGAGAATCCGAGCAGCTTCTTCATCGACTTGTGCAATGGACGACAGGCATGCTTTGGGTTCCTTCATCAAAGAGCGTAGTTGTTCGTCGAGCTCAGCTGTCGCAGGGTATGCGCGTGATTGGACCAAGCTGTAGGAAATCAAAAGGTCGACAACTGACTTGACCTTGCGTCGGCTCTGGGCACGAGCATAGCAGACGAGGGCCAGGCCGAAGTTTTCAGATTTCGAGGTCAACATGTCGCCGAATCGCTGTGAATAAATTAGCATTTGGTCAGATAGTCAAAAGCAATTCCCCTCTACCACTCACCTCAGATACCCGACGCCCTTGATCCTCCAGCTCAAGTTCCGAGCAGAGAACCACTAATTTATCCAACTGATCAGGGTTTTCCAAAGGAAGCTTATCCACGATCTCGGACACGGCCTTCTTCATCTGGTTTACATCGTCGAAGCGGCTCAATACCTCAATAGCCAGCTCCCAGCCTTCACGGGAGCTGTGCTCGTTCTCAATAACGGGTCGATCATACAATCCGAATGCGTAACTGTGAAGAATATCGTCCTTGCGCAAATGGCGTGCTGGAGACTTGTTCTCCTGCCCGTACGAAAGAACCATAAGATCATTCTCAGACAAACCAGGTAGCGTCTTTTGGCTGCTCCCTGACTCAAACCAACCTCCTAGGCTGGCAACTTCTGCCACAGCGGCAGCCACGCAAAGTGACCATGACTGCACTAACTCCAATACGCCCTGTACATTGCCTTCGAAGACAGATGCCAGACCGACTTCCACGCTGCTGAGCGTATTGGGTCGGAAATCAGCGTTGTCGGACCCATCGCTGGTGGTGTGGCTGAGGGCTAGTTCGAGGCGGTCGAGGTAGGCGGCACGCATGTTGCGATCAACAGCGCGAACGTGATTCTTTGGGCCGCGCGAGCGCAAGAAATCTTGGAAGTTGTCGCTGGATGAGGTAGCGCCAAAATCCATGCCGGTACCGGTGTCATCCTCACCATCCCACCATGCTGTCAATGCAATGGTCGCCTCCACCCAGTCTTGCGACTTGCCCTTGATGGCAGATGGGTCGCCCAGAAGAATTCGGTAAATAGATCTCAAGCTCTGGTAAATTGACCATGGGACACGGCTTTCTGCCATGCGAGCCGATTGAGCAAATGAAATTGGGTTCTTGTTGGCAGTGTTTGAGTTAAAGGTGGACAATCCGAAGTTGACGGCCTGGAAGCGATTCTCTGGAACTGGCACAATCGATTCATCCCGCTCCTCTCCCTCGGCGAATTCCTCCAAATCACTAACAGCCGAAAGAACTCGTTTCCGGTACTGAGACCAATCAAGGCCGGTGACCTCCCAGTCTTCAGATTGGGCTGCAGGGCATGATTCAAGAATTTGAAGAGCCTTATTGACGCAGCGCTGGATATTCTGCAGTTGAGCACCGCGGTAGCCAGGCTGTGGGAGCCCATCCTCCAATGCTGATCGGGCGTAGTTGAAGTCTGCGGAACGGAGAACATCTGCGGCATCAGTCAAGCGTCCACGCAACACGGAAGCAATGATAATATCCCAGAAGTTTGTGGATGCGGTCGGGTTCGGTTCCACATATTTTAATGCTTGGAGATCCTTGGTCTGCGATGGGTTGTTTTCACTGAGCCAGTCAAGCAAAACCCGTGGTAGGGGCTTAGGAACGGGGGGTCTCGTCATGGCTTTCACCATACCAGCGGCCCCGGTGCGCATTGGGTTGATGTGGGCAGTCGAAGCTGCTTCACGAGAAGGGTGGTGGATTTGGAGCAGCAACGAAGCCAAGAAGGTAGCTTTCACGAGGTTGGGAGCCTGCTCCCCGGGCCCAATACCAGAATGAGCACCGTAGGGCCGGTCAATCACACTTTCGCCGGCGCAAGTCTGCCAATTCTCAACGAATTCCTTTGATACCTCGGCCAATACAGCATCGAAATCGACATGTTTGAATTCCGCGGCTTTGAGCTCGTCGGAAAGTTTTCCCAGGGCATCCTCGGTTTTGAGAATCATCTCACTTGGCTCTTTAACAAGAGCAATGCGGGATCTGGCAGCAAGGTTGTGCAGAATAGATGGCATCGCGGAAGGCTTTTTGGGGGCCAGGTTGGTCTTGCGGAGGGGTGACTGGTGCGTCCAGTTCTCGTCGAGCTTCGGTCGCTTGGCATCGCTTGGATTCGAATAGATCGGTTTGCGCTGCGCACCCATGGAGGGCTGGGACCCGAAAGGGTTTCCGAAAGCCGAGTCTAAGAAGTTGAAGTTCTTGGACCGATCCTGGGTGCTCATGTCCATTTCCCCTTCAGCTTCCTCCTGCTCCTCCTCCTCCTCTTCGAGTTCCTCTTCCTCCGGTTCCATCTCGTGTTCCTGCTCTTCGTTAAAGTCACTCATTTGTGACGAGGCAAATCCATTAGACTGCCCGAAATCCATCGAATCTCCAAATCCGCCTCCATTCGGCACACCGAAACGAAGGCTAGAATTGCCTGTGAGCTTGGCGGAAGGGGCTTTCGTCTGCTTGGGCATGGCATAATCCGTCGATCCAAAGGATGAGCCAAAGATGCTGTCATTTGTGTTGATGTTACCGGATTTGGTAAAGACAGAGTTGGAGAAATCGTTTCTCGAAAAGGAGTTCTGGTTTGTAGAGAATGCGCTATCGTTTCTGGAGAAGGAGTTGATGCGCGAGCCACCATTGATGTCGGATGTAGAATGCGGTATGAATGAGCCTGCAGTGGAGGGCGGCGGGCCGGCAGGAGTTGTCGACAAATTGCTCCAAAGGCTGCGAGAGCGATCTTTCTCTGGAGTCTCAGGTGGACTGGACTCGTAGGGTACTTGGAACGACATCGCGGGGTGGGGTTGATCAGAATGAGAAGAGACGGGTTGACGGCATCAGAGGATGCAAGTTTTGGGCCGCAACAGCTCTAAGAACTGTTAGATGGAACAAACGACAATATCAATCGACAAAGACTGATTCACCAAGCAGCGAAGAAGGTCGATTCAGGTGGCTGTTTGTCAGAAAAGTTCCCTCTTCTCCAGACTTGCTTGTTTTTCTTGCCCTTCACTTTCCGCTTCGACGCGACGGCGAAAGTTATCAGGCATTAAGGCACCAATATCTAGATCATGTGATGTTAATTAGGGATCGGTCACGTGGAGTTGCTTACTCATACTGTACTGGTTTGGAGCCTCGAAAGTCAGGCCAAAAGGGGGATGCCATCACGTGGCGCTCACTCCCCAATTTGGGGGCCACAACCTGATTATTGGTCCGTTGCCCTGCACTGCCAGCAGCGTCAGGCAGGGATCAGCAGTCGGGGGCCAAATCTAATGCATCTGATTGCCCCGGGGGTTCGACGGGCAGAGTTCATGACCTCAGCCTTGCAAATCAAGTATGGACCCCAATTATTCTTGGTTCTAACAAGGCTGAGCCTGTAATTGAATCTCCGACATAGATATATAATGAACACAATGGTCTCGGGATCTTGGGACTAATCACAAATTTTACTCCTATATACCATTCTCAAGTTCATCATCATGAATCCAGCCGCCCAGTATCTCATCACCCATAGCTTCTGGCACCACCACTACGATGTCAGCACAATTAACAAAACGCCCCTTTTCCACGTCGCCAACTCCGCCTACACACCAGGAAAGCCAGATCTTACTTTCCACCGCAGCACCGACTCCAATGGGCCCATTGTGGGTGTGTGTAAGTTCCGGCACTTCTCCTCAGACAGTGAGATCGGTCTAGGGGACCCTGAACGGCCCAACAAAATGGATTGGGGAACCCTGCACAAGAAAGGTTTTATGAAGCACATATATTGGTTCCGCATCAAGCTGGACAACGGCACAAATCAAACTTTCACCTGGAAACGGACCCACTCGCTTGGCAGCGGCCATGTAAACCATAAACTAGTCGAGGACACCAGCCAGACTGTCGTGGCGGTCTTTTCTTCTGGTGGGATCTTTTCCAAAACAACTGGCTATTTGGATATTTACCCGAGTCTGGGGCCGCGGTTCAACCTCATGGCGCTGATCTCGGGAATTGCCTTGGTCGAGAAGGTGAGGCGTGGGAAACAGAGCTCTGCGGGGGCGGGTGCTGCAGGTGGGGGAGGATCAGGTTGTTAAGCCAAGACTTGAGGTCTCATTGATGGCGTTCTGTATATTAAACATACACGATTATGAAGTTACGAAAATTCTGGAGACTTGCGGTTTATTTAGTGTTATTTTAGCTATGATACCCTTAGCGCAACTCCCACATTCTCTTAAATTTCTTAAATTTCTTAAATTTGTTTTAACTACAATACATACATGATAGTTAGTACAAAGTAGACCATTAAATCAAAGCCTCGCTCCGAATGACCCAAAATAAGCGAGGCAGTGCAAGCGAGACAATGTTTCAGGCTAGACAAGCCTTTTTGCGATGTTTGATCGACAGGGTTCGGTTACATAATCCTATACTCCACGGCACAGGTTTCCCCCGGAGACATCGAATCCTGTTGCCTACCCTTGAAAGTGTAACAACCCTAAAAGCATAATCCAAAGCCTCATCTCTTCTTTCCTTTAAAACTATGGCCAATCCAATAATTACATGACTATGGCGCTCCGACGACCACATCGGAAATCTCGCCACGGCTGCGTGGAATGCAAGAGGCGACGAGTCAAGGTATGAAACTAGAAAAAAGAAGGGAAAAAAACAGAAGAAAAGAAAAACAGTCCACTCACCTGATCACAGTGCGACGAAACCCGGCCGTCCTGCACCAACTGCGCCAAGCGCCATTCCGAGTGTGAGTACGGGTCGTCAACATCCCTACTGTGGGCAAATGAAGACCCCGCGATACCCGGGTCCGACGGCGGACAGGCTAGCGACCCAGTACGGGGACTTAGTTCATCCTTGAGTCCAACCGCAGGAACGGGGGCAGCAGATTCTCTCGGAATTCTGAGCCAACTCGGCAGCGAAAATGCCGCGGGCTCCGCGGGGCCCGCACTGAACCTCCTCGACCTGGAGCTGATGATACAGTGGTGCAACTCGACATTCCGGACATTGTCACGCAACGAGCGCACCGATCCAATCTGGCGTACCATCGTGCCCGAAGAGGCGCTCTCACACCCATTTCTGATGCACGGCATCCTGGCCCTGTCATCGCTGCATCTTGCTCGAACAGGGCCGGAGCCGTCCCGTCGCGCGTCGTATCTCAATCGCGCCGTCGCGCACCAGAATCAAGCGCTGGCGCTGTTCCGGGAGCTGCTGGGTGACGTGAAGGAGAGTAATGCCAAAGCGATGTTTGCCTTTGCGGGCATTGTGGTTATCTACACGTTTGCATTCCCACATACGCCGGACGTGCAGGATCCGTGGTCCTGCATCGATGATTTGTACCAGGTTCTTGTTTTGACGCGCGGCGTGCAGCAGGTTATTCATGCGCCGCGGGATTTTACGAGTTTTCTAGTGGACAGTTCTTTCGGACCGATTTTGCAGGTTGAAGAGATTGAGGTTCCACTTCCTGAAGACACGAGTGCTATGCTCAAACAATTGCGCAGGGCCAACGAAGTCTGCGGGGCGCGGGATCCAAATCATGAACTGCAGGTGTACGAAAGGTCCATTGCGAATCTGGAGGAAATGCTCAATTGGTGCCACAGCGGGATAAGGGCAAATACGATTGCCGGGAGATGGGCAATCCGCTTGCACCCTCGGTTTATGGAGTTGCTGCGCGAACGAGACCCATTGGCGCTAGTTATGCTAGCGCACTATGGCGTGCTCTTGCATTATCTGAAGCATCGCTGGTGCTTTGACGAGTGGTGTGTGAGGGTTTCCAAGGCCGTGTGGGCAATATTGGACGATCAGTGGAGGCCACTGATCGAGTGGGCAATGAAAGAGATTCTCGGTGTTAACTTCCTGGAACAGGTTGACACTTGAGATTCTGAAACATTTTTCTGTTATATTCATATTTATATTCGTATACCCAAGTTCAAGGCGCTGAAACCGCGGGAGAAATTCCACCAAATCAAAACAAAAACAACTCGAATCTCCACCTAAACATTTCCACAATCATCGCAACAAGTCCTATCCTAACCCGCTAAACCGCGCTCGAGCCCTCCATGACCTTCAATCCACCCATAGCCGTTACGACTTTTCCTCTACCAAGAAGATAATTCACCTCGCTAGGGTGAATGATCACGAAAATGACCATCATCGCAAACATCAACAATCCATCAAAGACATAAATGAAAACCTCATGCTCCATGAGATAACCATGCGTGCCCTGGACATACTCCACAACACGAATGACTGACCGAATGAGAATAAGGATACTGGACGAGTACAACGCCCACATATGCTTGCGCCATGGGTACTGGTCTGCCACCGCATGAGCAGCGGAGTGAGAGCCAATGCGCCGCTGGAAGATGAGCGCACTAATCAAGAAGAAGCCGAAGAAGACGATTTGCACTATGAGGCCGCCGATGATAACATTCTGGCCAGTACTCACGGAGGATGACGGGTCGGTGGAGTTGGAGCCAGTAACCATTATTCCAGCACCTGTGGGAATATTAACGTTGAGTTTTAAAAGGGCCAATCGATCTAAACCGATCGCGAAGAAGAAGCGGAAGGGGAATTAACATACCAGAAGCTTGCATTAAGAAACTCAACACATCACCCGCGACGAATATCTTGGTCATCCAGCCAATCCGAATCAGGGAAAACTGCTCTCCCTTGACCATAACGATAATCCGACCCAGTTCCATGTAGATACTCGCTGCGAACAGCGCCGGGGCAATAAGCAGCAATGTGCTCTGCATGACATAGGGTCCAATAGTCCAATCGGGAGATTGTTTAGCTGACATGGCGCGGCCGATATATCCAACTAACTCAACTAGCAGGACGTTAGTTTAGGGCTTCCTTGGATATGGGTATAAGTTGATACTTACAGTATCCGCCGATCACGAGCGGGATGAAGAACCATGTTCTCGTGCGGAACATATGAAATGTGTGCATCAAAGTGATAATTGCAAAGCAGACTATGAATACTGCTGCGGCGCCCAGTGAGGGGTAGTATTCATAGGCGGTCCAGCCGGTAAGAGAAGAAGGCATCTTGAATGTCGATTGAGCAGATAAGAGGCAAGGCAAAGCTAGGTTGGATTGGATTGAATCAATGACTTGGGAAAACAAAATTAAAGACCACCTCTCTCCACTCTTATATATGTGCTAATTCGGAATTTTCCTCTAGATCTAAAACGGGGTCCAGGCAACCCTTGGAAACAAATTCGTGGAGTTATAAAAAGGAGATTTCGTATACTCCTACCTTCGTACTGATATCCCGATATGGATGGGTGGGTACCCGCTAGTCCCAGTCGGGAGCAAGGTACGAGGTACGAAACCCTAATTCTTATTCTTTTATCAAGTGGATACCTCTGTAGCTAAACGTTCAGGCGAAGTGGAGAGGTGTAGATCTCGTGTACGGAAAAAAAAGGGCTGGAAATTTTATCTGGGACCCGAGCCTACAATTTCGCCTGCTCAATACCATTTTGCAGCACATACCGATATCTGGCCTTTCCCTCATGCATATCAACTAACGCCTGATTAACATCCACCATATCCCTCTTCTGAATCCAAGGCAAGACCCTCTTCTCCGCAGCCAGAGCCAACATAGCCCGAATATCACCCGGTGAACCAATATTGGACCCAGTGACCTTAACACCCTTCTGAATAAGACTCCAAGCCATAAGCGGCGGCAATGCATCCTCCGGCGCCCCAACCTGCACAAAAGTCCCATCGCGCTTAAGCAGCCTCAAATACTGCGCAAAGGGCATATCATGCGCCGAAACCGTACACAAGATAACATCAAGCGAGCGCGAGTATTTCTTCGCCCACCCCTTCTCCTCACCCGTAGCAATAAACCCATCAGCTCCAAGCCCACCAACAGCATCCGCCTTCTTCCCCGACGACCGCGAAATAGCAACAACACGATCCGCCCCAAGCGCCCTAGCAAATAAAATCCCTAAATGACCCAACCCCCCAACCCCAACAATCCCAACCGTCTTCCCAGGCCCAACACCGTACTTCCTCAACGGCGCAAACACAGTAACACCCGCACACAGCAACGGCGCCGCCTCGGCCGAGGGCAGAGAATCCGGAATCCGGAATACGAAATGCGCAGGCCCGCGCCATTTCTCTGCAAACCCGCCATACGACTTCGACTTGTCGCTGTACCGTCCGTTGTAAGTGCCTGTCATGCGGACGCAGTAGCTTTCCTCGCCGTCGGCGCAGGCTTCGCAGTCTGCGCGGAGACAGGCGCCGCTCTGTGCGCCGACGCCGACGCGGTCGCCGAGGCGGATTGCGTTAGGGTTAGACTCGGATTCGACGGCGCTGCCGAGACGTGTTACTGTGCCGATTATCTCGTGGCCGACTACGCAGGGGTAGTCGGCTGGACCCCAGCCTGAGCGTAGGGTGTGGATGTCGGTGCCGCAGATGCCGCAGTGGGAGATGGAGATTTCGACGTCGGTGGGTGTGAAGGGTTTCGGGATGTAGGTTGTGTATGTTAGGGGACTTTTGGCGTCGTGGGCGACCCAGCCTTTGAAGGTGTCTTGTTCTGTGAGAGGGGACATGGTCTGGTGATGGTGGTGGTGGTTGCGCTGTGGAGATGTGCCAAGGTAGGTGTTGTGATGAGGGGTGGAATTGCGTAGTTGGAAGCTTTCTGGTACGTTCCTGGGGTATGTGGAATTATTATGAGGTTCATTGTTTAAGGTAAATTTAAGGTAAATGCACGAAAGAAGCAGGCTCGGCATATGATGCGGAGAAGCCGAAGCCAAAGTTACCGAGGTCCATCTTAACTCCGAAATAGAGATACATTATTAGATTCATGTTGATCGTACGCGATTTTGAAAAAAAAGGGACTCCATATTTACATGCACTCGCTCGAAGTATGTACAGTGCAGACTAGTGGGGGGTATCAATTGATCTTTCACCGGGCCACGCCCATCAGATCGTCAAGCTCATCAGTGGTAAGAGTACTCCGACGCCGGTTTGCTGGCCTGGAAGCCTTCTCGGGTCGGCTTCTCTTTCGTGATTCGCGCTCCTTTTGCTCATTCTGAGCGGCGCGGGCCTCATCTTCGACGGCGGCCAGTTTTTGGTGCACGCTTAGTGATTCGTTGGGTTTGGGCTATAGGGCGAATTAGTCCTCGGGATCTCATCGGGAATCTCCTGGGAAATTGTTCTCGGTGCATACCTGATGGGGTTCCTTTGTTTCGGTCTTTCGCCTGGTTGGCCTGCGCGTCACAGTCTCGGTTTTGTAGGCTTTGATTTTGAGGGTATCATCGTCTGTAGTTTCCACACATGGTGAGCCTTGTAAACCTGGCGTGAATGAGACCTTCCGGGGACGTTTTGTCATGGCGTTTTCACTCCGTTCCCTCAGAATGCGATCGGGTCGCTCGGGTACTTTGCGAATCTTGGACCTCATCTTCGGGGGATTGAGCATCTCGGGGTCTGGTGCGTTCTCCTCCGGTTCACTCATATCTTCCTCCTCAGCTTGGTCCTCTAGGATTGTCGGGATGGGATTAGACTCTGGCGAGCTTTGCATGCTCATGTCCTCGGTTGAGTTAATGCTGAGATCGAGATTCATGCCGCGCTTCAATTCATCCGCTTGGACAGAATCTCCTCCATCTGCAAGACGACGCTGCCAACCACCCATCATGGTAACTGCCTGCTTCCACCGGGATTCCATCTTCACCCAGCCTTCTCGCAGTCGTTTGATCTCCTCGTCTCTCACCTCAACCTCTTCAAGGGGCACGAATGAGGGGTTGGTAAGCAGTGTTCGAAGATGCTCTAGCACTGCTTCCATGTGAACGGATAGTTCTTCACACGAGGTTGGAAGCGAAGTAACAGGCCCTGTAGAAGACTTCTGAGCTCCTACGCTCATGGCCATGCCCGATTGCTCATTCTCGCAATTCCCATTCTCGGCCTGGGTCAAGCCTTGTAGATCCTTCAAAGTATGAACAGTGCTTCGCGCAAGCTCAATCAGGGTATCATTCTCATCACTGAGATGCTGACATAACTCGGTCAAGAAGTCGGTTGTCTCCTGCTTCAAGCTATATCCAGGGTCATTTACTCTTTCTCCGCCGCTAGCCATAAGACGCGATCGATCCGACGCAGGGTTGATGTTGATAGTAGTCACGCTCAGACCCTCGCGCTTGCCTCGTTGTCTCTCAGCCAGATGCGACTTGAGCTTCTGCATTTCCAGATCCCGCTTGCGAATATCGTTGGCGCATTGTGCTCGGACTTGTTGGACGGTACTCTTCATTCGCTGGACTTGTTCCTTGAAACTTCGGATGTTCGCTTCGGCTCTAGACATGTTGGACTTGTGCGTGCGCTCCTGCGCCTCTACCAGAGCTAGCGAGCGGGTCAACTCGGATGTCTTCGTTTTCAGTTTTCCCTGCACAGGCAATGAAGGTTAGCGCGCTGTGCGACATAAGTAGAGTGAAGACATACGATCTCCGTGGTCTGCTCTGCCTCGGTGGCTTGCAGCGTGCGAATAGTCGTAGATAAGCTCTCACGGTGTTCGGACTCGCGCTAGAATTTGTCAGTCGCTGGCAAAGCCACATCTCATTGCAGCAGACGCACGTCTCGTCTCAACACTAAATCGTTGACCAAGTTGATCACACGAGCCATGGTGCCGTCTATTCCTCCATCTTCATTTTCTGGGTCGGCAAAATCGATGGCGCGACCCCCTTTTAGCAAGCCCCTTGCCAGCAGGATATTGTTGACATAGGTCGAAGCTGCCTGCAGGTTATGCGACTCCATGGCAGCGATCACTTGTATTGTCGATGCAGATAACTCCGAATGCCGAATGGGGAAGAAAGTAAACACGGGAGATACGGGGGGCTATTTGTGACAAGTATGCAGTTATCTGGACGGTGAGGAGAGGTGTGATTCTGCCCGTTTTATTGCGGAATTATATCGCGATGCGTCAAACAAGAATTTGATATTTCTTCGAATATTCACATAAAGAGGTGTCCAAATTAAACATAACCATTTATCGAAAGTCAAAGGAGCTAATCTTGCAATCCAGAAGCAATTGAATGATATTCTGATAGTAGCATAGTGCGTTGGCATTTACAAAATGCGTGGGTATAAGCGATCACCCAACCCCCATGTCCTATTTGTCCCTTGCGTGGCATTAAATACTCGTTCCTACCCCACTACTTAATTCTCACCAACCGCCTTTGCATCTGCTCTTCAACATGGCTTCAAGATCAGGTACGCGTATAGTACGCGGGGTAACATCCAAAAAGAAGGCCGACATAGATAAAGCCGCTGCTCTTCAGCGAGCAGGCCAAAATGCCTACAAATTTGGTGATCTCCAAGGCGCCATTGAGTCCTTCACCCAGGTACACCCTAATTCGTTTTTCCGTCGCGACTCATATTAACCATCCATACATCTAGGCATTGGTGGCAAATAATGAGGACACTGGCATCCTAGATAATCGCGCCGCCACATATTGCAAGCTGAAACTGTACAGCCAGGCCCGCGCTGATGCTAGAGCTATGGTCAAGCTTGCACCTAATGACGATCGTGTATCTATCCACCTCAACGCTTCTTACCCAATTGTGGGTTCATCGCTGACTTTGGAAAAAGGGATACTTGCGCTTAGCCAAGGTCCTATGTCTAGATGGGAACTTTGACAAGGCCCGAGACATCTACGAATATGCCCTCCAGAAACTTCCAGCTGATCACCAAGGCCGCAAGGTATGTCTATCTTTCTTTGCTTTTTGTTCTCTTCGCTCTTGAATATGATATTTCTTTCGTTATATTTCTTTAACCTCTTCTTTCCTCGTTATCTGTTATTTGCCACTCTTTCTTTTCCTCTACTAACCGTCTCCAGGTCCTCGAGCAGTTACTCAAGAAACTACAGGATAAGCTGGCAGGAGGAAACCGGCGCGACCCGTTTACAATCCTGCCCCTAGAGATCGCAGAACTCACGCTCCGGCGCTTTTCCTTCAAGCAGATCGTGTAAGTATTCATCCTCACCTCTAGAACCCACTAGCTCATTGCAGCATATAGGGCAATCCTACGCGTCTGCAAAGGATGGAGCCGATTCCTAGGCGGACTACCCAGCCTCTGGATGCATGTTGATCTCACCGGGGCTAGATCTCGTGTACCTTGGACATCTGTCCGAAACTACATCCATCGATCGCGAGCGCAACTGACCAATGCCACCATTACAAACCTCGTGCCCTCTACTACGCCTAAGGTGCTCGACATGCTAAGCAGATGCCCCCAACTAGAGCATCTGGAGCTGATGGTTCCCCATGACCAGCCTCAAGAGTTCTACGTGAAGATCACAGAGTTTCGACGCCTCAAAAGTATCGTCTGTGGAGCAGACATCAGCCTTTCGCATGCCTGTGTTGGGAGTATTTTATCTACCTTATCGAAACTTGAGAAAGTCGCTTTTCTCCGTGTTTGGGATAAGGGAGAGGGGCCCCGGCCCACATCAACATGGCCTCAACATCTCCCAAATATGAAGAGTGTAACTATTGGGTCTCCACAAGAAAATCCTCACGGCTTGAGCTTCCCGGATGTACTTCCGGGGTTAGGATTGGTAAGCTTTCTGTAGATTTGATATCCAGGACTTGTACTAACACAACTCAGTCTGCGTATCCCAATCTAGAGGAGTTGCGGCTGGTCTGGGATCACGCGCGTTCAAAATCATACCGGTTTGATCCGGTGCAAGAGGAGGAACATCTTCCCCCGCTCCGCATATTAGATCTTCGAGGCGCGGCTGTCCAACATAATTTTTATTCCATCCTTCCAACCAGCCTTGAGACCCTACGTTTGTTTTCAGGGTCCATCGAGACTCCTCATCTTGGCGGAAATTTATTGACACCGGGAGAGAACGAACTCCCAAACCTGAAGACTCTTATATTCAATGACACCCCATGGGTCAACCAATCCACGCTCTCCATGTTCCTACTCCATTCCAGGGCCCCCCTCCGAACTCTTCATGTGAACCTTTGCCACAACATCAACAGCGAAGACTTCATCAATATTCTTAATGATCCCGACGGAGCGAATCCAGAATTGAAAGAATTAACTGATGTGGGAGTCGCCTGCATGGCTGGCATGGACGATTGGGGCGTTGGAAATCTGTCGGCAGTATTGCCAAATCTGAAAATCCTTGACGTGTCCCAGACGAGAATTACCGGCTGTACCATTCGCATGTTTGCGGATGCCCGGACCGAAGAATCGGCCATTGAAAAGCTCGACAGCTTAATCATAAAAGGATGTGACGGTGTGTCTCGTGATGCCATTGACTATGGACGGCAAATGGGACTCAAGATTGTCACTTAGGCTTGGCAGCATTTGGGGTACTCTTCTTCCGTGTTTTGATCATAGACAATTGCCTAGGGCATTACCCTTGTACAATACAATGATGAGAGATAAGCAAAAATACCTAGACTTGCATGGAAACGGTGTATGATATGAAGCTCAAACCTGCCTGATTCGTTCTCAGTATTTTGGTCACCTGGACATATTGTAGCCTCCGGGTTATTAGTCCGTTCTAGGAAGGACAATGCGGTTCAAGAACTATTCAGCACACACCGCTGCATGGGCATCAGCTGATAGAAAACATAGAATTCAAATCCTCCCGAGCTTGCTACCAAATAATTACAGTCCTGTGGGATTTCGTACTTAGAAAGCGGAAATAGAGAGCCTAGCGAACTGTGAAACATCGGGTTGAATTGGCAAACAGTCGAGATAAATTCGGATACCGACAGTTACACACACGAGAAGAGAAGATAACACGGCCATTCAATCAAAACATAAGCCACTGCAAGGACACTGCGGTACATGCTCAAAAACACATCATTTCAAATAGGACTAGCTACACGTCCAACCCAAAATCCTAAGACAGACAGTCCCATCATCTAAAGCAATTTAAGAATAAAGCCAAAACTAAGAAAAACCCAGCTATCTAAACCCCCCGTTCCTGACACCACCGCTCAACCTCTTTAGCCAATTTCTCCTTCTGATCACGCACAAGCTCCATCATAGGCTCAACCTGCTTCCTGTGCGAGGCAACAAGATCCGCATTACCACCGACAACAGCGACACCATCCTTGGGCGCAAGATTATCATCATAGATTTTGACCATGAGGTCCATAACAGCGGAGAGCTGGTTAGGAAGCCACTAGAATCCAACAATCAGCACATTTTCACCTACACAGCAGAGAAATCGGACTTCACTCACGGTTACAATGGGACTACCACCCGTAGCAGTAGGATGCGGCGTGCGACGAATGATATACTCGCGCGCGAACAGCCAGTGGCGCCAGCGGAAACTGCGGATGTGGTTAAGTGTGCGCAGGAAGAGGACTGCGGTCTCGGAGTCTTGGACGGCGTATTTCTGGACGCCGATTTCTTCGGACTTTTCGCGGATGTAGGTTAGGAATTCGCGATGGGGGAGAGGACGGTAGGCGCGGAATTCGTGGAGAATTTTGGTGAGGGGTGTTTCGGGCATGGGGATTTCGCAAAGGTGGTCGAGGAGGGGGATCTGGTGTTGGGTTAGTTAGGGTTGTTCTTTTTTCCCCCTGGGTAAGTTTGGTTTATTTGGATTGCTTACGATGCTGTCGTTGGCACCGCTCTCACCGCGGAAGTAGAGGGGCTTGTTGTCCTCGCAGCCTTCATAGACCACGCCGTTCGGGAACATGGATTGGTTGGTGATGCCGAAGATGAAGACGCGGAAGGATAGGTATTCTGATGGCTTGGAGTTGCCCCACATGTCTATTTCAATGTCAGGTTGGAAGATCTAGAAAATAGGTTTATTGGGATGATTAGGGCATTAGGGTTGCATACCTTCCATGGATGCCTCAATTTTCTCCATCGACTTTAGGATCTCTCGGAATCCGTCGTTGATTTCCTGTCGGGAGCCGTGCTGCTCAAGGGAATCAACGATCTTCAAGACACCTCCAATAAGCGGGCCAGTCTCCTTGACCATGTCGACGTGAGTCAGGATGAAGCCTGCTTCGGAGCTCTTGGGGTCGAGACCTTTCTCGAAGGACCGAATCAGACGAAGGTTCGAGTACTCGCTCAGACCCTTGGCAGGGTCGGCGACAGTGTAGTTGAACAGAGCATATGAGGCAGCATATGACATGAAAGGTGGTAGGTCCAGGCTGGGGATAGTTGTTAGTTACAGTGTTGTTATATGATGAGGATGTGTATCAATATGATCCACCAGATGGGGAGTAAGACAAGAAGGGTAAGAAGAGAGAATACTTACATCTCAGCACAGCGGTACATAGGACGAGCAACGGACTGGGGCAAGACATCACGACCAAGTCCATAACCACCTTCCGGGTCATTGTTCCAATGCTCCCAGCAAGGCTCGAGCAGGTAAGATGAGGCCAGGAAGGTATAGTCACGGAAGATCGCAGCAATAGTGAAGCGATCATACGAGCCATCGGCGAGCACCAACTTCTCAACCTCGTCAGTTAGGTCGGTAAGTTCAGCCTTGACAGCAGGGCCAAGCTCATAGGTAGCCAACAGACCGGGCTTGCCATCGAGCCTGACGACAGGGAGACGGTTGACCAGAGACAGCAAGGCACTGAAGGCCTCTGGAAGCTCAACAGGGGCAGTCTCGTAGGGTAAGAAGCCTGTCTTGGTGGTGATGGTGAAAGGGTCTAGGGAGTGGGCAATGGATGAAGGGTCATCATGGATGTGAGGGAACCGCTTCAGGGTAGTGGGGGAAGGGTAGGGCACTTGGGTTCGAGTCATGATGATATGAGATGAACCAGAGGAAATAAAAGGTTATAAGACTGAGATATAGGTGTAGGAGCAAAGGGTGTGTTGGTGCAGTTTACGGAAGAGTGAAGATATATAAGCCAAGGGACAAAGGAGAAGGCCAAAGACCAAGTCAAGAGCCTAGGAGGTAGGGGAAATGGGTAAAAAAAAGATGAGGAAGAAGCCAGGAGACCTTGAGAGATGAAAAGAGACTTGGAATTCTGAGATTTTGGGCGGGTGAGGAGCAGATTCTTATAATACTTTGAGGCCGGTAACAATTCCGGCCTCAAGTCCCCATTACGAAAGAGAATAGGAGATAACGTGGATCTTGTGACATCAGGTGGTACATGGTGGAAATTGGTTTTGTCTATCCTATTTGACCCTCGAGGCACTTTATATGAGTATATTCAGCCAGAATATGATATTTTGACATCCATCTCAACATCCTGGTGAACTATACAATTGCCCAGTGAGAGAGGGCAGAGGACGGTCACGGGTTGGCGCTAGTCCCAATACAGCAGGGGCTTTTAAGGGCGGTCTGACTGCTTCACATGGGATTTGATGGAAGTTTGTGGTGGCGGATGCCAAATTAGATGTTTAAAATGCTTATAACCAAGAAATTGGCCACTCACTAATGAGCTATTACGGATAAATGGTCGATGTGGTCTACTCAAGTCATGATGTATGTTCTATAGTCCATGCGCTGCCAAGCAGAGATCCCCAGATCCCGCCTTCTGATTGGACGATAAGCACAGATTTAACTTCCCTAGCGTTCGGAGGCCGGAATGCTACCGGCCTCCGATAGTAGCCGGCCTCTTTATATGTGCCGGGTAGATTTGATATAGGACAGTTCCTAAATTGGCATGGCTTGTGCGATGGATACCTTGTGTTGATTACAAGAAATATCGAGATAAAGCAAAGATTGGCCTTATCAACAGCTTCAATCTCTCTAAAACTTTTATAGTGTTGATATTCGTCAAACTTGAAATCGCACATAGTACACCTCCAGATATATATTGGAAGGTAACAAAAGGACCTATCGTACATTTGCACCCCAAAAGTACCTAATCTATTCAGTGACTCCATACGTTATATATTATATACCATGCGATTACATGTAAATATTCTCCATGGTTGACAATTTTGCAATCCACGCTCCCTTCCATATAGTTTTCATACAAATGCACGCTCAGTCCTATTCACCACCAGAGACCGAGAATTACGATAAAAAGTCCCATGCAACTGCGGCAAAAAATACTGCAAGACCGCATCCCCCACACTAGCCGGCAGTGACCTCTTGTCACCCCAATAGTGCCTTACCAACTCCCCAGCACACCCGGTAGCTGCGATCTCAGGACACCCATTTGCCTCTGCACAAGACAAGACCCGAATGTCTTCCGGTCTGTTGAAATCATACCTAACATGGTTCCCAAATGCAGATTGCTCATGTGGCCATTCCTGACCCCACCTCCCGCAGCCTGAATAGCGCGTTTCGTTGGGACAACCCTCCCACGCCTCAAAGAGTTCATGGGTACGAGGGCTCTGCTGGGCAATAATAAAGCCGGTGTTGAGAAATGTGCGGTTGTTCCAATCACGGTTATGAGGTGCTTCTGGATCGAGCGCCATGGCAACTAGAGTCTCCGGAGTGATCTCCCAGTAGTTGAATAGCCATTCCATTGGTAGATTGGGGTATGGCATCATGGCATCTGCATCAATGAATACAACGTATTCGTAGTGTTTCAACGCTTCTTTGATTATTGTGACTTTGGTCCATGTTGGAGATCGGCCGACTGTACTGGGGATTTGAACTAGTCGGTAGTCGTAGCCGTGAATCATTGCTATGCTCGTCAGCCACAAGGTAGAAACAGATATAGCGTGACGACTCACCGAACATGAAGTGGTTGAGTCTACCACTTGTATCTGGGGGAAGTCCGGTCGCGTTCAATGGAGCCTTGCTCAAAACACCCTTGGGGCCATCAAGATGGCGACTGTCGACGTCCAAAATGAGGATCTTCTTTCCTAATCGCTCGGTGAACCTCAATGGTTCCGCAAGCCAGAACATTTTCCCTGTGCGGCCAACAAATATGGTTTTAGTAATCGGGTGTATGTAGGGATTGTACAGTCGGTGGACCGTGGAGGAGGATGGGGAGCTTTCGGTGGCCCATCGGAAGTATTTCCTATACCAGGGTCAGTGTTCAACTTCAACCTTTTGCTTTGAGTGGGCTTGTACTGGGATTGCTGATCAATCAATACACTGTTCAAGTAGGAGTAGACCCAAAGTAGCGCACACGCTATCAGACTGAAAGTAAAGATGGTGGTGATTCGGCGAAGAAACATGAGTCCTGACCTTGGAAGGCGCATAGAGACGGTGTATGTATGTTAAGTGGAGTTCCGATCTGTAGATTCGACATGGGACGTCAACTGCCATGACATAATGTTGATGAAGTACCTAGGTAGGTAGGGCTATGGAAGACCTACCACCTCTTGCCGCTTTTGCTCAATAGAACTAATCATACCTTTATCTAATTCTCATTTTCGTTCATTCCACGACTTCCAAGACTTATATAGTGTGCCATTGACTAAAAAGCTATCCGACTAGATTTCCGGGGTTTCCGACGCCGCTTCTCCTAAATTCCTCTTTTTGACCGAACTTGCCGTCTCTTCAGTTCAGAGTTCAGACATTTTGAACAAGCTCATAACGAATTATGCCTCCAACATAAGCCTATGCCATCCCGATCAACGTATTAAGATCCTGAAGCAGTTGTTGTACCAGCTCCATATTGTCTGATTTCTCACGCAATGCCTTTTTGAGTTCACCGACTGCCTCCTTGCTATCTTCAGACACTGTCTCCCCAGACTGCAGTTTCTTCTCCATAGTCTTGATACTTTCCTTCGCATTTCGCATCTGCGACCAGTACGTTGTAGTCTTGTTGAGATATCCAGTCTCCTCAAGAGGCAAGTTCCACTTATGAGGGGTCGTCTCGACAATATCCAACCATTTGGCCATATGCGGCCATCGGCGCTCCTCTAGACCCGGGAAGTGCACGAGCAGATCTCCTCTTTTGCCTTCGTAAGCCCAGTCCCATTCATACGTGTTGATCCATGGCCGTGGCAAATAGGAGACTCCATCTGCGTAACCCTGTCCGTTTGGACCCCCGGTCGTCTTGTTGAGCAACCGTCTCATTCCTTCCTGGTCAGCAGATCGACCGAGATCAATATGAGGGAGATAAAGAGGGTAGCCCATTGTTTCGGTAAGGAAACTGATCATCCAAGGATGGACATGGAGGAACATAATTCCCGTGTTGAGGCCATTTTGGTCCTGGGCCGCCACTAGGTGGATATCTTTCAGGTCTGATGGCGGAAGGAAGATTTCCACGGGGATGTCGTTGTTCAGTATAATCGAGTCTGCGTCTACCCACCTGTAAGAGTCAGTATTTCTCAAGCATATACATAGAAAGAAAAGACATACATCAACCACTCCATTCTCTCACCGGCTGGCTTGGTCAATTCATTGATCACCAAGGATAGCAGATAGCTCGGTTTATTCCAAAATCCGACCGAGATATCCTGTCGGAGGATATGCATGGGGTAGCCCCATCGTTTCCCGTGGCGTTCATGGCTTTGCAGCGCTCTTTCGTACATATGATTCGTCTCTCCGTATAGCATGGACACTTTGGCGACTCTTTGCAACTTGATGCTGGGAGGATAGTCTGCTTGGCGGCCAGAAAATGGTTTGTAAGATTTGGTTGTGACCCAAAAAACATATATTACTGATAGAACTATCAGGATGATCTGCAAGGGCCGTTGTTTGAATGCCATTGAGTGTGGAATCATGGCCGGCATCACCGTGTAGGTGCCAGGCTTTTCATGGTAGATGAGAAGATGAAAAATAAATGCTTAAACTAGATAGGATTATTGCTATATTTAGGATTGAAATGTTTCATTGGGGGCTCGTGAGTTGTATGAATTCATACTTCCGGATTGGGAATGCCGTTTTCGGCAACTCAACCACATCCAACCATATCGACGAATAAAGTCTAATTAACTTAATTTATAAATCTATCTTAGCTCAGTCATTGTAAGAAAAAGCTCACTTATTCTAGAACCCATGAAAATGAGCTATGTTGCGTACGGTTTCGGCCCACTGCCCACTTGGCGCGTATGAAGCCCGCAACGGCGAGTGCAGGAACACCTTCGGTGGTTGTTCGGTGTAGATTTATGATAAGTGAATGCTGCCAGATCTCCAAAGAAACATTCCTGCGACTAATGGCAGCACCTAATATCATATAAGAGCATTTGACCGTCCAGACTGCATGCCCCATAATATATGTAGACCAAAATACCATAACAGAACGTCCGATTATTGTCGCCGCAGCGGTGCATATGTTATTAGGTGCTGAGCTCCGTTTGGGATCACAGAATAACCCAGATTACTTGGAAACTACAGAATTAACTACAAGATAGCGGCCAGACAACGCCCAAACTGGTAGAGAGACGATTTCATGTTATATGGTACAGATGAGGGTATAATATACACCACATGTTTCAAATATTTGTACAACATCGCATATGCAAAGAACTTTAACTCCTTGTTCCCATGCATCAGCAACCTGGCCGCCGTTGAATTCATTGGTATAGCCAGAGCGCATCCAGACCGAATCGCAAACTGGATCGCGCAAAAAAATGCAGCATGATATCCACAGTCATTATGATCCCGGACTCGTGTTTTGACTGGTTGTATTTGAGTCGCCGGTGGTGCTGTGTACCGTCTGGAGCTTGAGGTACTCCTGCTCGAGGGCCTTTTGCATTTCAAAGTCGGCCTGGCGTTCTAGTCGGACACGCTGCTTTTCCATATCACGTTCGACACCTCTGTGCATAGCCTAAAATCCAACAAAGTAAGTATATACCAGAAATAGAGAGTCGAAGCTGGAACATACCGCTCTATCCGCCTCTTGTGCCCAGTGGACAAACCAGACAATACCCATTGTGCCGAGGCCGGTGGCTGCCAATGTGAGCTTTGAAGCGCGAGACATGGCAGGATAAATGAGAGCACGGCTCGACACAAATTCAGCAGATAATGGTCACAAACAACGTTTTGACCTGTCAGCTGTTCATCAAAACGAGTCCGGGATTATCAGTTTATCGATCACCGGGCGGCGTTTGATGGCAGAACCCCCACCGCTCTGGGGGGCGATGCGTGGCTCCGATCGACCTGGGATCGGAGCTCCAGACTCGCCGTTTAATCGTCCCTGTCCAGCCTTATTTCCCTTCTACCCTATTTCCAAAGCTTAGAGGTCTCTAGAAAATATGGTGAGTGATATATCTCGGAATTGGTGGCCAGCTGCTAACGGTGAACAACAGTCGGCTCAGAACTCCGCGGGCATTCAGACCCTCCTCGATGTAGGTCTTGGTTGTATATTGTGCGCAGCGTGGAGATACTAACCACGGGACTGTTAGGCCGAGAGAGAGGCCCAGAAGATTGTGCAGAAAGGTAAGTCCAGCTTATGCTTACCCCTCATCGCTGCCTATCACAGACACTAATACGTCACATTACATTTAGCCAGAGAGTGTACGCAATACGAACTTACCTGTCGCCATTCGTTCCATCGAACTAATTATTTCGCAACTATACAGACCGTACCCAGCGGATAAGAGACGCCAAGTCAGAGGCTCAGAAGGAGATCGAAGAATACAAGAGCCAGAAGGAAGAGGAGTACAAGAAGTTCGAGGGCGAGGTGAGATACAGCTCCTAAACGGCGGTTATAACAAGAGGTTTCCACAGTGCTAAGCTAACTGGTCCCATAGCACTCAAGCGGATACAAGGTATCCGAGGCGGAGGCCGACAAGGAAGCGGAGGTCAAGCTCCAGGAAATCAAGGAAGCCGGCAAGAAGCAGGGCGACAAGGTGGTCGCAGATCTCATTCGTGTGACGACCGACGTCAAGCCCCAGGCGTCTGAGAAGATCAAGGCATAATGTAGACATTCTGGGTTATCTTTTCTTTCCTCGCGTGAATGCGCTTGCATGTCTGTTCATCGATATCCAAATGTCGGACAATATCAATTTCTTTTTGGTTTAACCCTGTGTATATGAGGTGGATCAAGTATATATCACTTGTGTTGGAATACGCATGTTGTATTCCTATCCCATGGTGTTCCTGGAGGTCCTGCTTGAATCTAGGCCGGTCTGCAGCAAGTCTAATATTGACCATCACAGCCCAGTTATTCGTCCTTATTGACCCGGTTTACTCTAAGACTCTTGTGCATCGCTATGCTTAGGCAAGCTTCAAATACATCACCAGTCCACTAAGCCAGACAACACACCCCTGATATCCGTGTCTGTTCTTACTCGATACAAGGGGGCGGTAACGTGAGGCACAGGATGATTCAATGTGCTGCCGAACCCCTGAGAAAGTATCAGTACCCATCCCTGTTCAACAGATCTCAGGGCAACGAGTCACTCACGGTAACACATGCTGGCGCTAGTGGCGCTGTTGGTTTTAAGGGGTGTCTCTACCATTCAGATCCGTTGCTGGGGCTATATCAGTTACCTCATATTATATAAGGACATCCTGATTCATTCGACACAAGAGCATTTCAGACTTACAGCAATGTCGTGTTCCAAAAAGCCACCTCGTCCTACGTGTCTTTCTTCTGGGCCACTCCCTTCCCTTCCGCAGTTCGGTGGCCCTCACAACAGGCAATCACGGCGCAAGAGCAGACAATTACAGTTCTCACTATTCCTGCAGAGTCTGTCCGGTGGCAACAGCCTTGGAGTATGCCTTGACTACGTTATCCCATCGAATGGCCACAATTGCTGCGATATGAGAGACCAGCTGTGCAAGCATCAAAATAGCGTGCTTGTCAGTTATATCCACAATAAACATATCTGAAGGCAAGAAATGAGGCTCTCGAAAACTACAATCTTAAGAAGGTATAAAAAAGCCCTTGGGACGTTGATTTTCTCCAGATACCAGCAGCTTTATCCCGAGAATATTTTGTCTCCAGTCTACTTCTTCTCCGGTCATCTTGAGATCTGCAATCTCCGTGCTGAGAAATGGCAGTCGATATGGAGAGATCATATGGGTTTACCCTATGGCAGCCTACTGACGAGCAGGCCAGGTGCGAGTTCTACCGGTATTATGAGTCTTTGATCCGCTGGCGATTCCATGGCGGACCTTGTCTACAGTCAGATATGGATGCGCCAACAAAGCCATGGGGATCAATGGACTCGGAAATATGTTGTCGACTGTTCCAGCGTGGCGGTTCGCATTGGTGAGTTAAAAGAGACGCAATGATAGGATTGTTCAGGAGACCTGGCGACATCGCGGTCGAAGAATGGATTAGGGAGAAGGAACCGGGACAAGCCACCACAGACCTGCTACAAGAGATGAGGAGGTATTTGATCTTCATTTGTTCCAACAATCCGTGAGCGTCTCAAGTTTTGCCCATACTAACTAACCTCTGTCACAAATTAGATGCGCCCACTATTACGACTGCCCTCACGTCTTTGTGTTTGATTCAAATGGTGTGCTTATTGTCCAATTTCGAGCTAGTTCTTTGGATCATATTATAAGCGCACAGTGTGGCTCTGATCGCTATTGCATACCTCCCACGCGCCCTTTTGAGATGTTGGAAGCATATCAACAACTGGCACTCCATGGCTGGTATCGTGTATCGGCAGCATGGTCAAATCTTTGCTTCGACTTCATACAAATATTGGTCAGGAAGGCCGGTGTGGATAACAGGACGTCTTCACACTTTTGACCACCCAAAAGGATGGGTGCGCCATTTTCTCGTGAACGAGTTCAAGGCGCATGCATTTATCGGGCATGGTCTATCAAGAACGTGTTTATTATGCAAGGGCTTAACATTCGCATGGATGATATCGGTGGCCAGGCATTGGCACCTGGTTATTATCCTGTGCATGTCCGAATTGGTCACTGGGCGTGGGTTCATCCTCAAAGGGTGCCGATATGTGATACTGAAAATTGCTTTCAGTAGTCCCAGCGACTTGCAAGAACGGGCAGTCCGGTGGCATCTTACAGGAAGATTGCGATGCATATTTGATTTAGATAGTTCTGGCCCTAAATTGTTTGGTGGAATGGCCTCCAGCGTTTGAGATTCGTCTAATAGTAGAGGTTGGAATGATTGATTATTATTTGAATTATTTCTGCGTAAAAAAGGCGCTCATTATAGTGCATCAATTTTTGAAGAGTTAAATGAGTCCATAATTCTTTCCCTTTGCATAGGCAACGCTCTTGGTGGAAATAGACACTGGTGACTACACATCAGGGGTATAGTTCATGTTGGCCTGAGGCAGCAACACTGTTTTCCCGTTGCGTCATTCCGCGCCGGATCTCATTCGACAACCTATCTGCGGACGACGCAGAACAATGAAACATGCAATTTTTACGCCGAATGCACTCAAACGGTCTTCAATAACCTGCTACTCATATGGCCAGACTGTATGTCACACCAGCAAAAGGTGGTATCATGGGTCTCCACGCAGACCCAGACCAAGTCTCGAACCGCGATTAGAGGACCACGGCAAAATAATTGTCGATGAATACTCCATCATCCGTGATAATTATGGTTTGTTCCTTTTGACTTGAATGTTGTGGGCAATTGCTGACTCGCGACTAGCTGCGCCAAAATACCCTGTCGTTCTCGCCCATGGCTTGCTCGGGTTTGATGAACTGCGCCTTGCTGGCCCATATCTACCCGGTGTCCAGTACTGGCGTGGAATTAAAGAGGCATTGATGGCGCGAGGTATTGACGTTATCACGGCGACAGTGCCCCCGTCGGGCTCTATTGAGGCGCGGGCTGAACAATTGGCCCGAAATATCGAGGCCGAGGCTCAAGGGAAAGATGTTAATATCATTGCGTATGTTACCTTCATTTCCTGGTTACACATATCGACATATTCTGACTGATTTCTTTATAGGCATAGCATGGTGAGATCCCTCAATCATTGCGATAGAGTTAATGCTTATCCGTGATTAGGGGTGAGACATAACAAGAAGATCATACTATACAGCACAAACTAATTAATGGCTTGTAAAGTGGTCTTGATTCGCGATATATGATTAGTCACATACGACCGGAGAAGTTCAAAGTCTTGTCATTGACCACTATCGCGTCTCCGCATCGAGGTCTGGCACAGCATAGCTTTTCATTCGCCTTCCTGCTAACTGTCTAGCAGGCTCATCTGTGGCGGACTACGTACTTGATCAAATTGGAGGTTCGTCACTATTTACTCACTTCCTGAAATAACTTATGAGATAACATTTGTTGTTCTGTGCAGCCGATCGACTACCTCAGATCTATTATGCCCTTAATCGACTCAGTGTCGAGACAGGTGCATTCTCTCAACTAACACGAAAATACATGACCGAGACCTTCAACCCCAATACCCCAGATATGGATGATGTCAGGTATGCGCCACGTATTCTCTCCACTTTACGCCCTGCCCAGGTGCCAACATTCCCCAGATATTTCTCCTACGGAGCAGCAGTGGAGCCAAGTATATGGTCTGCCTTTCGGCTCTCGCACCGAGTACTTGCCGAGATCGAAGGACCCAATGACGGCCTAGTCAGTGTGTCTAGTAGCCGGTGGGGAGGCGATGCAGGATACAAAGGAACCCTTATGGGCGTGAGTCACCTGGACCTGATCAACTGGACCAACCGGCTTAAGTGGCTAGTCGGGGAAGTAACAGGCAACAAACGAAAGTCAGTTGATTGCAAATTGTATTTTGGGAATTATGCTGATTTTTATGCAGGTTTAACGCCATTGCATTTTACTTGGACATCGCAGGTATGTGTTACAGTATGATTGGGTTACTTGAGATTAACAAGCTGCTTGTTCACTAGACATGCTAGCAAAAGAGGGACTTTAAGAAAAGTAACCCCAGATATATTTGGACCCTCAGCCCTGTTGTGGCTGTTTCGGATTTGATATGGGAATTCTGGTGCCTGGAGTGGAAGTTCCCGGTATTTTCTTCCTATTCTTGCCTACATATGTACTATGTATGGACATATTTTTGTACAGTGAAATCAATATAGTAAATCTGTCAATTAGTAAAATAGACGATTAAATTTCACCATAATCTATTTACTATCTAAGTATGTAGCTATGGAAGAGTGTACAGATACAACCGTTGGAGCTATAGTTTCCGGGTACTAGCGGAATTGAGCCCGTGGACCCTTTGTCTTAGAAGTGTGGCTGTGACGTGACTGAGGCGCAGCATATATGCCTAATCCAATCTTCCAGCCTCCAGGGCTTTAATCCTGCAAAAGTCCCAGATCATACAGGGCGAGACTGCGGCAGTTGTATGTTGCTTGGCAATCAGTTGATCTGCGAACGCTCGAAACGTCATTCCGGGATCCTTCACATATAATCCGCATTTCCCCCCATATTACAGCCCCCACGGCATTTCTTCGCGATCCATACATTATTAGGATCTTCCGCGAGCTTGATAATCGTCGCATTGTTTTCCAGCGACCGCGTTTCCCCGTTTGACCCCTTCGAACGCCGCCACCAACCGAAGAGAGAGCCCCGCCAGGGCCCGGGCGCCCGCCGCCATGTCCGCAAATATCGTCTTGGACAGCCGCCATACCCATTACACAAACCTGGACTTCCTCAAAGGCAAGGTTGTGCTACAGCTACCCACTGAAGCAGCCATCGGGGCCATTCAGGTCAAATTGGAGTGCGAAAGCCGCACTCGTCTATCCGGTCCCAGGAACCCCCAAAATGTGCACTCGGACAAAAAGCGAACGGAGCTTGAGGTTCACAAGGTGAGAGGATGTGTTTTATCGTACCTATCGGCTGGATAAAATATTGGCTGGAGCATTGGTTAACCAACGAATGCAGATCTTGTACAAGGTTGCTACCGTCTTCCCGACACCAGGCGTGATGCAGAATGGGTCCCCTGCGCCTGCATATACTTTTGCCGCAGGGTTATATGAGTATCCTTTCGAATTCAAGGTAAATAGTCCATTATATGGCAGTTAGAACGAACACTTCTGACGCTCTACTAGTTCCCCTTCAATAATTCATGCAGCACCACCAACAGCATGCTCACCAATCTAAACTTTTCCGGGTTGAAAGTCGAGGTAGCTAAAGACACCAACCGACACGTCAGAAAGACTCTCCCGCCATCTTTAAGCGGGTTCCCAGGCGTGGCAGATATCAAATACTTCGTCAAGGCCACAGTCATCCGGCCGCAATTCTACAAAGAAAACATCAGATCGGTACGTGATATGCTCGGATAATACGCTCTCGTCGCACTCGCTAATCGATTTCTCAGATTGTACCTCTAAACTTTCTTCCAATCGAGCCACCAAGAGTCGGGAATCCTAATGAGGAAACCTACGCTAGGCGGCAACACCAATTCTCCAAAACACTCGTTGCGCCTAAGAAAAAGAGCATCTTCTCACGGGGATCTTCTGCACCCCAAGAGACATTCGCAGAGCCTCCTCGGGTGTCTGTGGATGCTAGACTTCCCAACCCGTCTATTCTCACGTGCAACGAACCTGTCCCCCTCCGTCTCCTCGCTAAAAAGCTGACCGACGGACCGGAAGTAATCTTTCTTCAGATGTTGCAGGTGGAACTAATATCCTACACGAAAATTTTGGCCCAAGACCTCACCCGCACTGAAAGCAACTCGTGGGTTATCATGAGCCGCAGCAATATGAGTATCGCGTTAGGCAAGCCAGAGGACCCCGTAGGCACTGATTGGACTATTGATCCAAACCTGTGGAATCGGTATCCCTTACCTAACTCGGTGGCACCGTCCTTTGAGACATGTAACATTGAAAGATCTTACGAGCTGGAAATTCGAGTAGGCTTGACTCATGGATTCCAGGTACGTTGAATCACCAACCCCTAGAGTTGTCTCTTGGCTGATCATGGCATAGCCTCAACTTATTGTTCTACCCCTGCGAATGCCAGTCAGAGTATTCTCAGGAATTGCTCCACCACAGGCCCTCCTGGATGCAATGGCCGCTGCATCACTTCAGCCATCATCAGCCACTAAACTGAAACCCCAGCCCAGCTTGCCAGCAGAGCCGGGAAGCAGCCGACCACCCATGCCACCACGGCCGACTGGCGAGCCTGTACCCGTCAATTCTGGTGATGTATACGACGACGCACCACCCAGCTACGAGGATGCCATGGGAGACCACCTGAGTCCAGTGGATGGACCACGCCGCGAGTATCACCCACCAGACGCCTCATCACAAACCCCAGTAGAATCTGGATCTGATTCCAAGTCCGCAGGCCAACCGGGTAAGGCGCTTGAGGATGGGCCCGCGGCAGAAGGATCCTCGGCGCCTCGTCTCCGAGGCAATCGTGCTTCCTCAGAGTCCTTCGATATGCTACCTACCACACCGCCGGAATCCCAATCTGGATCGCCTCCCGCATCCCCCGTGAGACGTCCAGCGAGCATGATGAAAATTTCTCGGAACACCGTTGATGAAGAAAGTCCGCCGCAATATGAGCCTGTTGCGGGGAATCAGCTCAACACCCCCCAAGCTGTGCAACGCCAGCCTTCACGAAATAATCTTCGTCCTATGAACTTGGGTGTTCCTAATCGGAAGCCTGTGCCACGAAGTCCAAATCCTTGAGGCTAATGGGCTCAATAGGTTGTTTGGTTTCACTAATTTGGTCATATTCTATCCTCTATCACGCTTAGTGTCCGGGTTTGAAATTAATTGGAGCTTCATGGCGCTTTGCCAGTGATTATTCCAGCACTCAAAGCATTACCCATCAAACAAACTGCGTTATTTCTACCTTCGAACTCGATACCCCATCAATTTCCAGTGTTGAAAAGTGTTATTAAAGCTATCTTGTTCTCGAAATTCATAACAGGTCTATGGAGGCGTTATTGTCAAAGGTATCTTTATTTAACTCGTCTGGTGTAACGCCTGTTGAACGCGATAATTTGTTTACATACACTTGGTCTGAAGAATGGGCCCAATTCAATGAAGCCGATATCATAATGCGCATCATCCCAGTATAGAAATAGGTTTGTTTACGGGAATGTCTTACGCACATTATCCATCCACACTCTCATGCAAGGTGTAACAGCCGCCAGCAATGAGATCGACGTCTCCTTTATTTCAAGGCAATCGGAAGGGGATACCACAAGGCTGCTGGTACTGTGATACTGTGGAAGCCAAACTTCGAGAGTCAAAGCTTTTAGCATATATGCCCAGGTGGGTTCTAGGTGAGATGAAGATCCTATATATAGATGAGAGCACCTTATCGCAGAGCCCAAGTTAATAATCAAAGGGACAAGAAAGGTAGTATTCGTCTATCATAGCACTCGGTGTGACCATAACTCCTACCACATGTAGCCGTGCTCGTCTTCCTTCCAATCCGCTTCGTTGCTTTCGATACCTGACAAAATAACACGGATGTGCCCGTATGGGAGGGCAAGTGCAAATCGATAAAAGAACCCATCTTCCCACTTCTGCGGTTCATCGGGACGATATGCGAACCTAAACCCGGAGATGTGCCTATAGAGTGTTAGATAATACTCCCCTATTTCGAAGTTAGTATATGCATACATCTGACCAGAAGATTCGTCATAGATTATTTTAGATGGAGTGGCCATAAGTGGCATAAACCCGAATTGCAAAAACCTCCTATTTAATGTTAGCTGGAAGTCACCACAATAGGCTTCGTGAACATACGTGAACACCTGACGAAACTTGTCACGGATGGCTTCTCTCTCATCAAAGGGCTGACGCCAGAATTTGATCAGATCCAAGGAATCACCAGCAACCTTTTCATATACAATGTAGGTAACAAAGCCCCCAGGAACCATTTCGTCTTCCTGTTGCTTACTTTGCCGATAGCCAAGTAGTTTAGGGACGACCTCACATCCGAGCATCATAAAAGACTTCAGGGCGACTAGTTCTTTGTTCCCTGGGTACTCGACGGCCTGCCTAGCCCGAAGGCTTGCCTTCTTAAATTCGGTTCCAGTATTAGGTACTTGTTGGTGGATACGCATGAAAGCGAGCTTGGCTTCGTTACCGGCACCGGCTGGGCGACAAAGGAACTTTGCTGAAGTGTCTGAGATGCCAATACCATCGGTGACCTCTTTTTGGGTCAACGGACCTGGATTCTCTTCCAGCTTCTCGACAATTACCCAGGTCTGGGCGGGGAAGTGAAGCGGTTCTTCGGTAACAGCGTCAAGCGTGATCTCAGTCCCTTCAAGGTCGGTGAGATATTCGAGGGGATATTTCATGTTGGTTTGACTATCAATGTGGAGAGAAGAGGTATCTTGATGAGGATACGTGACGGAACCAACGGAGTGATTTGGGTTAGGTGTCACTCAACATCATATTTACCATTACAAATTACTACATAGGCACCGCCTAGGCATCTAGGCAGATTCACAAATAAGTTGCTCATTTATGCAGTCCATATTTGCTTTGCTTGCATTTCTGCCCTATAACATTCTCTTTACTCTAGTGCATATTGACAGGACAAAGGGAAATGGGTTGTGGAACGAGCTTTCAAAATGCCTGGGACGTACCTACATACATTAATACACTGCAAATTAGGTTTTACAGTTATAGTCGACCCTCGCTAGATTATCGAAGTAGTTTTGATACATACAAGAATCTATATGAAGACAAAACCCTTAGTGTGTCCCAGAAGATACTAATTGGGAATAAACATAGGTGCTCTTGCCAAGACTGATTGCTCTCCTACGTGATCTGATCCGCCTAAATCCTTTCAAAAGCAGCAGTGTGCTCATCTCCGGCAACAAGTCATTTTTAGCTGCTTATAGTTGATTCTAGGGAGTTTGAGAGACATGGCTAGAGATACTTGCAAGTGTCGTCAGGCTTTTTAGAAGTAATGTACAGCTCCTTTTGCAAGTAATGTGTAGAGTAAATGGGGCAGGTCTTCACTCAGATAGGATATATAGGCGATTGGGCCAATCAAACTATGTCCCTATGTGTAGGAACTATAGTGTATATCTTATTTGATTACTTGAAGGTTTATTGTTGACCACCAACAGGAGAAAGACCGCGTCTTCTGATTCGTTGGATCGGCGAAATGTCATACAATTAAACCCATCTTATACTCTATGTCTTCTATGTCGTGACCTTCTGCCCTATATCTGCAGAGTGACCGGATTTGAGACGTTATCTTGAGCAATCGTTAGAGAGGCGTAAGACTACATTAGGTATTATTTATCTACATGGAAAAGCCGTTTTGCACACTTCAAGCCGTTTTTACCGCCTATACTCTAGCTACATACAACATCAACAAGAGAGAAAATATTTACCCATCTAAAAAGACATCTAAAAAGACATCTAAAAAACCATAGCAAGGCCGCATGAGCCACTATTCTTGTTTATTTCCCTACACTTCTGAAGAATGAGCCGAATTCAATGAAAGCCCATATCATCCCCGTATAGAACAAGATGTGCGCTATTCCAAAAGCGGCTAGCGTATCCTCCACGCGGATTGAGCTCTGATCAGTTGCTTTCCTCTTTCACTCGAGCATATGTCCAATCCTATGGGCATCTGTCCTCACATTGAATATTAATCGAATCTGTTAGACCAGCTCGGACCAACTGGATTAACCCCGCACCGAAATATTACCTCCGAGTACTCGACTCGAAACTTCCCAACAGCAACACGAAAAAGTCCATTCACCGCGTCAATGATTTAGCTCGCGACTGACCATCCACCATGCGTCTCCACCTTGTTATCTCGCGCCATGGCCTGCCGGTCACACGCATTCTCTGGACGACGACTTCGTCTACTTCTGTACTAGGCGAATATGGAACTCAACGCCCGGCATCAACCGCAGCTGTCGCATCGTCTCGCACCCCGAACATCGCCTTCTCGAATGGCGGGTACACGGTCGCACAACTCCTCGAGGATGTGAACGAAGTTGTGCCGCTGGAAACTGAACCGAGTGTCTTTGATGCGGAGTTCAGTGGCCAGTGGGGATTGGAAGATTATGTTGTCGAAGTTGCTGGTTCGGAATGCCTCCATTTTATGGAGGTTGATGGCTTGCTCCGAGATGGAGACGAAGTTGTGTATGTGCATCTAACAACTGTTCTAATACCGTACACTGGGCTAATTTCATGTCTTCTAGTATTCGTGCCCTTCAATTAGCAGACCTCCGGACCAGAAGGCTGTGTGGTCGCCACCAAATTACTGCCGAGGGCAAGCATTTGATCGACGGCGTGCCTTTCGGGTCACCATTCTTGAAGAGAACTACCTCTACACGACCTGCAATTACCATACCCCCAAGGAAGAAACGGCGTACGGTTTTTTCCGGCTGGGAGCACGCTCCAGAGTTTGTGACCGAGGAAGTACATGCCGACGAGGAATGTGATGGAGAGTGGCTTCCGCCTCCAAACACCGGGTTCGGAAAGGAGCTTTCTATCATGCCCGCCGAACATGAAGAGTCCCTGGGCACAGTTATTCGGCATCCTGTTGATCACACCGCGGAATCTGACAGTGAAGCGGATATGTCTGAGATGCCTGAAATTGAGGAAGATGAATTGGAGAGCGAACTCCAAGCGCTCAAAGAGGACTTTGAAGAAGCTTCTCAATTTGTTGATATCAGGAACCAGACTCGAAATGCCAGTGGACACCCACTACGTGCTACCTCGATAGTCAAGCGACCAACTTCCAAGGGGTCACTTGCAGCTGCCTCATCTCTTTCCAGCAAACGGTCTCGCGCAGATGACTCATCTCCCAGGACCTCCAAGGCTGTGAGATTCAATAAGGGAGATGAGCAGGAGGATGAGGATATGCCTGATCTCCCACAAGTTCCGCAAGCCCCACAGGTTGAAAGTGCTGCTGAAATTTCCGTTTCTGATTCTTCTGATTCTTCTGCGTCTTCCTCAGACAGCGACTCTGATGATTCTGAGGATCATGATTCTGACGATGATGATTCTTCGAGCGAGGTGGAGCCTGCGGCGGAGGCACCTGATTCTGGTTCATCCTCAAGCTCTGATTCATCTGATTCATCAGACTCTGATTCCGAGGAGGAAGCCGCCCCGCCTATCGAAAAGGTGCAACAACCGGTTTCTGTGGGCGCTCCTGGTGAAGGGTCCATACGCACCAAAAAGAGTAACAACCGCATCAAACTACGCCGCCGTCTATCTAAGCTCAAGGAGCTAGGCGCTCTCCCCCAACAAGCAGGTTTCGATGCATTGCGGGAGTGGGAAGACAGTCACGGAGGCTGGCATACCCCGGAACAATATCCTATCCCGGAGCCATCTGTGCAACCTCAACAACCTGTGGAACCGGAACAAGAACCTGCCGAATCTTCCAGCAAAAAGCAAAAGAGAGAGAAAAAAGAACAGGAGCAGAAAGAGTTCGAAGCCAGGCGCCAGAAACTGCTTCGCGATCTTGCGTCAGGTAATGGTGTTGATGTGGACGAGACATCGGAGAAGGAAAATGTCCCGCCCGCTGCATCCGCCGTTGCAGAGACACGTATTTCAGAAGAAGTGCCCGGTAAGGATCAGCAGGAGCAGGAACCTTCGAACCGACGTACCCTGGACATCTCCAGCTCACGACGCATGCTGTTCGGATCTCTGGGAATGCGAACCCCGAAGACCAAGGAAGACGAAGAAGAAACACGGAGAAAGCTCGCTGCCAAAGCTAGTGCATGCGGGCGCCGAAACAAACCTTCTAAGCGAGAAGCCCAAGAAGAGACCGACCAGATGCAAGAGGATGAAGATGCGTCCGACATTGATTGGCAAAACAAGCTTGTCATCCGTGCTGTCGAGTGTCTCTATCCCCAAGTTGATATGACCGCGCCTCCTTATCCTTTTGTTCAACGTTGGGATCAAGAAGCCAATGCATTGATCCGTGAGCTCAAAGGCCCCAACAAGAAGCGGAAGAGAAAGCAGCGTGTTCAAGTCTACGAAGGATATGAGGAGCAGGAGGAATACGATGAAAATGGGAATTATTACGGCCAGGATGGCCAAGCTAATCAGGAGGGTTATTACGAAGGTGAAGCCGATCCCCAATATGAGGGCCATTGGGAAGGCGAAGCTGCTCCTTACTATGAAGGCCATTATGCAGGCGAGGCTGAAGGAGATCAGATCAATTATGACGATGCTCCTGAACCCGAACAAGCTACCTTCGATGACCTCCCTTCCATTCCCGCCGACATGAGTTCTGTTCCTGATTTGACTGAGAGCGAGGCGAAGGTCGGCGCAATCATTGCATTCCGGCAGCTAGACATGTCCAAAGCCACGAACTGGCAGCCTCAGATGTCTGAGTACCGAGTAGCTGAGGTGCGCTCTGTTAAAGACCATGGATTGATTAATGTACTACTGGCCAAGCGAGACCGAAAGCCCCGATCAGCATCCAGCGAGTATGACGAGCCCCGTCAATTCAGCAAGTTTGAAGTACCAGACCTAGCCAACGACGAGGGGGAGGATGACGGCTATCGCGAGCTTGCCTTTGCGGAACTCAGCGATCCGAAGCTTCTCCAACCCGCAGCACAGTCGGGTGCGGAATCTGAGGACCAGAACAATACTCGAGAAGGTAGCATGTCAGTGAAATAAACTCTGGTTAACGGCTCATGCTTACGTGTCCAAGTGTCTCTGTAGTTCAAGAAACCGTACCGAACGCCCAACCAGCCTTTTCTGAAGAAATGTACCTTGACGACACAACCTTTGTCACCATCGGAAATGAAGTCAGCCGTCTTGAATCCCCTCGCGAATCCCCGGGAATGCCCGATGAACCTATCCAACAAACCCCTGGCAGAAGCGTGCCGCATATCCAAGTCCAGAGTGGATCTGATCAGCGCGGTGTTACTCCTCCGATCCCTTCGCCTTCTTTCACTGGGTTTCACTCTGCTCGATCATGGCAGCAAATGACCCCTGGTGTTGAGCTCAGCCGCGAGCTTGAAGGTCATACCCTCATCGGAGGAGACACGCCATCTGCTCTAGTCAACCGGGACGAGGATCCTTCCGTGTTGTCATACGCTTCTGCAAATCAATCCTTCGCAGATGATCATGAGGACCAACAAATGTCTGAGCATCAAGAGCATGAACGACAGGTTGTTAATGAAAATCTCATGCGGCCTGGCGAGTCGGGTGGGAGCGGTCCTCAGTCTGGCTCACTTTTGTCCACCATTGACCGTAACGGTAATGATGGTGCGTCTGATTCGGAATCTTTGTTTGTGAAAAGAGATCCGAAGAGCGAAAAGCACAGTGCGACTCCCAATAGCTCCTCCGAATCGTGGAGAGATCTTTTGAACAGATTAAGAAGTGGACCATCGGAGCCAGGCGATTCACTCGTCGCCAGCGAAGGGGACAACAATGAAGACAACAGCGGCGGCAACAACAACAACGAAGACAACAACAGCGAAGGCGACATCAGTGAAGACAACAACAGTGAAGGCAATCAGACTCCCGAGCGGTTGGAAGACAGTCTGCAGCACTCCTACCTGGACCTCAATTTCTCGCCGCTTGACTCCCCACGGGCATCCAACTCGCGCTCTCCCAACCCACTGATGAGTGCCCAACAGGATGCGCAGGCTCAAAAACAAGCCTCATTCCCTTCGCCATTTGAACAGGATTCCCCCGCCACATCTACTCGCTCCAAACTCTCCCAGCGGGTGCACGAATCCGCCTCCGCCTCCCAAATCCCCGCCTCCCAGGGATCCGAAGTGATTGACCTCACTTCCAGCCCGCGTGAATCACCTGAACCCAGCGCCTCCAAATCTGCAGTGTATGGGAAGTCACAACGTGCAGAGGACATTCCTCGCTCGTCTGGACGTCCACCCCGAGCTTCTACGGGAAGACTCCAACACATGGTGGAAGTGAGCATTAGTCCTTCCAGTCAGAAGAAGAAGCGCTCGTCACGAAAGTTCTGAAATATGGCTGGATTATTTGTTATTAAAAGTTGAAGAGATATTAGATGTACTGTTAGTATTTTACATTCGTCTGTATATGTACGGACGCAGAGCGATGGCGTCTGGGAACTTGCACATTCATTTTTATTCCTGGACATTATTTTATTTCGGCTCAAGATCAATACAAGATTAATTCTGAATGCTGTTTGCAGATCATGACAAAATCCTGCCAGTGATTGGTTGCATTCATATATATACATATGTAGTGATGTCATGGTAGTTGTAGTTATATACTTCAGGTATTGCACGCACATATCTCACATCTTCAAAGCATTGCAGTCAATGGATTGAATTAACAAAGAAACTGACTTCATATTAAAGCAATTTCTTCTTCTATCTTCCCTTTTCTCCCCCTAACCATGTACCGTCAACGTACGTGGCCATCTATCCAAGTATCCCGGCGGTGTAACTGCATCTCGTCATTACGCCATATTCCCTCACCCCGCATATCCAGCTTACTCTTGACCTCTTCCTCTTCTTCTTCTTCTTCTTCTTCTTCCACCCGTTCAATTTCTACTACCAATCTATCTCCATTCAAGTCAATCCAATCCAAACGCAATCTATCCACAATGTCCCAAGAATACAAGTTAAAAGACATCACCTCCTTCGCATCCCTCAGCTCTCTAGACAAGGTCGAGGCTGAAATCGAGGGCATTGAGGATGGGAAGGTTCTCCTCGTCAAGCTAGACGATAAAGTCCATGCCCTCAGCCCGCGGTGCACGCATTACGGAGCACCGCTGAAGAATGGCGTTGTTACTGGAGATGGAAGGCTGACATGTCCCTGGCACGGAGGTGAGTTTCTTTGTTGTGTTTCTTTCCTAGGAAAAAGAAAAGAACAAAGAGCTAACTACTATATATACAGCCTGCTACAATGTCACAACTGGCGATGTTGAGGACGCCCCAGCCCCAAACGCGCTGAACAAGTTCGAGGTCTTCGAAAAAGAAGGCGGCGTGTACATCCTTGCTAAAGAGGAAGATGTCAAAGCAGGACAGCGCAATCCAGTTGTGAAATGCAGTGTATCACAGCCGAAGGAGAAGGTTGTTGTGGTTGGAGGGTAAGTCACAGGTTTTTTTACATCATCACTGTGCACATTTCGCATGATATATTGAACTGCCCGGTGTGATTGTATGGATGGGCGGGCATTTGGCCAAGCGGTAGTCGTTGGCGACGATTGGCGCACCGCCTGTTTGGAACCCGTCCATCCTCAGCTCGAGTGCCGTTTGATCTCGAGCTGCCGGATCGCCCCCGGGCGATGACTTTTTTATTTTGCTCCTTTTTTTTCGGTGCTAGCGCCAGTGCTTCACGGTGCTTCACGGTCCTTTCCCACTCCTTTCACGGTGTTTATAGGGTGCTTTATATTGCTTCACGGTGCTCCCACCAGCGTGCTCCTAGTGTGCTCAGTGTGCCCCATGTCCCCTACGCCATATGCAGCTCTTTCTATATTCAGATACTTAACCGATACTAACACCAAACAGAGGAAGCGGAACTCTTGGCCTTATTCAAGCCCTCCGCGAGCTCAAATACCCTGGGGCCATTACAATCATTTCCCAAGAGCCCGATCTAATCATAGATCGAACCAAGCTATCCAAAGCCCTAATCACAGACCCAGCCAAGATCCAATGGCGGCCACGAGAGTGGTATGCCGAAGCCGCCATAGAAACCATCACAGATGAAGTGACCGCTGTGGACTTCGAACAGAAATCCATCTCCACGAAATCCGGCCAGAACATCTCTTACACCAAACTAGTCCTAGCAACAGGCGGCGTGCCACGCAGACTCCCGCTCCAAGGCTTCAAAGGCGAACTAAACAATGTCTTCACCCTCCGCACAATCCAAGATGTGCAATCAATCGTCACAGCCGCCGGCCAAGAAAAAAGAAACATCGTGGTAATCGGCAGCTCCTTCATCGGCATGGAAGTCGGCAACGCGCTCTCAAAAACCCACAACGTGACAATAGTAGGCATGGAAACCTCCCCAATGGAGCGCGTAATGGGCACGAAAGTTGGCCGCATCTTCCAATCAAACCTAGAAAAAGCCGGCATCAAATTCAACCTCTCAGCAAACGTGAGCCACGCAACACCCTCCCCCTCAAACACCCACACCGTCGGCGCAGTCCACCTAAAAGACGGAACAACCCTCCCAGCCGACCTCGTCATCCTAGGCGTCGGCGTCCGTCCAGCAACAGACTTCCTCCGCGACAACAAATCCATCACCCTTGAAAAAGACGGTTCTATCAAAACAACCTCCCATTTCCTCGTCCCAGGACTGCAAGACTCTGTCTTCGCTATCGGCGATATAGCAACATACCCCTACCACGGCCCTGGCGCTGATCCTGCTGGCTCGCCAGTCCGCATCGAGCACTGGAACGTCGCGCAGAATGCGGGACGTGCGGCTGCGCGCGCCATCGTGCATGCGCAGCGTGGGCCGTTGTCGTCTCTGAAATATAAGGCGTTTATTCCCGTGTTTTGGTCGGCGCTTGGGGCGCAGTTGAGGTACTGTGGAAATACGATTAAAGGGTATGATGATGTTGTTTTGCAGGAGAAGGGGGATGGGAAGTTTGTTGCGTTTTATACGGCTGGGGAGACCGTTGTTGCTGTTGCTACTATGGGTGTTGATCCGGTTATGGTCAAGTCTTCGGAGTTGATGAGGGTTGGGAAGATGTTGGGAAAGGGGGAGATTGTTGGTGGTGCGGATGTTTTGGCTGTTAAGGTCTAGGTGGGATATGATGGATTTGATGTTTGGATATTAATGGATATTAATGGATATGTTGTCGGAAAATAGTTTGGAATGAAATGTTTTCTTTAAATGTTCAATTGGCATATACACGTTCGAAGCGGAAAATAAGAACAAGCAAACCGGAACGCCATCCAGGATGTAGTCAACAGTGATGTATGATATCGGTGCTCATGCAGACATGTATGCAGAGCGAATTTATTCGTCCTTGCTCTTCTTCGACTTGGAAGACTTGGACTTCTTCTCTTTCTTTTCGGTATTTTCGGTCTTCTCCTTCTTCTCTTTCTTCTCCTTCTTTTCCTTCTTCTCCTTCTTGGGGCTGGGCTCAAGATGCACATCCACAGTCGAGAGCTCCTGCACCGCCGACGCCGCCGGGACATCCATCACGGGAATAGAGCCAGAGACCTTCTGAGGCGACGAGAAAAACGACAGAGGCAAAGACTGTCCCTGGCGCTCAGACTCAGAGAGCCTCTCCTCCTCCTCAACAGAAAGCATAGTTCCCTCAATACTGAGGAAACCGCGATCCCGCTCAGAACCAGGAATGACATCCACATCAACAACACGGAAGCGCACAGAGCCATTCACTCGGTGTCCAGAAACAGACTGGAAATAACCGGTGTGAGACTCATCTTCCTCCTCACCGTCAATGGCGATCTCCTCGGCAGAAAGCGAAGCAGGCTTGAAACATTCCTTCTCGGCGTCGAAATCCGCCATATCCCGATCTGAGGCCGAGTCGTCATCAGTCAAAGCCGGCGTCTCGGCCTCCTCACCAGGCGGAACCCACTTCCAGTTCGAGGGCAGACGCTTGCGCTCAACGCCGACAGAGAACAAATTAAACACGACAGCGCCGAGGAATCCCTCTGACTGCACATTCACCCATCCATCAAGGGTCTGTCCGCGCTTCGGCCGGAACACCAGGAACGTGGCCGTCAAATAGACGTACAAGACACCGTACTCGTCCGCTGTTGTGGCGAGTGTGAGCGGCTGCGGGTTCAGATCCGAGGAAGAGCGAGGATTAGCCGGCGGCTTGCTGGAAATCGAGGCATTGGAGTAAGCCAGGACGACGCCCTTCAGCGGGGGGAAGTAGGTCAGGAGCAATGGCGAGAGATGCTCTGCCAGCAGCGAGGCCAGCGCGTGCGTCGGCGAGATGGAAATGGGCGACAGGGGCAGGTAGAGGGTTGCTGTTGTGAGGGTGAAGGGGGACTCGGGATTGGAGTCTGTGACTTGTGGAGTTTTTGAGGATGGGGTTTGCTTTCGCTTTTTGGATGGTGATGATACGGATGCGTCCTTGTTTTTGGATTTGCGCTTGCGCTCTGCGTCCGCTGTGCGCAGCGGCAGGTTGTCGATTTCCATTGCGTCAATTGCCATCGTGGAGGCAATTTGGGCGCTCCACGGAGCTTGTCGTGTCGATGTGGAGGGATTGGAGTGCTTCTTTTTTTTCTTTGGGCGTCGAGAACTTTTTTTTTTCATTTGGCTTTTGGTATGACGAGATGGGAAGGCGGTGGAGTTGGGCGGTGACGGGGCGTTAAATGGCCCCCCCGGGACTATTTTGGGGTCGATTGTAATCGCCAAGTGGCGCTTAGGATCTTTCTTTTATCTTTACTGGTTTCTTGTTTGATATGGTGCAGTTTGGATTATTCAGGGGAAATTGATTTACTCGCCATGTCGTCCCTTCTGCCTTTCTTCGGGTGGGCTGTTCTTCCCAATGTGAGCGGAGCGCGATGCGGAGCTATACAACACGTGGAATGAAGCTGATATATGAATGACAGTATGCCACATCATTCCTACAAAGTGTCTACTATGGCATAACCATACGCGCTGGCGAACCCAAGCCACTTCCTCAAACTCCGCGGTACGAGCGTCATCGTCGCCGTATCTTCATCTTCGTGATCACCAGCTACCTTCTCTACACGCTCTACGAAACCTTCTACCAAGTACAGCTTGCAGGCGATTACTACCAAGCTCTGGGTGTATCGCCATTTGCCGATGAACGCGCAATCAAGTCGCGATTCCGCCGCCTCGCAGCTCAATATCACCCCGACAAAGTCGGGCTGGACAGCGGGTCCGATGCTTACTTCCTGTACCTTCGACAGGCGCAGGAAACATTGGTGGACCCGGTGAAGCGATTTGCGTATGACCGGTTCGGGGCAGATATGCTCGGATGGGGGGAGCAGAAGACCATGCGAGACTTCCTGATGACCTCGTTGGTCAAGTCGATCGTCCCGCAATACATTGGCGGGTTTATCACAACGCTTGTGCTTAACTGGCTATGGTGGGCGAATTGGGGCCGTTACGTGAGTACACAATATCATTTCTGGAAAAGGTTCAATTGCATAAGCTGACTGTTGTTAGTGGCGCTTCTATACCTTCGCCGCAATGTTGACACTCGAACTTGGCTTGATTACACATCCCCAGGCTGTGTTCATGCCTACCACATACCTTCCCGTCGCGCTACAAGCTTGGCTCCCTAAAAACTCATTCTACCTCCTCCCCTTCCAGATCCTGACGCTAGCACGCCGCGCCTCCATCATGCTGCACATCTTCATCTCGCAGGCCGCACCGCCCACCGCCAAAGTTGCTGGGAATGGGAATGGCGATAAGATACCGCCGCAGACTGTTCAGCGGATCGGAGAGTTGATTCAGTTGACGCGCGGCACGGATATGGAGGCGACGCGGACCCTGCAGATGGGTCTAGCTCCTTTCCGTGGTGACTGTGAGAGTGTATCGACGCTCCGGCGGGGCATGAAGGAAGGGCTGATCCTCGGCGGGGTGCGGTCCAGTCCTGAGGTGCAACGTGCCGTGGCACAAGTGGTTGAACGACGCAAGGCTGAGGGTGACAGTAAGCGTGATTGATTGGATTTCAGGTGTAGACTTGAAACTAGAGGTTAGATGGTTGTATATTACATGTTTCAAGATATTCCAAGGTTGTATCCATGAATTCTTTGTAATCGACAAGTATACGAATTTTTGGCGTTCATCTGGACGATCCCTTGGCACTGTCGCGTAATTTGGCAATTCTTCTGGTTCACCCGCGGATTAATTGGCGAAGTTCAAGTTTCCGAAGTGGCAACCCATAAAGGCCGTAGGGGCTTTGTGAGAAGACTCGTGATACCCTCACCAGATCTGTTGAGAATGGGTCCACCTGGACTTGATCTGAAAGAGATGTGAGTTTTCTCTGTTTGTAAAAGACAAAAAAAAAGGCGCATCTCTCGAAACATCATGCGGTCAGTGAGTTATTTTCGGGACGCAGCGGGTGTGGAATGAGATCCATCAACGGGTCAGGGTTGGGGTATTCCAAGGTTTGTATATTGGAGATGGATCAGAATGTCGAGTTTCTGTCTAAGTAAGAGGAGGGAATACCCAGATGTGAGCTCGAAGATGAAGACCTCAACATTCACAGATACAATAATAGTCAGCAAGAAAGTCAAGAATAAATAAAAAGAAACGAAGCTGTATATGTGTAATGAGGTATTGTATTGTCACAGACACGTATCAAGCTCTCCCCGTTGGTCCCGAAGTGGCTGGGCCAAGTTTGTAATGACAGTACACCGAAGTCCACACCTTCAACACATCCCCTGTGCTTCATGGCTGAATGAGTTTTTTTCTACGATGAGAGGGCCCACGATCCCTTTTTACTTCGCCCCTTCCTTGTCCTTTTCCCTTTCCCCTTCCCCTTCCCCTCCATCTTCCTCACCCCGGACTATGCGATCGACTACACATACTTCTTCTACATCTATAAGAGACGGGCGGTAGAGACACACACCACGTCACGGTGAATTGCCTTCACTTCCGTCACCAGAATTCCCCTCTCGACCATCTAACCATATCCGGTACCCTCAATCTCATTTCACCCCCCATCACCCATCATGCCCGCCGCCACTCCAAATGGTCGCTCCCGCGCTGGAGCCAAGAATTCCTCCAACTCCTTGATGGTGATTCTCAAGCTGTCTGGAGATAATCTCCAGCAGTTCGCCAGCCCCAAGATCAAGAGCCAAAATAATACCCCCAACATCAAATCCAACGACAACTCCTCACCAGCTTCATCCGCCGAGCTCCCTACCGTCCGTCCATCTTCTGCCGACAATGGCTCCGACGCCGATGCCATTTCTACACCCGCCACAGGGGCGACTGCAGACGATACACCGCGTCGGAAGGGTGTTCCGGGTCCCAAGCCAGGCAACAAAAGAACAAAAGAACAAACTGACCCTACTGCAAAGTCACGGGGACGCCCTGGCCCCAAGAAGAAACCCAGACTGTAAGCAAACCTGACATACTCTCCATTGCAAAACCACAATGCTAGAAAAAAAAAACCGTTAAATGCTAACATATCATCTATCTTAGTGATGAAGGCGACGCCACTAAAATCCCAGCCGCACAGCGCCTGGGACCAAAAGCCAATACGGGAGCCATCAACGCCGGTCTGCGCGCGCTAGACCGCACCGGAGCCGCGTGTCGCAAATGGGAGCGCAAGCCCCTACAGCTACGCAGCTTCACCGGCATTATGTGGCAACTCCCCTCCTGGCGCACACCGGGTATGTCCAAGTCCGATGGCTCGGTCGATGGCAAGGTCTCAGCAATGGAAAGTGGCGACAGCGACACCAAGCCCATGCTCCATGCCCCCGGCACCGACACGGCCAATGGCAGTAGTGCTGTGCCTAGTGAGAAGAGTAACTCCGGGGATGGCGATGTCACCCCTGCTTCTCATCTAGTCGAGCCCTCGTCGCCGGCCATTGCTATGGCAGCCTGAATATGACTGTGACGAGTTCGAATGGGGTTTCGTGCTGTACTTATAGATTTCGCGCGTCTACTGTTTCTTTGTTTTGGGTTTTATGTCGGGGTTGGGTTTGGCGCTGGGGGGAACTGTTTATGGCTAATGGCTTTTCGGCACGAGGGCTTGTTTTTTTTATGTGCACGGGGTTGTAGCCGGGATCTGGCTTATTTCACTCGGTATGTGTGTTCTGTATTATAGCCCTTTTCTTCTTTTTTGGCTGGTATCAGCTATGTTTTTCTCTTCTGTTCGAGGATCTTTGCTCTGGGAGCATAACGCAGTTAATTTCTCTCAAGTTCTCGGTGGTTATACTCGATGGTATAGGGCTATATACTTGGATCTACCTAGGTACCTAGTACTTGGAGGTATACATCTGAACAAAGTCCTTGTCTGCCCGACTCCTAGTAACACAGTAGCCGAGCCTTTAATGTCTAAGTCCACATCAGCTCGTGACATTATACTCTTCTCCCCTCTTTTCGTTCTCATCCTTACTCCATGCAATATCCGGATTCCCCTTTCCCCGCAATCTGTGCACCGAGATTATTGATTTTCTCTCTAGTTATTTCGCTATGACTAGGCTCTACACGTTTCTTTTATTTTAGAATTTCGGATCTGACGGCTTCGTACTTGTCTTTGAATAGAATAGTGAGGTCACGACGTGGTAAGATCTGCTGCTTTCGGACCTGTCACGCAATGTCCGCACTGCGAGCATCTTGTTTCCACGCACCTGTGTGTCACAAACACGTCTTATTCCCACGCACATTACACAGTAGCTTCAGCTACCACGCACTAAGTGCTGCTATATCCACACACACTACCTACGGAGTACTACAATCGCTAATGCTTACTACCACGCACTTACAGAACCCCTCAAGTTAGTAGCGCCAGTCTCCAAACGAAATCAGAAGTGTGGACCCCCAAAGCCAGAAACGAACAAACAGAAACGAGCAAACAGAAACGAATAAACAGAAACGGTGGCCTTGATTTCGTGGCATCATTTGGGGGGCGACCCGCGAACATCATGGCCGATGCTCCCTTCCCCCATCCGGTGGAGCTCGAGCTCCGACCTCATACGCCAGCATCTCCTCCATCCCACGCCGCTCCTCCTACGCCTCAGTAGTATCTGGTAACGCATTTTCTCCACCAATCTCTAGTTCCTTCTCACATCTCCTCAACGACTCCCACCCAATCTCCTACCCCCCGTCCGACAGCCGAGTCCACCGGGCTCCGTTCGGCGTGGATGCCGCAGACATGCACATGAACTCCGCCTGGAGAAACACAGGTTCAACAGAGTCACTTCCTCCCTGGTCTCGCAAGTATGCCGGCTTTCTACGCTCGGCCGAGTTTCCGCACGGCCTAGGCCTCACCGACACCCCGGCCTTCCTCACCCCATCCTACCTCCGCAACTCCCGCTACATCGCCCGTCTCGAGACAGCCCACCGCGCTAAGATCGCAGCCCAACAGCGAGACCCCTCATCTGCAACCTCCAATCCTCCCCTCTCCGCATCCTCCAGCCATGTCCACCTGCCCCGCATCGCCCCGTCCCACCGCGGCATGACATATGAGATCATAGAGAAGGAACCGCCTGCCCCGGCCGATCCCCTCATGCCCCTGCCCAGTCAGTGGAGCTCCGTAGACAAGTTTTCCGGCCTGGAATTGTCGAATGAGAACTTTGATGTGCGCTACACTGGTCCTATGCACAAGCATGACCATGAAGCCGCTGCCTTGCGCGCAGATCACCCGATGCCGCCGCAGTGCGGGATCTATTACTTTGAAGTTAAGATCGAGTCAAAGCCTAAGGAGGGGTATGTGAATGAGCTGCTCGGTGGGTATTGATTGTCGAGGCTGACTTTTATTTTCTAGCATGATCGGTATTGGGTTTTCTAGCCCCAAGGCGTCTGTCGAGAGGCTTCCCGGTTGGGAGACGGAATCGTGGGCTTACCATGGCGATGACGGAAAGTCGTTCTTTGGTGAGAGTCAAGGACAAGGTCGAGCATATGGACCGACCTTTGGTGCTGGCGATACAGTCGGATGCGGTGTGAATTTCTCCACAGGATCTGCGTTCTTCACTAAGAACGGTGTCTTCTTGGGTAGGTTTTGTGTGGATTGTAATGGGGATATGTTCGGCTAATTTTGACAGGAAACGCGTTTCACGATTTGCGCAATACGAACCTTTTCCCGTCTGTCGGAATGAAAAAGCTACCGCCAGTACATCTCAAAACGAACTTTGGACAGGAGCCTTTCGTTTTTGATATTGATGGCATGGTCAAGGTTCGTGCTGTCTGCGTCATATACTCGGAGGTTGTCAAGCTAATTCCCACCAGCAAGAGAGATTCAACGTTCTATCAGAGATTAACGAAACATCCACGGCTGGTCTCCAACCACCGTTAGACGAGTCGACACTTTTGCAAGAGTTAGTTGCGCAGTTCCTAGCCCATGACGGCTACGTAGACACAGCCCGTGCATTCGCAGAAGAGGTGGCCACCGAAACACAAGCCCTGCAGAACGGCCGCAACGAGCCACTGAAGAAATACGAGGTCGAGGAAGACCGCGAAGCAATCAACCGGAACAGTAAGTCTACCCCTCCACATTCTTCCCAGCGCCAAGTCCCCACTGACAGCCCATAGAAATCCGCTCCGCAATCCTAGACGGCGACATCGACAAGGCCCTCAAGCATACCAAAGCCTACTACTCCAACGTCCTAGAAGACCAGCCTCAGATCCACTTCAAACTGCGCTGCCGCAAATTCCTCGAAATGATGCGACGGTCCAACGAACTCTCCGCGATAACCGCCGCGAAGCGCCGTAGCTCGACATCCTCCAACTCCCACGAGCACGCCGTCTTCGATCAGGAGATGGAGCTCGACGACGGGGATGGTGATGCCTGGGTCGCGGACGGCATGGACACTGAAGAACCCGAGGTCGTCGCGCAGTTCAACCAACTCCTCACGGAGGCAGTGCAATATGGCCAGCAGCTGCGTGCTGATTACCCCACTGATGAGAACGGCGGCGATAAGAAGCTGCTGGATGATATCTTCTCGCTGGTGGCGTATCCTGATCCGAAAAGGTCTGTGCATGGCCATTACCTCGATGCCGAGGGGCGGGTGGCTGTGGCTGAGGAGTTGAATTCGGCTATTCTTGGTATGTTTCTTGGTCTATTTATTCTACTTCTTTGTTTCCGTTTCTACTTGCAAACAACAACGCTAACACGGCACTGTATAGTCTCGTTGGGCAAATCATCTGCTGCGGCGTTGGAAAGGCTATACCAGCAAACTGAAGTGCTGGTTAACGAGATCAGTGAAGACGGCGGCGCTGGGGCGTTTATTAATGTTCGGGATGATATTCTGCTTTGACTGGCGCTGGATTAGGGTCTTGTTTCTCTCCTTTTTTCCCCTTTCTTCACTGATGTTCCTTTTTGTAGAGGGAGCCACAGATCTCAGATGTTTCATGTTGATTTACTTCTACTTTCATGACTCTCGACTTCCTTTTGTCCAGATTTTTCTTTTTGTCAAATTACCTTCTACGTATCTCTTAGCCAGAATGATGAGTCCCCTTGGGGATTACCTTTGAATGCTCAATACACAGTGACTGACTGGGGTTCCTAACTTTTTGTCTTGTTTACTTGAATTTGAATATATCTTCACCTGCCCTTAAGAGCCTCTTAGTTTATTATTATAACACCTTTTAATCCCCTACCTAAGTACCAGTAGCATTGTATATATTTCTTTGTGACGTCAACTTCATTCTATACTTAGAGGCGGTGAGACACAGCAATATCAAAGCGGTAAGGACTCGCGAACACCTGGAGGCTTATCTCATCGCTGAAATTGGAGATCTCCGCTTTCTCAAATCAAAGGGAGCCAGTGATAGTCTATGACACCTCGACGCTGCAAAGTTCTCTGATGATCAGGCCTCTCCACACACTCAGCTCCCCAAAGGGGCCACATTCTTAACATGGATCCACATAGCGCTGAGGATCTCAGCATTCCTACCCATTCAAGCGCTTCCACCACCCTACGCTGCTGCTGTGGCCGCAATGACTGTGCTTTGCTCGAGCATAACAATGTAGCTCTCGAGGGCTTGGAGAAAGATCTGGAGACTGCCGCTAGACTAGGTCAGGTACGTGTCTTTTTTCGATATTATTAGCTGCCCAAAAATGATGTGTTTTTGGTTGGGTATGAGAAGGACGCCAAGCTGTTCCAGGGCTGGCTGAACCATGCATGTTTGATACATCAATTTATCATTCTTCGCACAATACTTTGTATCTGATTGCTTTTAATTTCCGATACATTTTCATTTATACCACTCGGACTGCACATTCTGCATACCTGTGCACACCCCACATCATTTGGAATCAAATGGCCTCCCTCCGATCGCGATCTCCCATTCTCTCGCACTGTGTTGGCGTTCGTCATGGCTACCTTTCATGATTATGCTGCGAAGGCAGGATGTTTTGAGGCATCATCACTAACTTTTCCTCTACAGGCCTTGCTCCACCGCCATGAAAGCTATATGGCTGAAGCGGAAGAGGACCGCCATCGCTTGGTCGGCAGCATTGACGATCTAGAGCGCGAAAAGCGACAAGCTCAAGCAGAAAATGCGCGTATCATCGAAGAGAATCGCAGTTTATTAGAGCAACTTGATAGTTTGAACCGCGCGGTCGCCGAGTCAGACGACCATGTCAAGTCCCTAACGGTTACTTTGGAGAACACCGAGTCTGAGTTGCGAAGATTGACAGCAGCTGCAACGCGTGCCGCAGAGCTCGAGGCGCAACTAGCTCTCATGGAGACGGAGCAGTCTAAGCTCCAAGAGAGCCTTGTGTCAGTGCATGAAGATGAGAAATCGGCCGTCCAACGGTGGAGACAAGCAGAAACCACCCTGCGAGACCTTCATGATCAAGTCGACCGCATCGAGAAAGAGGCACGCGAGGAAAGAGATCGACATACAGAGCTCGTCGAACGCATGGAGCGCAAGAGAGCTGTGGAGCGCGAGCTGGACAATGCAGCGGGCCGTCTGAAAGGTGCCGCTGCCGCCTCCGAACTTAACCGCAACGCAGGTGGTACCAATGTGGTCTCTCGTTTCGTCAAGGATATATTGCAAGACAACGCCAATCTGCAAGTCGGGATCATGGAGCTACGCGACATGCTTCAGAGCTCAAATGAAGAAGTACAGAATCTACGGGAACAGGTTATCTCTCATCAGCCGCTGGCCGGCGTCGATGAGGAGGACAATGTACAGCCAAGGCCTTCCACCACGCTGAGTGAGGAGCTACGAGCGAAGGAAGAACGACGCGTGTCTCAGGAATTACACATCCATCATCATTTCCACACACCTACCGCGGCTCTAGCTACGAAGAAGGAGAAAGGCACGCTCAATCGTCGCGTAAAGAAACGCCGCCCCGCTCTGGGGAGCCCGGTAGCAATGCACTCTGCGGCGCGGGCACAATCGCCCCGAAGAGCCCTTCATCGCTCCCAATCATCTGGATCCTCCATGTCAACCATTCTGTCGCAAACTTCTGTCTCCATCCCACCTCATTCCTCTTCCCGCCGTTGGTCTTCACAATCATATGCTCCGGACTCGCTGGCAAGCTCTCCTCGGTCCGCGTTCCGGACGTCATCGATATTTGATCGTGTTGAACGTGGCGCTGATTTCTCCGAACCTACCAGCCCTGAAAGCACCGTGTTCTCATCTCCTTTAATGCAGGCACGGAACCTGAAGGGTCTTGATATGCCATTCCGACCAATCGGTAGCTTTGATAACCACGATGCACCCGACGACCTATCCGCATTTGAAGATGATCTCTACAGCCGCCAAGACTTCTCGAACATGGATGATAATGCCACAAGAGAGCCAGCTATCCCAGAAGAATCCGAACCATCTCCATCGACGGCATACTTCTCACCTATGGGTGACCCAATGACGACCACCGATGAGATTTTTCCTATGCATGTACAGCCTTCCTCTTTACGCAGATCTTCTTCTCATGACAGCTTGCTCTCCGTCTCCGTTGCCGGAATGGACATTCACACACCCACCAGTCGCCACAAGCGAATGGGCGACTGGCATCCCGGCATGCGGATTCCTCGGCGCATCTTGTCACCCAGTGTCGAACTAGTATCAACACCCCCAGTTATCTCAGCCCCGGCCATCACAGCCGACCGTGCAAGAAGCTCAGAGCACACATCCCAGTCCTTGCTTGCTTCCATGGCTGCGGGAAATCACACCAGGTCCGACACAGCATCCATTGTATCCACAGACAGCACCAGCACCGGCTCAACCACAACCCTTGGCCCCCGCAAAGCCACGACGTTGAGTCGCCGCATGGGAGGCTGGGTCCTAGGCCGCTGGGGAATAGCACCGGTCTCATCTGAGAGTGACTCGCAAGATCCGACAGACTCGCCAAACACGTCTGTGGCATCGTCACCGTCTACATCTGCGCCCAAACCCCCTGATCCGCTAGCTCTCCGCTTCAGATACCCAGGCGTGAACCAGAAGGGTCCGATAATGGGCCTGCGGCCTCCGCCTGCTGCTCCGATCTCCATTCATGCACAAAGCATAGACGAAAACCTGCTGCGAGAGTCTCTAGCTGAAGAGAATCGCTAGATTCTTCGCAACCTAAATATCTGCACCATTCATTGTTCTTTAGCGCTTACACTCGTTTTAATCTTGCATTTAGTATTTATTTGCTCTCACGGTTTTGTTGCATTTCTTGGATTCCTGGTTTGGAATGGCGCGAGTTTCGATGATACCCATGCTTTCATCTTTGATTTCTCAGACTTGTCTAGATGGTACGGTGTACACTCTCTGGTCCTTTTCGCAATGTATATTTTATGCAACAGGACCCTGTGGCTTGGACTTGACTTCATTGCGTACCTCAATACCATTGGAGTTTTACAATCGAGTTGAACAATTTTGCATAGAGTTCCCTTGGAGCTAGTTATATACTGTAGTAACAAGGTTCATGCACTCACTAACTTTTGCATCATTTGCATGATATCACATTCTCTATTCATACTCACAAGAATAGTCGGCCGCTTATGCGGCCTTGAGTCTTTTTCAGTCTTTTATGGTAGTATTCTCAGATAGTCTTTTTAGATGTCTTTTTAAATGTCCTTTTGGTGATGGTCTCAGATTCTTCCCAGTTATCTTCTCATTTAGTCTTTTTATATGTCTTTTTTGATGTCTTCTTAGGTGTATACAAAGGCGGTAAAAAAAAGCATACTTTGTGTTTGAGACTTTTCTATGTATAATTTGATTACCTCGTGATGTAAACGCAGGACGCAGTTCAGATGGCTGCTTATTTCGACCGCGAAATCCGATACGTCCGGATTGGGATGCTGGTCGAATGGAAGAAACCCGTCTGGTCTTCTGATGGTGTCGATTCGAACGGGAGAGTTTCAACAGCGAATGAGTTGGTTTCTGTGGATGTTTAGCACAGCATAAGACATGATCATCAACGTTGTGCTCACCACAGGCATTCAAGAACGTGCGGAAAGTATCCTCATTGCGCAGGGTCGCAGCAATGATAAACTCTTCAATGTGATAGTTCTCGAAAAGATCCCGCACAGTAGACAGGAGTAAGGGAACAAGGTCGGTATCATAGATCTAGACACGTGAGCACGAAACCCAAGTAAACAGCCCATAAGAACACCCACCAGATCAGCACCGAGAGCAACATCGAACCTCAGCCCAGTCCCCTCCTCACCCTCATCAGAACCCAACCCAGCAAGATCCCCCTCCCTCACCAACGGGGTCCCCCACTCCCAAACAGCAGGATAAATAGGAATGGACTCCCGCCCCTGCAAATTATGCTTAACACACTCACGAATATTATCAATAAGCGCCGGCTCACGATCAGTAACAACAACAGAGCGCACACCAAGATGGCGTGCACAAACCAGCGACAAGAAGCCCGTGCCAGCGCCCAATTCGATAACTCGCTTACCGCGCACAAGAGCCTCGCCCGTCTCAGAGGCCAGGAACGAACCGAGGTGCAGAGCAGCCTCCCATGTTCGATTTCCGGTGGTTCCAGCAGACAGAATCAGGCCGCGCGATTCAGAGGTCGTGACAGTGCGCTCGGGACTTCCCGCGCTGGATGTTGGCGCTGTGTACTTGACTAACGACAGCTGCTGCGCTTGTTGCAGGGCTGAGGGTTTCGGCTGTGAGACTAGTGTGCTCCAGCTTTCCATGAGATCGTCGTTGATCTCCTGTGTTCGTGGGGGAGGGAAGAGGTTAGATAGGTGGAAAATCAAGGAATATAAAAAGGTTTTGCATTGGTGTGAGGTGGATGTACATGGGACAGAAAAGGAAATGATAGGAAATTCATGATAAAATGCAGAATAAAAAGCTTTGAACAGGTGGGTAGGCATACATCCTCCTCGGGGTCGGTAATTGATTCCTCGATCCGCGAGAGAATCTGTTTCAGCACTCGGCTTCGGTAGCTGTCTGGTGGGATGGGAAAGACTGCATTTTCGTTGAACATGCGCTCGTATAAGGCTGCTTGCACGGCTGGCTGGATCAGCACAGAGCCTGGTGGGAGGGCCAAGTGCTGGAGCTCGACCAGCTGAAAATACTGCGCCGCTAATTTATCAATAGAGTCCGTCATGATTGTTGGATGAACATAGTAATGAATTTGATATTGCAGGAGATCAATGCGGTAGATATCATTGGAGCCCGGGCGAGGAGAGTGGATGAGTCAGGAATGAGATAAGCAAGGGCTGATCAACACTTTCTGCCTCAGGCACACAATTCCTTAGTCACTTTTGCCTCAGGCAGACAGCCCAAACAGGCTAGCGTCGACCCTAGCCGAGCCCACACCACACGAAAATTGAAAGTTCGACATCCTCAAGTGACCCCGTCGACACTTCCTCCATCCAACGCACACACCAAAATGGCCGACTCTCCCGTCACTCTGCGGACTCGCAAGTTCATCCGCAACCCTCTGCTTGCCCGCAAGCAGATGGTCGTGTAAGAACCCCCCTGATTTTCCCCCTCGTTTTGGATCTGTGTGTGGGAAATGCATCGCAGGCGCGCAATATGGAAATTCGACAACCACCAAGCACAAAGAGAAAGAGAAAGAGGAATACAATCGGAACACCGCAACACACACAGAAACAAGCATCGAAAAACCAAAAACCAGAAAACCCCGATCTGACATCTTTTCGCGAATATCTAGGGACGTCCTCCACCCCAACCGCCCCAACGTCTCCAAGGACGAGCTCCGTGAGAAGCTGGCCGATCTGTACAAGTCCAACAAGGACCAGGTCTCCGTCTTCGGTTTCCGCACACAGTACGGTGGTGGCAAGAGCACCGGCTTCGCTCTGGTCTACGACTCCTCCGAGGCCCTGAAGAAGTTCGAGCCCCACTACCGTCTCGTCCGTGTCGGTGCCGCCAGCAAGATCGAGAAGGCTTCCCGCCAGCAGCGTATGTTTCTCTTCGTCTCTCTTCGTCTCAGCGATCATCAATCGCAAACCATGACGTTGTATTTCTTTTTTGCTAACCCCCCTTCTTTCTTACAGGCAAGCAACGGAAGAACCGCTCCAAGAAGTTCCGCGGTGTCGCCAAGGTCAAGGGCCCCAAGAAGAACAAGGATTAAACGCCTCATCTGTAACTATTCGCACGATTCAACATGGACCGATGATGCGGCATGGCGCGATGGGAAAGATTATGGCGGTGACGGCTTTGGCTCTGGAGCTTCCCACCTGGTTATGGCTTGTCCGGACCCAGGTGCGGTCGGTCGTGTGTGGGGGGAGTGGTTTATCTTCCTTTTCAGCGAACATCAGACTAAAACCCAAAATGATGCCCGTTGAATGGTGAAGATCGTGGACGGATACTCTTTTTTCTTCCTGTGCTTGTTGGAGCTGGTGATTCCCTAGAAAAAAAAGACCTGGCGATCCCCATGGAATTTTTAAAACAGGGCGTCAGTGTTGTGGTTCTTTGTGTATGTTTTTTTTGGGGAGGGGATCATCAGTCTTCGTGAAGACGGCCGGGGTTATGAGAATCCGGGCTTCGGCTGTTTGCCCGGGATGAAATTACATTTTACTTGTTTCTCTTCACTCGGTCTGGTGGTCTTGTAGCTGTACTTGTACTTGTACTTGGACGATTGTACGGGGCCATGGCTGGATCTGATGTAGTTGGATCTGGAGACTGTAGACTGAAGACCCTCTGCGGCGTAGTCTAGGCTCAGTCTATATCAAGCCCTGTCCCCCATGCCCCTCCATGTTCTATGCTTCAAATGCGGAGTGTTACGATGTCATCATACATGGTTGATACAACTGAAGCATATATAACTCGAATTGATATGACAGTTAGCCCTCTTCTTGTCTATATCAACGCAACTATCAATACACAAAGCCAACGAGACTGAAATATTCATGGCAACTTGGCCCCCTTAGCCAAAAGCCCAATCTGATCTCCCAAGAACCTCTCCGTCACAGCCACTTCATTCCCCCGTTCAAGCAGGTAATCCGTAGAGCCAGCGGTGTACTCAATACTTCCCACACCGGGACCAAGAAGAATACGCCAAGCCAACATATACCCAGCAACATTCCACGCCACCTGTTCTATTCTATCCGAGAAAACATCGGCATAATAGTCCTGGGTATCTTCACATCTCTTCTTCCAGTTATCGCTCCACTGATCCACCCATACATCATATAACTCCCGCACACAGGGCGGGAACGAGACGAGTTCCTCTTCTGACTCGGTGTATCCTTGCTCGTCTTCTCTGATATCCTCAACGGCTCGCCAGAGGAAGTCGGTTCCGTACTCTGGGAATATGCGGTAGTGTCGAGGCGTGGTTGATGGCCCAGACTTGGGAGAAGGGGTTTCAATTGTCGTCGTCTCGACTGTTAAGTCATCGTGCTCGGTTGTTATTTTGAGTATGAAATCAAATGTGGTTTGTATGACTGTCATTCTCTCGGATGAGATGCATGGTTCCTCGGAAAGGGTGCGCCATGCGTCGCCTAGGTTCTTGATGGATTTGATGTATTGCTGGGATTGGGATTGGCGGCTGAATACAGCTAGAGGTTTGAGGAGTTTGGATGTCATGGTTCCTTTGATCGGTGCGTGGTCAGGTGTGGAAGCTTTGGATAATGCGGGGTGTGGTGTCTACGGGCGGAAAATCATTGCCTATAAGTACATACTCTAGTGGTCTGCGCCCCTATGAGTCAAATGCGGGCGTTTATAATATCTTGATATCATTCTATGTGGACCAATTGTGATGCTATGGGAAAGGGAGTGTCTACTAAAAGAAACACTAAACACTAACCGCCGTGGTGTGAGCGATTGGTCCTCTTTTCGGAAAACAAAAATATTCTAGGCCCAAGCATGCTAATCAAAGTCCTTTTGTATTTCTGAGATAAAATCTCTGAAAATATCCTGTCAAAGCATTAGGTTACATAAGTTATTGCCTCAGGCGCTAAAGCCCTAATTCAGAGCCCACGAAGACTCATACATACCCGCTGAATGTTGCAGCTGATCATTGCCCGAGAAATCCGACAGTGACTTGTGATTAATTGTAATCATGATTTTACAATAATGGCGCTACTTCATCGAAATATATAGAGTAAGCAAAAAACATAGTGTCTACCTCTATAACAAGGATATAAATCCCACTACAGCCAAACAAGCTAAAAGCGAACTAGTCCGACAAAAAAAAAAAAGAATATCAAACCAACATGAACAATGCAGGAACCAACTTCGTAAACCAAACCATCCCATCTAACACAACAAGACCTCGACGGAACCCAGCCGGGAGGCTGTGTAAGTATATCCCTCGGGTTGGATCGCTTGTACGATGGGGCAGATTACACAACCTACAAATTCCCATTCCTCAAATAATCTCGTTTGAATTTTCATTTCCCATATGGAAATACTACATCCCAATTCCATGTGGACTTGTTCAAGTTAGGATACTGGTCGTCTGACTAGATATCTGGATACATATTTGCTACCGTGGGATTTCTGGCAACCAAGTACCCGGACACGTCCATAGCAGGGTTGTATACGGCATGGCGGGTTGGATCATTGTATCACTGCATCATAGTTAACGGCTGGAGTCAGAGTCCGCCGGTGTACAGATTTGTGTGCTACTTTCTGGTTGGGAAGGATCCTGGTGCTGGTCCGGGGGTGCAGGGCACATGGTTAGCCCTAGCTCATGCTTGTGACTATTGAGGGCTGATGGGGATACATGGGGATGGGGTTTATTATATGTATTGTATTTGGGGGATGTAGTGGTTAACTGGGAGGTTGTATTAGGTTTTTGATTGAGATATAGATACTCGAATAAGGGCAGATGGAGTAGAACTGAAAGACATTACTTTCAGATAGGCCGTACAAGGCGAAGGACAAATAAGGAACTCCTGCACGCTTCGAAAAATGGCTAGAAGACAGAAGACTAGAATTAACAAGCTCTCCAGAGTCATTTCTGAGACAAGGATATCTTATATCACAGGCAGACCGGAGAGTTCCTCATAGTAACAATAGAAAATAAGACATTCCGCCGAATACTAAGACACATGGCATAAAAAAAGCATATTTTTGAGACAGACATAGAACCACAGATATAAATCACAGCATAAAGCCAGTTTGGGTATTAGGGAGTAATCTTGATGGACAGGTGTGACAAGATGGGCACATCATCATCATCGCCCATTGGATATATTTTCTCTTTTGGATGAACATAAGCAGACAGATGAAGACGACAGAACGAGCAATAACTCAGAACAGAACAGAACAGAACAAAATACACAGCAAAAAACTAAAGCGACGAACATCAAAAACAGAAAAGAGCAGACACGAGAAAGACATTAAATGGGAAGAGCAAGGCAGACATAAACGGCCTTGATATGGGTATCTCTTTTGTGTATCCTGTGGGAAAGAAAGAAACCAAGCAAGAGACCAACCAGGAAGAAAAGAGAAGAGTGAAGAGCCAAAGAATCAAAAATCAAAACCCAAAAGTTCGACAGGGTAGGTATACACCTGATGTTCGATACAATGACACCAAGAACATATTGAAATCAACTCAATACGCCCCCTGACGACCCAGAGGCGAAACCGGAGACCGATGGAGACTATCAACCGACCGCCCATAGTCAGACAAGCCATCAGGCAAAAAACCATACGGCAGACCAACCGCCGAGTCCGCATGTCGAACACGCGTATAGGGCAACCCATTCACAAGCGTCGGCGCCGAGTAACGCACATCACCCTCAATAACACCCCTGGACTTCTTGCGCTCACTGCCCGAGTACCCATACACATCGGGTGCGCAATCAGAACTTAGCACGAGAAGACGCTGTCCGGTGCGTCCCAGACGTGCATCGGAGGTGCTGTACTCGCCCACAAGAGTGCTCTCTATCGTGTCTAGGGCTGGGTAGGGTGGGTTTGCAGCTGAGGGGGCCATGGAGGATGAGGCTGCGGGGAGAGGGGAGGGATCTTGGGTGCTAGACATGGGGATGTATCCGAAGACGAGGTCTGGTGTTCCGTCGTCTGAGTCGGTTGACTTGACGCGTGAGGGGGTGATATTGTAAAGACCGTTGCTTGGGAGGGTGGGCATTGGGACTGTGCGGCCGTCTGGGGAGGTTGTGTACCGTGAGTTCCAGCCCTTAGCATCTGTGGCTAGGGTCATGCCTGAGAGGCCGTCTGGGAGGGTTGAGAGGTTGACGTTTTGCTGGGGCTGGCTTCGGCAGGTTGGGGGTGCTGGGAGGGTCCGGTCTACAGCGTCTGTGATCTCGGTGGACATGCCATGGCCTGGGAGGACGAAGCCGTAGGCAGCTTGGTTCATGTTGCCGCTTTGTTCTTCGAAGAATTCGCCGTTGGTGGGTCTGCCGTTCAGATCCCAGGCCCGGTTCCCCCATGCCGCGGCCGCGGTACCGTAGTCGAGCATTGCTCCCGAAGTGCTAGATAGCATGTACCCTGGCGGTGTTTGGCCGTGGTAGTTGGCTGAATGGTCATCATAGTGGTGGTCCATGCCGACGGGTTGCCGTGAGAAGTTGGACTGGATATCCAGCTCGTATTCTTCTCGGTATGGAGCCCGCATTTGAGGGGAGCCCATGAGAATTGATCTTCCGTGGCCTTTGGTTGCATAAAGCCTAGCTGCTTCTCTGGCAGCGTCTTCGGGGGCCAAAGAGTTGACCTGGAGTGAAAATAACTAGGTCAGTGTGACTCTTTTGCTGTGGATATGGATTCTGACTTACTCGTATGTATTGGCATTCTGTTGCTCCAACACTACGGCAGCTGGAACAAGCCAGGCCAGTGTTAAGATCACCGTTGCACTTTATTTTTCTCTTCCGGCATCGATTACACTAGTAGAGGTTAGAAATCGCCGGGTGATCAAGATGGAGAGATCACTTACTGCGACTAGGGCTCGCTTCCTCTGTTTCCGTGGCTTTTCATCCCGCTCTACAACAAGATTGCGCTCCTTGCCCACACGCATGGTTCGAGCCATAGAAATGGTCGAGTTATGCCGGGCTTGGGCTTGGTCTAGTCCGGACAGATTGTCGTATGTGTGATCCATTGATATAGCAAAGAACAATAACCCGTTTCACTGTTCAGCACAGTAGAGAAGAATGCCTATAAGTGTCTATGAGAAAAGAAGTAGAGAAAGTAGGAAATGAAAGATATCTCTGGGAAATAGGGCTAGATTTAAGCCATGTTTTGGTAACAATCGGTGTGATTGATTGCCTTCCTTTTTTTTTTATAATGTAGAGATGATGCGATATTTTTGCCCCCTGCTTTTTCTATATATTTTATTATTATTCTGTATATGCTGTCTGTGTGTTTTATATCCATTTGGGCAGAGAAAGAAGACATTTACAGTACATAGGCCAAAAGTACCCTGGACCTGGACCTGGTGTCTTTTCTTTTTGTTTTTATTATTATTTCTTAATCCTTATTTATCTTATTTTCACCACTCTTTCGTATTTATATTCTATTATTCTATTATTCTATTCTTTTCCAAGGGGAAAATGATATGCAAAGTTCCGCCCAGATTCCCCCAGTTGCCAGTTGCCCCCATATATGAAAGACAGAAAAATGCCGGCGTTTTAAAAAAGAGGTTTCACAAGGTAACGTCACACGGACATGACCTGATAGCCATGATGAGAACAGAGTCCTCCGGTAGGTAGTGTTTCAGCCAATTTGAAGGGCGTCTTTTTTTTTTCTCTCTTTTTTATGGAAAAGGAAGCAGTATGATCCCCAAGAACTTGGTGTATCTCAAGATCCAAGAGATAGAGAAACGGGCAACTGCCGAGCTACTGTTTGCAGATACCTGACGATCCGCGGGGGAGCATATCCCGATGTCCGGAAATGTTTGCTCGATAGTTTTTGTATAGCTGCAGGTCAAAGTAGTCCGAACTTCTCGAGGTCTGGAACATATGTTATCTTGCAAACGCACGGTCCAAAGAGAAGAAATAATAATATAATAATATCAAAAGGAAAAGAAAACAAACACCTGTCTCAGAATGCTTCAGATGTCTCAATAGAGAAAGAGAAGAGAAAAAAAAGAAAATATAGCCAAAATTTCCCATGACACCTGTCACTTTGACAAGCGCACGAGTTGGCTCCCCCGAGCCAAGCGCGCTCTAGAAAAAGCCAGGGATCATCGATCTAAAAGGTTGATCGGTGACATGGGGGTAGATCCAGCGTTCTTTAGTGCTTCCGGTACGCAGCTAGATCAAAATGGAAGAGGAAAAAAGCAATTCAAAGTCCATAAAATGAGGGAGGGATATAGTACTTACCCAGTAAATAGAGAACTCTTTGTGTCATCCATACCAGATCTTGATCACGATCGACGCTAAAGGCTAAAAGGGGGAATCTAGAAGTGCCGGCTGGGATGCATGAACTTCTAGGATACTTACAAGGTTCGCACAGTGCTACTTGGAGCTAATGTGGAGAAAGGTGGGTTTCGCGTTACAGTATGACATGGGGCAAAGAATTAGGGTAAGGAATTGGAAGGGGGTTCTCCCAGATTAGTATAGTAAACTCTCCTTCCAGCTCATCGTACACCTTAAGACATCTAGTGTCAGGACACGAGAGACATAGAAAGAGATAGAAAGAAAAACCAAAACAGTGGGGGAGGCAATCAAAGTCTGGGTTTCAAATACAAATCTAGACCCCATGGAGTCTCTAGCAGATATTTAGACAAGTTCCGGCAGTTCAAGGTTTGACGATGCACGACATCCGGGGGGAAGTAGGAATTGCGATTCAAGAGTCAGGAGAAACAAGCCCTGGCTCCGCCAGCTGACTCTGAGTTGACTCGCCAGGAACACATGTTGGGATTGAGACTGGCTTTTGTTGCAGACGATACGGTGGAGGCAACCCCTGGCTGCTGACCGGAGCTTGCTCCCTAGATCGAGAAGGCGAGAGAGACCAGGAGGCTCAGGATTGATCATATCCCATCCCACGTGCGTGGCTCTTTTCTAAGAAGTTAGTGTATAGTGGTGATGATACCCGTTGGATCCTGCTGCAGGAGGCCGCCCGTTTCCCCTTCCCAACGTTTCTGTTGTGGAACGGCTCACGAAGATGTCCTAGCAAAGGGAGGACCGTGTACTTCCCGTGGAAGCTGGGAGACGTTGCCATGATCTTAGTGGGGAAAGAGAGAGAAGGCGAAACAGTACAACAGGGTGTGGCTTGGTCTAGGATTTGGCCAGTGACAATCACTCTCTCGAACTTCTGCCAAGAAGAGATGCTTCTTTTGGCTGGGCCTGCTGCTGCATGAGGGATATAAGCACACAAACAGCTCAAACTTGGAATCGCAGGGTCGATCAAGGCCCTTAATAAGATCCGCTGCACGTCGATCTCAAAAGCGTAAGGTTATGTCCATTATGTCCAACGGGGACATTCGGAAGATATGCCGCTCGATTGACAAGCACCGTTTCACAAGTCTCCCGGGTCGATCATCCGGAGAGCCCTAGAGCTGTTGCGCAGCACGTACCCATCGGTAGATTCGTGGGAAAAAATCCTACGTGTAAAAAATAGGGAGAGGGGAAAAAAAAAAAGAAACGAAAAAGAAAGACCGCGAGAGGCTCAGTTCCCTCCGGTTGGGGATCCCCGCGGGCGGTGATTGGCCGAAGCTCCATCTTCTTTGCATTTCGCATTTCCCGGACTTTCACATTCACTCTCTGTCTCTCTCTATCTTTGTCTCTATACCTACCTCTCTCTTACTACCAAATTAGTGTTTGTCCTAGGTCGACCAAGCGCCTAATTCGGTGTCTCACGCCCGATTCCCCGCCATGAGCGCGCTTTTAGAGACTTCCCTGGGCGACATTGTAATCGACCTGTTGGTCGACGATGCACCCAAAGCGTGTGACAAGTGAGTGGCTCCGTTCCTTGGCTTTCCCAGTCTGCTGAAACCTGAAACTAAGCTCATTTTATGTGCTTTTAGCTTCTTGAAGCTATGCAAGCTCAAGTACTACAATTTCTCGCCCATCCACAGCGTCCAAAAGAACTTCACCTTCCAGACCGGCGACCCGCTCGGCCCTGATGCACCCGAGAGTGATGGAGGATCTTCAGTCTGGGGTCTGCTGGACGGACCGTCGAAAAGAACATTTCCGCTCCAGGTGTCGCGCAAGTTGAAACACTTGGAACGCGGCACGGTGAGTATGGCGACGGTGCCGGCCAAGAACGACCCCGACCAACGGATAGCCGCCAGTCAATTCATTATTACACTTGGAGAAAATCTGGATTATTTAGATGGCAAGGCCGTGATTTTCGGCAAGGTCGTCGAGGGCTTCGATGTCCTGGAGAAAATCAATGAATCTTTTATTGACGACCGAGGTCGACCGCTGAAGGATATTCGCATTCGTCACACCACTGTCCTTGACGATCCCTTTGATGACCCGCCGAATCTGGTTGAACCACCTGAAAGCCCGGTGCCCTCCAAGGCCCAATTGGCTACGGTCAGAATCGCGGACGATGAGGACTTGGATGATGATATGGATGAAGAGGCTATGGACAAGCTGCGTCGCGAGCGTGAGGCCCGCGCGCAGGCGCTGACATTAGAAATGGTGGGAGATCTGCCGTTCGCCGACGTCAAGCCGCCAGAGAATATTCTTTTTGTTTGCAAGCTCAACCCGGTCACACAAGGTTTGTCGCATTCCCCCACGGAACCGTGAGATCGTGCTAACCAATGCTAGATGAGGATCTGAATCTTATTTTCAGCCGCTTTGGAACGATCTTGTCTTGCGAGGTCATTCGGGACAAGCGCACCGGTGACAGTCTACAATATGCCTTTATTGAATTCGAGGAACAAAAGGACTGTGAACAGGCCTATTTCAAGATGCAGGGTGTCTTGATTGATGACCACCGGATACATGTGGATTTCTCACAGAGTGTAAGAGCTCCCTCATTACCACTTATTGCCTAGACCAATATGCTAATATTACCCAGGTATCCAAGTTATCCGAAAGCTGGCGCAATTCCACCGTCACCAAGCGCCGAGAGAGAGGTGGATTTGGTGGTGTTGCAGACCTTGAAGCGAAACGTCAGTACCGAGAGCTGGACGACGCGCCTCTGGATGAGGATGATGCTAGGTATATGTTTGACAAGCAAAACAAGAATAGGGGCGCTCCGGCTCCACCCCGCGGTGCTCCTCGGGAGGCTCCGTCAGATCGCAGTCGCCTTCGTCGAGATCGAGGGAGTCGAAGTCCCCGTCGAGATGGACAGGATCGATACCGTCGTCGATCCTATAGTCGGAGTCCACAACGGGATTCACGGAGAGATTCACGGAGAGAACGAGGCTACAATAACCGTGAACGACGATAGTATTCAAATATCCCCTATTCTATCTCAAATAAATACGGAGTGCTCAGAACATATCCACTTGACTTCGCCCCTTGCCGTAGCAACCAAGGCCAACCAAGCCCAACCAAGGCCCCGCTTTGACTAGTGTAATAATTTCCAGTGGGCAGGTCTCACTCGGCGCTCGCTAGCCAGTTTCTTGTATGGACAGCTCGCTATTATTCGCCTTTGCAGATCCCTAAAAATAAACTGGAGCCCACTAGGTTCCTAATAGTCTGAGATATATTAGCAGGAGCACGGTTACCGTGTGGCGTAGACTTTAAGGTGTAAAGTACTTAATCAGCTTGAGCTTCACCCCACGTTTTTTTATTTTTATTTACTCTTCTCCTTCCTCTTCCTTCTCCTCCTCCCAATTTTATCTCTCTTCTTTTCTCGATCATCTCAAAATATCCTACAAAATGGCAAGCGTAATCAAAGATGCTGTCTCCAATGTTCTTGGAAAATTCCAGGGCGCTGCTCCAGAGGTTCCCCGTGAACCCTCAGCGGAGGAGTTCCAAGCACTACAAAAGAAATACACAGACGCTGGACAAGGGCATGTATTTTCCTTCGTCGAGGAATTGACCACCGTCGAGAAGTCACAGCTCTTCCACCAGCTGTCCAACTTTGACCCCACTCGGATCAACGAGCTGGCCGACAAGGCCCTCAACCCTCCTCCCGCCGAGCAGGGGACCGTGACCCTCGAGCCCCTCCCCGAAGTCGCCTCAGCATCCATCCTCGACTCCAACCCCTCAGATATTCAGCAATGGTACGAAGCCGGCCTGAAGGAGGTTGCGGCGAACAAGGTGGCCGTGGTCTTGATGGCTGGTGGGCAGGGTACCCGGCTCGGCAGTTCTGCCCCCAAGGGCTGCTTTGACATTGGTTTGTTGAGCGAGAAGTCACTCTTCCAGCTGCAGGCTCAGCGTATTCTCAAGCTGCAGTCTCTCATCGGTGGTCAGAACGTGGTCATCCCCTGGTACATCATGACCAGTGGACCTACACGTAAACCCACCGAGGAATTCTTTGAGAAGAACAACTACTTCGGTCTCGACAAGAGCAATGTTATGATCTTCGAGCAGGGTGTTCTGCCTTGTATCTCCAATGACGGCAAGATTCTGCTTGAGACCAAGGGCAAGGTATGTAGTATACTGGCGTAGCTCAAACACGTGCAGGAAGAGATTTGTTGACCCTGAATATAGGCTGCCGTGGCTCCTGATGGAAACGGTGGCATCTACCAGGCCCTCGTGGTCTCCGGTGTGCGTGAGGACATGCGCCGCCGTGGCATCGAGCACATCCACCTCTACGGAGTGGACAACTGCCTTGTCAAGGTTGCTGACCCGGTCTTCATTGGCTTTGCCGCCTCCAAGAAAGTCGACATCGCGACCAAGGTGGTGCGCAAGCGCAACGCCACCGAGTCCGTGGGTCTGATCTTGTTGAAGAACGGCAAGCCTGACGTGGTCGAGTACTCTGAGATTGACAAGGAGACTGCCGAGGCCAAGGACCCCAAGCAGCCCGATGTCCTCAAGTACCGTGCCGCCAACATCGTCAACCACTACTACTCCTTCGGGTTCCTCGAGTCAATCGAGAACTGGGCGCACCAGCTGCCCCACCACGTGGCCCGCAAGAAGATTGCCTGTGTCGATACTGAGTCTGGTAACATTGTCAAGCCTGAGAAGCCTAACGGCATCAAGCTGGAGCAGTTCGTCTTCGACGTGTTCCCCATGACCCCGTTGGAGAAGTTCGCTACCCTTGAGGTGCACCGTCACGACGAGTTCTCGCCTTTGAAGAACGCTCGCGGCACTGGTGAGGACGACCCTGATACCAGCCGCGCGGACATCATGGCCCAAGGTCAGCGGTGGGTTGAGGCTGCTGGTGGTATTGTTATTACTGATGGCGAGGCCGTTGGTGTTGAAGTTTCTCCTCTGATCAGCTACGTATGTGTCTTTCTCTCCATCTCCTTGATCACAACTAACATAAATTACAGGGCGGTGAAAACCTGGAATTCCTCAAGGGACGGGAAATTAAGGCACCGGCCATCCTAGAACGGGAAGAGTAGATTAGATGGGATCTCACCAGTCGGATCTCGCGGAGATCTCTTTGGAACGAAGAAATGAATTGCATTGTGACACCTTTGGGAGAATGGATCTACTGTAAGAATGTAGGGGTTAGGAATTTGTTTCAAATATTCCCACATTCATTCAATATAGAGTGGTAGAATACCTACATGTAAATGTATACTAGAATATTATACAGAAGTAAATAAACGCCTTACGCAATACGGAAAAGCCCGGGAGCTAAAGCCGTTTGACGAGTTTGTCCTTTTTCCACTTTTCCTCTCTTTCTTGTGTGCATTCTCTTATTTAAAAAAGCAGTTGGAGTTGAGAGAGGTTATTGAAGTTGTTGAGAGTGTGAGTATATTCCATTTCTTCTTTTCTCTGTCTTGTTTTTTTTGCTTTTTTTTTCTGTGTGGTTCCCTTGTCCCACTTTTTTCTTCGAGTGGGCTGTCAGAGAACGTGCCTACTTTTCTCCAAGGGTTCTCAAAAAGCTGACCAAACGGGGTGTACTATAGACTTTGACAAGGATTTGAAGAGAGTTACTGTGAGGGTGAGTGAGATATGTGCATGTTTCGTGTTTCGCGTTTCGCCGTTCGTGCTCGTGCTCTCCCCCGCCGATCTACGTCTTCCCCTCTTTCGCTTGAAATTTTTGAGATCGCAACTTATGCGACTGTGCTGGACTCGGACAACCTCGGATACAATATACACTGGAATTGGAATCAAAATAAGACCAGACAACGCATGACTATCACACAACTCGACAATCCCGGCAATGGAGGGGAAGACGCGGCTTATCGACGGAGCTATACCAAACCATATAACCCCGGCACCGGACTGACTTGCGATGGATAGATTACCGCCAGAATGATGTTGTCTCGTCGCGCATGCTACAAGTGTGGCACCATTGGCCACTATGCTGGTTAGTATAGCTGGAAGCTTGGTATATCTGGGGTCAAGCTAATTCCTCGGTAGAGGTCTGCTCTTCCACTGAGCGTCTCTGCTACAACTGTGCGTGAATATATCCCCAAGAGCTCATACTATTATCTTACTGGTTGCTAATTTATCTCATCTCACAGGCAAGCAGCCCGGTATGTTCGATCATGAGTCATATTACTCAAAACAAGCTTCTAAGTTATCATATAGGCCACGAGTCGAGCGCCTGCCCTCTGCCCCGTACCACCGAGAGTAAGCGATCACTCAACATCAACTCCCGCCATTCCAGACTGCTAACACCATCCAGCCAAGCAGTGCTACAACTGCCAGGGTCTCGGCCACGTCCAGGCTGACTGCCCCACCCTGCGTCTGAACGGTGGTGCCAACGGCCGCTGCTACAACTGCAGCCAGCCCGGCCACCTTGCCGTGAGTTCCAACCACTTGAACCTTCAAACCAGTTACTAAACCCCGACTTTCCAGCGCAACTGCACCAACCCCACTGCTCCCGGAGCTGGTGCTCCCCCTACCGGACCCGCTGCTGGCCGCGGCGCCGGTGGTGCTCGTGGCGGTTTCCAGGGTGGATTCCGCGGTGGATTCAGCGGCTACCCCCGCGCCGCCACCTGCTACAAGTGCGGTGGTCCCAACCACTTCGCTCGCGACTGCCAGGCTCAGGCTATGAAGTGCTACGCCTGCGGCAAGCTCGGCCACATCTCGCGTGACTGCACCGCTCCCAACGGTGGTCCCCTCAGCTCTGCCGGTAAGGTCTGCTACAAGTGCGCCCAGGCTGGCCACATCTCCCGCGACTGCCCTACCAACGAGGGTGCCACTGCTCCTGTTGCTGCCGTCGAGGCTACCCCCGTTGTCGCTGCCCCCGTTGTGGCGGCTACCCCTGCTGTCGCCGCTACCGAGGCTGCCACTGAGGCTAACACTGTCCCCGCTGCGGCTCCTACTACTGCCGTCGCTTAAGTGTGTTCGGCTCTATCTCTCCACTGTGCTTCCGCCATTGGAGGAATGCCTGGAGTTCCTTTTCTTTCTTGATTCTGTATTACGGTCACTTTCCCTACACCTCGATCGGCCCTTTCTCTCCGCCATTTCTTCCTTTGCATATATTTAAATCACACCCTCTGTTTTGGGGAACGGGGTCTGGTTTCTGGACCTTAAAAAACAACAGCTTTTGATTTCCCTTTTTCACCCTTTTGGAACTTGTCCTTTTTTTTACTTATTTTTTTTTCCCCCTATCATGTATACGACGAACAAACAGAAAAGTTCTTTTTGGTTTTGTTTTTCGCTAAGTCACCCTCGACTTGACTTTCTCAAGTCTTACGATTGGCGTCTGTTGTCTATTCTCATGGATTATCTTTCTTGGTTTTCGATCGACTCTTGGTTGCGGTTTTCCTGAATGGGGCCAAGGGGAGAACGAGGAGATGAAGTGTGGCAATGAGAGAAAATGTTGAAGCTGGGGAGAATTGGATTCGGGGACCGTTGCAACTGTGTTGTGGAGAGAAAGCGGACTGCCAGATGGGAAGAGTCCTGAGAGTATCTGAGAGTATTTCGAGAGTCTAAAAAAGAAATATCTCAATCATCTTGTTCTTGTAGTGTATAGTTAGATGTGGTGTGCTCAATGCTTTGTAGCAGTCTGAACCCGTGACCTTCAACACCCAGGTCGAGTCGAGTCTCCCTTCACATCTCTTGTTCACTCGACACTCTCCCCCATCAGTCATCTTCACATATCCATCCCCAGTTGATCCAATCAAGATGCCAGGCTCGGTAGGAAGTGATGAATTCGACGATGACGAGGTACAGTAAACCCCCATCCCCACGAACGTCCCAGAACTGCCAATCTAACCAGTAAATCATCTACACTTGCAGAACTTCATTCTGGACATTGACGGCATCCAAGCCCATGGCATTGGCGCAGCTGACATCACCAAGCTGAAGGCTAATGGATTCTACACTATTGCTGTCAGTGCCTCAACCCTAACCACCTCATCTCCAAGCATGGTCCAAGCCCATGCCATCCCTCAACAAACCTAACCACTCATCCAGTCCGTCCACGGTGCCACCCGAAAAACCCTCCTTAAAATCAAAGGATTCAGCGAAGTCAAGGTCGAGAAAATCAAAGAAGCAATTCAGAAATGCCTCCCCGCGGCTTCGGGTTTCATCACAGCAATGGAACTCCACCACCAGCGCAAGAAAGTCGTCCATATCTCAACCGGCAGCAAGCAATTCGACTCAATCCTTAACGGGTGAGTACACAATACCACCAGCCCCTCCCCTTCCTCCCACGCATAAAGCCAAAACCACCACTCAACCCCCATCTAACGCCACACCAGGGGCTTCCAGAGCATGAGCATCAGCGAAGTCTTCGGCGAATTCCGCTGCGGCAAAACACAACTCTCACACACGATGTCCGTAGTAGCCCAACTACCCAAAGAATCTGGCGGTGCAGCCGGCAGAGTCGCCTACATCGACACAGAGGGCACATTCCGACCCCAGCGCATTGCCCAAATCGCCGAACGATTCGGCATGGACCCAGATACTGCGCAGGAGAATATTTCCTATGCACGTGCGCTGAACAGCGAGCACCAGCTCGAGCTGCTGAATACGCTTTCGCAGGCGTTTGCGGGTGGAGAGTATCGGTTGCTTGTTATTGATAGTATCATGAACTGTTTTCGGGTTGATTATTGTGGGCGTGGCGAGTTGGCGGATCGGCAGCAGAAGTTAAATCAGTTCTTGATGAAGCTTGCCCATATGGCTGAAGGTGAGATTTTAGTTTTGTGTTGTTGTTTTGGCTGGTGGCTGATTTGGTTTGACTTGCAGAGTTTAATATTTGTGTCTTGATGGTGAGTGCGTTCTTATCTGTTTCAAGGTGTTGTGGCTCACGCTTCGGTTCAGACAAACCAGGTCCAGAGTGACCCTGGTGCTAATGCTCTCTTTGCTGGAGCTGATGGTCGCAAGCCCGTTGGTGGACATGTTCTTGCCCATGCTTCAACTACTCGCGTGCTCCTTCGGAAGGGTCGTGGTGATGAGCGAGTTGCGAAGATCCAGGATTCTCCTGGTGAGTATTTCGATATATTCCGGGGTTTGTCAATGCTCTAACTCTTTATAAGACTGCGCTGAGCGTGAAGCAATCTACGTTATTACCAATGGCGGGATCAGTGATCCTGATAAGGTTTGAAGGTGGTGTGGTCGAAACGATGTATCGATGTCGAGGGAAACACTCTGCAGTCACGATTTTCATGATGTATCAGGCTTGATGCTGCGATAATTTTATACCATTAGTCAATTTATATCATAGATAATAGGTTAGAATACCAAAGAGTCCAAGTTATGTTGATGTTGATGTAGTGGAAGCCCTAACTAGGAAGTTCACCGCCTACACCGCCGCTCTAACACCCCGGCAAAATTCTGTGCCAAGAGCAAATCTGCAGAAAAAGTTCAGCTCAATCAACGCAGCAATCTAGCGTCAAACCTCCATTCAAAATGAAGGTCGAATCCGTGCAGGTAGAAGGGTACATCACCCTCCCCGTGCAGCTCCCAAGAACCCCCCTCTTTCCCAAACCCGCAACACACTACCTCTACCTCCGACCACACGAGCCCCGAATCCCAGACCCAGATTCCACCCGCTCCCTCTTCATCGTCAACGCCCCAATCGACACAACAGAAGCCCACCTCCGCCACCTCTTCGGCACGCAACTGGCCGCAGGCCGCGTAGAAAGAGTCCAATTCGAAGATGTGCAGACCAAAAAGCGCACGGCGGCAACAACCACAGAAACAAACCTAACCCAATCGAAGAAGAAGCGCAAGCGCGTAACCGCCGACGACTTCGAACGCCACCTAGACGACATCACCCTCCCCTCAACCTGGGACCGCAAACTGCAAAAGAGCGGCGCCCACGCCGTCGTCATCTTCGCCGACAAGCCCAGCATGGAATCCAGCCTAAAAGCCGCCACCAAAGCCTCCAAGCGCGGCACCACCGTTATCTGGGGCGAAGGTCTGCCTACAGACCGCATCCCCGTCCTCGGACTGAACCGGTATGTCGCGCACGAGCGCATGCAGTACCCCGATCGCGGGACGTTGCTGCGGGCGGTGAATGAGTTCATGACTACGTTCGCGCAGGTGTCTGAGGCGCGCAAGCGCGAGGATCACAAGCGTCTTGCTGTGCCGGATGAGGATGGATTCGTTACTGTTTCGCATGGACCGAAGTTGAATTCTGTGGCGAGGGAGGAGGAGATGCGCGAGCTTGTTGAGAAGCAGAAGAAGAAGGGTGAGGGACTTGAGGACTTCTATAGGTTCCAGTCTAGGGAGAAGAGGAAGGAGAGACAGAATCAGATGCTTAGGCGCTTTGATGAGGATAAGAAGAAGTTGGCGGAGATTAAGGCCCGGAAGGGGAAGATTCGAGTAAGTTTTCTTTTTCTCTTACTTGTTCGGTTGGTTTTTGGGAGTGGTTCTGACTTTCTATACAGCCTGAGTGATCTGGTGCATGATAGCATGGCGTTCTGGGTGTCTTTTTTCGCTGGCAGGATAAAAGGTTCGAGGTGGTGTCCTATGTACATGTGAGTTTTTTGCTCTTTGTTGTCTTTGTTATGTTCGCTCCGAGGATGAACACGCTGGGGCCATAGTAGCGAAACGCGCTTTGCCCGCTGTTATGCCATGACTGCAAACACCAGCATATTTATATCTTCTCGCCTTCTGAACTGGAGTTTAAGTCTTATTGGGATTTATTGTGCTTCTTGGTATTACATCTGCTAATTGTGGTTTAAAATAGGCTAGATACATACATACATGTTATCTCAATATCAATAGTTTATGATCCAATTATATATATACTTGTGGTTCATATTGTCCGTATCGTGCATAGCCAACCTGTAAATGCCTCTAATTCCGGATCTCCCGCACAGACCAACTCTTGGCATTACATCCCACCTCTGGAGAAACCGTACGTCTTACTATGGATGGGATTGATAGCTCTGCCAAAGTATAAAACGATCTGAAAACATCAGAGACCAGTGGCTACAGTTTGCTGTATCATGTGATACTACTCTCGGCTAAATCTCATTCTCCAAACACAGCCTAAGGCAAAAGCTTCACACAATATATCGAGCAAGAACAGCCCTATCTCACCAGCATACAACACATCTTTGGGGATTTCCTGCTCCTCTTTTCTATAAAACCCTCATCAAAACGGAGTATCTTGATTATTGGATCCGACCCATTCTATCAAAACAAATCAAAACAAAGCAAAACAAAGCCCAAAATGTCCCCCGCCTCAATCCAAAATGAGCAAGACAGCGACTCCGACTCAGATGTCGAGTTCGAGGATGTCCCAATTTCCCTGCCAACCAGATCCAGAAACATGGAAGATACAGAAATCGCGATAACTATCCCCTCAGCCCCGCAACCACAATGGACTCCAACTCTATCACTTCCGCAACAGCGAAGTCACCCCATCCCCTCGGGCTCCGAGGAAGAAATCCAGCTCCGAGGCCAAATCAGCACCGGCATAGAGAGAGTCACGTACCGTAAAATGAAATCCGACATGGGCATGGACGCACCGGGTACACCCGCTTCGGCACGCAGATACGAGAGCTTCAAAGAGCTTGCTGCGGATGTGGAGGGTCTTATTGATACGCTTTGGGTGTCGGCAACACGTGAGTTTCATCTTTTTTTACATATATATGTTGTAGAAAGAAGTAAAGATAATATTATCTTTACTATCTTCCTTTCTATTTTCATCATCATCCCATTCATACATATATATCCTAAGTACTAACTAATCCATCCAGCGGCAATCCAAACCGAATCCCTTATAACCCTAGCAGGCCTAACCCAAACCTCCCTCCCATCCTTCCCCTTCGAAGCCCCACCAACCCTAAACATCCTCCACAAGCTCGACTCCATTTTCGCCGCACTGTGTACAAGCACACACCCACTCACCGGCGCCGTTCTACCAGGCGCACAGCCGGGCCAGTCTCTCGTGACGGAGACGCAAAAAGTGCGGATCCGAAGTTTGGCGGAGAGGACTAGATATCAAGTTTTTTCTTGTTTGGCGAAGTCGAACAAGAGTGTTAATGCTGCTGCTACTGTTAGTGCTAATGGATATGGATATGGGGATGGGGATGACGAGGACGAGGATAGTGGTGATGAGGTTGATGAGCCGTGGATGTTGGAGGCTGCGCGGGTTTATGAGAAGAGTCTTATGTTGGTTGCGGAGCAGGATCCGGAGGATGAGGCTGGGATGGATGAGTTTAATTGTTTATAAATGTTGTATATGTTCTATTCGTAGTATATCATATCCTGTTGCCTGGTCTATGTTATTTTGCCTATGCGGCTCACAGAGTATACAAACTGTTAAAATATATGTTCGTAGTATAGATTCTATCTTGTTGCCTGGTGTGTTTTGCATTGCGGCTCCAACTATTAAATATATGTTGATGAAGAGATATTTTTAGAACGGGTCTCTTTCAATTACGTCGGTGTACATAGTACGAGGCAGACGCTCAGGCCACACACAAAATAGTCACATAGTTCGCCTGGAGAAAGAAAGTCCCACTCCAATTTGCATTACAATCTGTACATAGTACCTAGTCGATATTTAGTTACTTTATATATTGTCCTGATATTGCTACCTATGGATCCAGATATTTCTTCTAGAAACTTCTAGCTCATAATGAAAGAAAAAAAATCTGGACCGAAAAATAAAAAACAAGAGCCGGTGGGGTCTAGGTAAAAAAATATTGGTCGATATTATTAACTCGCATACAAATGCCGACTCTGAATCGGTAATGAAGTAATGGAGTATACAGTAAGCGTTCTCGTACCTCGAATTCAGGTATCAGTCAAAGGCAGGGCTGGCACTCTCTTTGGCTAGAACAGAGCGAACTAAGTGGATGTGAGCCCTGAAAGTGGGGGCAATCGGGGCCAGCTAGTGGCCTGGGGCTGCGCAGCTCGGGGACTGCAATGGCCAGTAGTATGTCCGAGGGGCTATAGTTTAGATGTACATCGTATACATATACGATGTAGTTGATTGTGCTTTGACTTGGTTTTTTTTTCCATGTGAAAGCAACGAATGCAGTAGCTTTGTTATGATAGAGGGGATATATGGATGATATTTCCGATGGTGGGAACGAGTTGCTTTGTATCCATGGTTCGTGTACTTGCATAATTTGGATTGGAATATGAGCTTGAACCATCAGATGTTATACCTTACTAGAACTGAGCTATAGATATAGTGGGATAACTTATGTACGTTGTAGCAGTATACAACAATATAGGTTAATTGCTTAGGGCTACTATGTATACCTTATTAACTCTAAAGTAGTGTGTACTCCGTATGTTGTACAAGGCTCCCAGTCTGCCGTGTCTTACCATGCAAGGGTTGGATTAGCTTATTTTCATAGAGCAGAGGGGTTAGATCTGAAACCTAACATCCCACCTTTATAAAATATCATCCCTTGCACGCAACCCCTTCCATATAATGGAATGAAATATATGTGAGTACACAGTTAGAAACCATGTCACTAGACCATGTTGACGGGTAATTCAATCTTCAAAACGCGTCGCGTACCGTGCAAAGTGAAATAAGCCAACCAGCAATGGAAAGAAATCTCTGCTGGTAAACCAGTAATTCCAATACGAGCGGCCCCCCAAGCCCGGCCAATAAGAACAGAACTCCGCATAAGAAGCCTCCCATGGTTCTGATGGAGCCTTTTTTTTTTCTTTCTCTTTCTCTTTGATGTCCTTTTTTTCTGGTCCTAATCTTTCATGACCGGACATGCGCGGCTGACGTATTTTGGAATACAAAGGGGAGGAACAACATTGAAGTTTCAGAAGTCCTTGCTTGCAGCTGAGGACATGGATTAGAGAACCTTGCTTCGAGAAGATTGGGCTTGGGGAGCTCTATGCTCTCTGGTAGACCTTCAGCTCAGCTCTGCAGCTCTGTGCAGGGACCCGGGTATCTGGATGACCTTGCTGTATTGTGGAAATATAATTACCGTATGGGGCTTGTCGGTTCCATGGTTCTGTGGCGTCTGTTGGCTTTCTCTTGCTTACATGTATGTATGATATTAGATTTAATATTATAGACAATGTCTATATCCATGGATATCTCAGCAATAGGCTTAGTTTCACATATAATATGAGATATCAGATTCACTAACCACTGCCTACATATGAATATGTACCCAACAGGTACCTGACCCTGCTCCGCTTACTCCGTACTCTTACTCAGCATATGACGATGACCTCGGAAGAGGCCCACACAGACCTGCTCGGTTGACAAGTCACATTGCGAGCACGGCGACAGGTCCTTGCAGATTTCATGCATTGGGGCTGCTTCCTGCCCCTTGTTCTTCTGTCTTTCACCGAGATTTGTTGAGATTGTGTTCAGACCTGTTTTTTTTTTTTCCTTTCTACATGTTTGCTGTGCTTAAACATACGGGCAGACGGAAGAGCCGACTCTAAAATGATTAGGGTTGATCATCGGCAAAGAACTTGGATGTAGACCTCGGGTCAGAGGCTATGATGTATCATCTTCAATTCTCCCGGGCTTCCCGGGATCCTGGAACGATGAAGAGTCTAGCAAGCTCCCCGCATGACTGATATCATGCAGCGTTGACAGGAATCTGGGGACAACCTGGGTAGTATATAAATATTATGTAGGTGGTCTATACATTGTGTCTGTACCTGCTTCAGAATAAGAAAGGAAAGAGTTCTGATCGGCAGAGGCAAGGCATTCTGCACTACCGGTTAAAGTGTACGACTAGTTGATAGATATTATATGTACTATTGATACTGATATATAAAACGTATATATGTACACAAAAAGGGTTTATATCTTATTTTCTACCTATTTACTATTTACTATTGTACAATATAGTATATGTTGTAGTTAATGAACACATACTTCAACTCTGGAACGGAACATACCATACACTGTAATACCCATACCATACATCGACTCACGTAATGCGTTTTCCCACTTCCCCTCTCTCTTCATCTCGCGAGATTTCCAATTCTTCATTTTCTTCTTTTCCCCTCCTACCTTCCCCTCCCTTTTCTTATTGTTCGAAGATCTCGGTTTCAATTTTCTGTTTAGTTATCGGGAGTTCTGCTTTTCTCCCTTGTTGCCGATTACTCTTTTTTTGCCTCGCGCATTTCCAGTGTTTTCCCAGGTTTTCCTCAAATCATCTAGGTAAGTTGGTTCTTTTCTGTCGCATATCGCATGGCCCAAAGCCTCTTTCATTTGAATGCAACCCAAAAGTTTTGTCTCTCCCCATACATATCACCTGGCGCAGCGCAAGTTAGCCCTAGATCGCAAGCTTCTTTGCAGGGTTCTCCACGATTTTTTTAGCAATGGTGATTCGCCTACGCATCGACACCTTCGCCTTGACCAGCGCTTCGGGACATTGAGCCGATTATCTACCGGTCGCACGCACCCCAACCTCAAAAACTTCGCCAATATGAGGAATCGGTCAGATCTGGATGCCTGAATTGCCCGAAAACTGTGCTGGATCGAGAGGGTGGACGGTCGCATTCGGACATGAAGCCGGGAAGACGGAAACGGTCGACGCATGATGATCGCCTAGCATCCGAGTGGAATCAGGTCTATTTTCGTCTCGCGCATCCGATTTTTGCCCTTGGATTGTTCGTCTTCGGCCAATCCACCCTCCGAGATGCGATGCTGCCCGAATCACTGGTCTTGGCGATTTCCGGCACCACTTTTTGAGGCTCGGAATCATATATGCGCCTGAATAAACCATCTGCGAGATGCTGATTACCCACTTTTTTCCCTTCCGCATCGTTTTATTCACTTGCATTGATTGATTGCCTTTTTGTCTGCTTTTCACTTCTCACTTCCTTTTCTGTACCTGCGCATGTGGCAGATCTGCTTCAATTTCAGTGAAATTTGACAATATCTAACTTTAATATCTCCAGCCTTTCACGCCCGTCTCTTTGCTTGGCTTCGTTACGACTTGATCTCACGCCGGTCTTTCCTTAACGACTCCACGAAGTTCTAGTCGCTCAGCCATCTTATATTCTTACGTCGACTTTCCGGACTTTGATTCTTGCAACCATGTCTTACAACGGCTACGAAAACTTCCCTCAACAGGACCCCGCCGCCGCTGGCGCCCCGGCTCCTGTTGACACCAACATGACCGGCCAGGCCGATCCCAACGCCGCTCAGTTCCAGGGCCCCCCTCCTGGTGAGCCCAACTCCGCTGCTGTCCCCCAGCAGGGTGCCGATGGCAAGACCACCCTCTGGATGGGTGAGCTCGAGCCCTGGATCGACGAGAACTTCATTCGCAACCTTTGGTTCCAGATGGGTGAGCAGGTCAACGTCAAGATGATCCGTGACAAGTTCTCTGGGTAAGACACCGTAATTAATCATTTAAATTCCAAAATTGTTTCTAATGTGGGTAGTAGGAGCAATGCTGGATACTGCTTCGTCGATTTCGCTTCCCCTGCTGCCGCTGCCAAGGCCCTTTCTCTGAACGGCACCCCCATGCCCAACACTAACCGGGTCTTCAAGCTCAACTGGGCTACCGGTGGCGGCCTCGCTGATCGCAGGTAAGCGAGAATCTCGTTCGTTGCTTTCCTCTCAACCTTAAAACTGACCCGTCCCAGCCGTGATGACCGTGGCCCCGAGTACTCCATCTTCGTTGGTGACCTCGGCCCTGAGGTGAACGAATACGTCCTCGTCTCCCTCTTCCAGAGCCGCTTCCCCTCTTGCAAGTCTGCCAAGATCATGACCGACCCCATTAGCGGCATGTCCCGCGGTTACGGCTTCGTTCGCTTCTCCGATGAGAACGACCAGCAGCGTGCTCTTACCGAGATGCAGGGTGTCTACTGTGGCAACCGCCCTATGCGTATCTCCACCGCTACCCCCAAGAACAAGGGTCCCGGTGTTGGTGGCAACGGTGGTGCTGCCATGGGTATGCCCGGTCCCGCTGGCATGTACCCTCCCATGGGTGGCCCTCCCATGCCCTTCTACGGTGCTCCCCAGCCCATGAACCAGTTCACAGACCCCAACAACACCACTGTCTTCGTCGGTGGTCTGTCCGGCTACGTCACCGAGGATGAGCTCCGCTCTTTCTTCCAGGGCTTCGGAGAAATCACCTACGTCAAGATTCCCCCTGGAAAGGGTTGTGGTTTCGTCCAGTTCGTTCAGCGCCACGCCGCTGAGATGGCCATCAACCAGATGCAGGGCTACCCCATTGGTAACTCCCGCGTGCGTCTGAGCTGGGGCCGCTCCCAGAACAACTCCGGCCCCGCTGGCAGCCCCTACCGCCCTGCTCCCCCGCCGCCTCCCATGTACCCCTCCATGGGCATGCCCCCGGCCCACCAGTATGGCGGGTTTGCCCCCATGAAGGTGAGCGATCACCCTGGCAGCCCGATCCCGGATCAAATGTGAAGCAGGCGGTCGGCTGACACACTCTTCCAGTAAGCGTTTCCCTTTGATTGAAAGCACCAGCAGGAGTTATTTGTGTCATTTCAATGATGATTCTATTGTGTCATAACAAATTCGTTCCCCCTGGTTTCTTGGCCAAGGCTATAGCTCTTGATGAGCATTTGTCTCCTGTGCTACGCATTTCCTTTTTACGTGAGCGCTATTACCTTAGCAAGATCTGAGCTTTATCCCCTTTCTGATCTGTCTTGTTCTTATGTATCTTTCCCTTTCCCTCTTCCCCCCTCCCTCTTTTCCACTCCCCTCCTTTGCGCCCTTTTCGTATTTTATTTTTCTTTATCTTATTTTCGATGTGTCTCTGCCCTTATGCTATCGGGGGTTTCCCGCCACTGGGTCTTTGTCTGCGTGTAATGGAAGTCCGAATTGTCATGCGCTTCTTTTTCCCTTATACTCCTTGGGCAGGCATTCTGCGAAAAGTTCCATTTCCCCCCACCGTTACCACCTTATTTCCTTTGTTCCTTTTTTTTTTTTTTTTTTTCTTTTCTTCAAGCAGCTAAATTGAATGATGTTCGCTTTGAGAATTCTTTTGCGTTGGGCTTTTTATTTACCCTTGTTTCTTCCCTGTTAAGACTGATTGCCGGCTTGTACAACACGCTTTTTTTCGTGCGCCTCAGCGTTTGTCGATTCTAAATTCCTTTGGTCGTATGCAATAATGTCCTGTACGCTCGTTTGACGTTTGATGTTTGCATTGTACTATTGCCGTCAAGCTCTCCATTTTCCTGGTATTGTATTGTCGGCCCTTTGCTTCTGGATCTACCTATATAAACATTGCCCCTGTGGCTGGTCCCATAGGAGGATTCGATGGACTCGAGCATATTTGGTTGCTCTGGTAGCTGGGTCCCTGGTTGTCTTGCTGTCTTGGGAGTCTACTGGGTTAGGGCTGGGATTTGGGGTTTGAACTGGACTGATTCTGATACAATTCTTCTGGATCATTGTAAACTCCTTTATTCTTGGAAACTGGAATACATCTAGGTACGGCTCTTCATCTTCTTGATGTGATGGTTCTCGTGCTCATAAATGGTAGATAAAGTACAGACCTTAGGGCTATTCACTGCACATCAAAAAAGACATCAAAAAAGATATCAAAGAAGACATCTATACATTCTATACGATAGTATAGTATTCCGCCTACCATTCTCGATATATTCAAATGTATGTTTTCGGCAACAACGACCGTGTCTACTACATATGTAGTGTATACCGCCTACACGACTGCCATAATTTGGATGTACCGCCCAACTTCAACATTAGCAAGCAGCCCATCCATTCTCTTTTTACTTACCCCCCGACGACACCATGCGCTACAGAAACTGGGATGTCCTTCTTTTCCCTGGAGATTCCAAGGTTCCTATCCAAGAGTTCAAAACACAATGCTTCGTGACCACGGACAAAGACTCGCCCTATCTACACAGTGCAGTCTTCCTTAGCCATCATGCACACCATCCCGAGGCAGGTCTTTTTAACCAGTTACCAGTCCTCACAACCTTCATCCCGAGTCTGCCCAAAGACTGTCCGTTCCAAGTCTCAGTTCATAGTTGGGAGAAGCCACGCCCCAGTGTCCAGACCGAGTCCAATATGGAACCAGAGGATGTTTTACTATTCGAGGTGCGGATCTTCATTGATGGGGTCTTCGTTGCGTGAGTAACTTACGATCTATGCGTTCTGGTGCTTGAATTGTGCTAATTCCTTCCAGGGGTAGTATCTACGGACAAAGAACTATTTGGCCGCAGATTATGGGTACGTTGCGCGCGTTTACATCGTCGGAAGGCAGTTCCAAACTTTCCCCTCTGAATTCATCATTCCCTTTCCCTTGTCCAGTTTTATTATTGGATAGCTACTGACATTCATTTGGCAGATCTGAGTTCTAGTATGACATTCCTTTCTCTTTTTTTTCATTCCAATTCTCACAGTTCAAGCAGATCTTGACCGAGATGGAAACCAAGATACCCTTCGATTCCCTCCCTTTCATTCTGAGATACTACAGCAGAAGCATTGGGATGCCGGAGATTCTCAAGGTAGAATCAAGGTTGTCATTGCAGAAGGCTTCTCTCGCCCCAATCGGTCGCCCCCGTTCGAACGATACAAGCATGTCATTGTTTTCTCTTTTCAGCATGCACCACTAGATGTGCTGGAATTTTCCGACATTGCTTGGCCTAATCCCAACATGTGGCTTCCTATGCCGAACGCATCTCGGTATGGATCGGCAGCGAGATATGGTACCTCCAAGGTGGTTGGCGATGGTGCCCATGGGCATTCGCCAAGCAAGCCTAACAGACCCGAACATCGAATTACAATCACGGCTAACACGAGTAGCCAGTCAAGCAGCAATGCAGCTACTTACAGCGGTAGTACTTCATCAACTTACAATGCCTGGACCCCTCACCGTGGGTTTCCCATCCCTTCTACGCAGTGGAACGGCTATCCCCAAGAACCTCGATGGGACCCACAGGATACATACATCGTGGAACCTGCCATCGACGCCTTCGTTGATGATACAGCATGGCGGCAGCGTGGTGCTCGATCCTCTCGCGAGGACGTCCCAATGCCAGACTATGCTTCTACGGGATCGACCAGCAGCCGGGCCATATCCAGCATGACTGGGATGAGCTACGAACACAGCAAGCAGCCCAGCATCAATTCCTGCCTTGACGATGAGCAATACAATGAGCTGATCCAAGCTCTGACACCAACAAAGGCGCCTGCAGTGGGTACTCGCGCACCCTCTAATACTCCCTCCACTGCCGCTACCATGTCTGCCTCAAAGCCTTCTGCCGCAGCCGAAGCTCGATCTGCAAGCTACAATACTCGAAGCCGCCGTGCATCCGCACTCAAGGAGGTCTCACAACCAAGCACCCGTGATGTTTCGGGATCGAGCGAGCCCAAGAATTTGACTCCATCCAAAATTGGGGCGAGCCCAAGCGAGAAAGTGCGGAGCAAAAAGGAGACTCAGAAAGGGGTCAGCCAGGATACCCCCAAAGCGCAGTCCAAGGGTAAGGGAACTGCGAAGGAAAACTGCAACTCCAAGGACGTCGAAAATGCACCCAGCGAGAACTTGCAGGATGAGAATGAGTCGGTTTGTAGGATCGAGGTTTTGTAGGACCGAATTGGCCAGGACCACGCTTCTCAACTTATACTTACCTACCCCATTCATGTGTTTTAGTTCAGTCTTGACATGAAGCATGTATCTTTATGCGAGCTTCAATCAATACATTTTTTACTCTGTGGAGTCAACAAGTATACTGTTTGTTGTATACGAACTTCAATCGATACACTTACACTGTTTGAAATCGACAAGCATACATACTTTATGCAAACTTCGATCAATACTTTATACTACATAAAGTCAACAGGTAAATGTATCAATCAGAAGAAAGCCATTCAATTTTGGGATATGCAGAAATACTTTGGACCAGTTTAACACCATAAGAATACATTTTGTTACAAAAGGAAATTAAAGGAAAATATGATTGATTCAGCTTCATACTATCTAAAGCCAGGGGGCTGTCCCTGATGACGTGGTTCAAAGAAGGGTTCAAGATACAGGACAAGTAAGCGGACTGAGGTCCTACTTGCACAGTGTAAGTATCCGTCTCATGAGCGAGATTCAAAGTGCAATGAATCAAGCTTTTGAAAATGCCCTCAGAGTTCTCTTCGGACAAGAAACCAGAGTGCTGTCTCTGGTGAAAAAGTTCCAAAAATTTGGGGTTTGATGGCGCTTATGGCCACCCAGGGATTCAGAGAATCCATGCTGTATGTCCTCGGAATTTCTTCCTTCGGACCCCTCAGTATCCTCCGTCCCTATCTCGTAGAACATTGTCCTAACCCCGGTGGGTGACTGTCCTATATATCCTCCCCCTGTCTGCCATCGGAGTCCTCCTCCTCTGGGACAAGGCCACGCCGGGTCTCAGATAACCCATCCTTCACCTCCCCAAAGACGTGATACGCTTGCGCGCAGTCAGACGTCAAGAATGTCCTCAGATTTCTCTTTGGACTCCTCTGGGTCGATACCACAGTGGGTCTCAGATAGCCCATCACCCCCTACCCCTGGGACGATACCACAATGGGTCTCAGATAGCCCAGGCTATAGACGTTGATACGCTTGCGCGCAGTCAGACGTCTCCGGATGCCCTCAGAGTCCTCTTCACGGGGCAATCTCGCATTTCCGCTGGAAGGCTGTGTCGAAAGTTAGTCAGAGGTCAGAGCATTGGTTGACGGGTGTACCTGTGAAAGGAGCAATGTCAGCCATGTGCCGGCTCGTGAGTACATGGGACTTATCAATTATCCTTTGCGTGACACAAAAAGTCACATGGTCCCGCCAGAGCATGCAAATATCAGCATACTGTAGTATGATCAAGGAAAGCCATCAAGGCAAGACTGTCACTCCATACCCCGAACGTCATGAAGTTTGGGGGTGAGAGAAAAGAGCAAGAAACGCATATCTCGATCTTCTAAGGGTGTGATGCTGTTTACATGGGTAGCAGACAAGAATGGAATATACAAAGAGAGGAACAAACAAAAGGTATGCTTCACAGGATGGATGGGGGATAGAGGATAGAGGACAGAGGATGGAGGAAGAATGGATGGATGGGATGGAGGATGGAGGATGGAGGATGGAGGATGGAGGATGGAGGATGGAGGATGGAGGATGGAGGATGGAGGATGGAGGATGGAGGATGGAGGATGGAGGATGGAGGATGGAGGATGGAGGATGGAGGATGGAGGATGGAGGATGGAGGATGGAGGATGGAGGATGGATGGATGGGGAGGATGGAATAATGGAAGAGGGTATGAAGAGGGAAGATGAAAAGGGAGAGAAGAAAGAAAATGGGAGGAATTTATATGTGAAGCCTGGTCCTTCCCAATTAGGGAAAGTAGCATATGGCCGACTCCCGACTCCCAATACAGTACATAACCTGGAATGTATAACTATAGATGACATACGTGTCTTTAGGTAAGACTTGGAGACAGCCTGAGTAAACAGCTTACATAGGACTTCAGATCTGCATTGAGACCAGGCTATTAAATTGACTTAATTTCACTGTCATCATCATGCAGGCTGTGTGTCTACATGTACAACTCCAAATACTGGAGGCTGGAAGCTGGAATCTGCATGGAGAAAACTGTCCATATATGAATTCGGATCCATATTTTGAGACCAGAAAATAACATGAAACGCATAACCATAACGACATCGAAACTCCTGGAATCTGCTAGCTGGGGAATATCCAAATCCAATATCAATCCGGTCACATCCCATCAAGACACCAACACCAACAGCCACAACAAGTAGAGTCGCGAGATTCCTGGTTCTTTTGAGTTGGTTCCTTTTTGTACCAGTCCCATTTCCCCTCTGGTCACTCCTGTGTCCGGGTCTCAGTGATGACACAGGCTGGTCAGGGGGTATCCGGGTCTGATCCGAGAATACAGGCAAAGTGTAGAGAAGAAAAAGAGAAGAGGTCTGAGAAGAAAACGACAGGCTATATAGCCCGGGTGATAGAAATAGAGAGGTGGAAGAGTCCACTGCCAGTGATACTGGTAACAAAAGACAAACAGAAAAGAAAAAAAAACGTCCGGCATTTGTTGGAAGATTGTTCGAGATGGATCAAAAGAGAGAAGTAGATGGGTGACAAAAAAAAAAGGAAACCGTTGGAAATGAAAGGATGAAAGTGCACTGGATCAGCCGTAGGGAACTGGGCTTCATACTGAGAGGTATCAACGTTGCCCGTACAGACAAGGCAAAGCAAGGAATTAAGTAACCACATCCACAAGTAATAATAGTAATAATAGAAAGAAAGGGAGAGAAGCCAAGAAAACTCGTAGGTCACAGTCCACTAATCTCGAATACAGAAGAGCCCCGGTCAGTCCAAGCAGTCCCTGGTATCAGTCGAAGGATGCTGGCTTCCAAGGACGAGCAAGGGGAAGGGATAGGAGAGGATGCGATGAACAAAATACACCAACGCCAATCTCACGACAGCACATGCGCAGAACACACATATCCAGATGACTGGGAGACAAGAAGAAAACAGAACAGGTCGAGTATCCGCGAAAACGCACTAGAGCAATGATCAAATGTACAAACAAGGGTATATCGGAGGTGAAGCACCTGAAGGACCGTTAAGACTTTTACACGTTCACAGGCCGTCACCAGCACCTGTCTCAACACCATCGGCCGAATAGGATATGCTGGGATCAAACCCGAATCCAGTGGCGTCGGCATCCGTGTTGAGGAATGTGTCAAAGTCAAAGTTCTCCAGAATGTCTGGGTTTTCCAGTGCGCTGAAGTCAAGGTTGAATGCGGAAGCCTTTGATAGGGTCAGTAAATGCATACTTGTAGGAGACGCAGTGGAAGAACATACATCAGGAATGCTGAGGTCAGTGAAGGATTGCTGTTGGTCAGGAGGCGGCTGCACCATAGTCTGAGGAGCAGGTGCCGAGGTAGGCTGTGTCGGCTGAGCTGGCCCGTTCGCTCCATTCGCTCCATTCTTGGGATTGAAAGAGTTAGGATGCTGCGGCGTGACGGGGGTCGATGGGGTCGGCGGCTCTGCGGCTTCGGTGGATGGAGTCGCGCCTGCGGCCGCACTGGCAGCAGCAGCGGCAGCTTGCTTCTTGTTGGGTCGCTTGAATTCAAGTTAGCGGAGACAAGGATCACAGCACCATCTGAGGGTATACAAACCTTGCGGGTATCCTTGGTATCCTTCTTGCCCTTTGGTGCAGCCTTGGTAGCCTGCTGGGGCGTTGGTGGCGCATTGCCAGCCGTCTGAGGTGATGCCGGCTGGCCACGACCAGCGTTAGGACCCGTGACAGGTGGCGCCGAGGGCGGAGGCATCGCGCTTCGTTCCTGCGGGGTTCCAGCCTGGGGCTGGTTCGCAGGCGAATGCTGCGGAGGCATCTGCGGTTGTCCTGGCTGCCATTGTCCACTAGGCATACGCTGGCCGGCATTGGCCGGAATCGGCTGGCCCATTTGAGCTCCAGTGAAGGCAGGGTTAGAGCTAGGAGGTCGCATATTCGGTCCAGGGAAGAACTGACCCGCCATCTCTGGGGGTATCGGAGCACCGTTGAGGTTCATGGATCCGGGTGATCCACGCTGAGACATATCGCCGGCACTTGGCGACCCGGGAAGTCCAGTGGGAGGCATCTTAGGCGTGCCTCGTTTCATTTGGTCGCTAGGATTGGGAGACGCGCCCGCCCTGCTGCCCGGGGAAGTGCCTGGCGGCAAAACTCCCTGGCCGGGCATTGGGGGCTGGCCGTCAGCACGGGCCATGCTATCCTGCTCTTGACGAGCCATCATCAAGCGCCGCTTATTCTGCTGTTCAAGCAGCATAAGCTGCATCTGATAATCTTGAAGAGCATGGTTACCATGCTGACTGCCAGGTGTTTGTAAACTACCGGGTCGGACCTGGGCGAGTTGACCGTTCGCACCGTAGTACTCAGGGCCACCGGCCATAGGATACATTCCTTGGCCATCCGGCATCGGCACCAGATCCGCCTGATTGGCCATAACACCGGGATTCATCATGCCACCATTCGGGATACCCTGGGAATTCGATGCTGAGCGAGAGTGATGAAGGGCCAAGTTTTGAGCATATACCTGCATAGATTTCTGTTGCGCAGCTTGTCCCTGGAACTGCTGGAATTGCGCCGGAGTCATTCCCCTCTGCATTCCATTCTGCATCATTATAGCCTGCGGGTTGGGCTGTCCAGGCATTCCTTGTCCCTGTCCACGGCCGTTCGGTGCCAGCTGCTGTCCGTTAACAGCGCCTTCAAGGCGTGGGCGTTTCGACGGCGAGGGAGCGTTGTCGGCCGACGCTGGTGACTGCGGTCGATGTCCACCCATCTCCATGTCCGGATCCCGGTTCATTTGCTGCATCATTTGCAAGTGCTGGGTCTTCTGGTACTGCGCCATTTGTTGTTGTTGTTGCGAGCTAGAAAGAATCTCATCAGCACGTCCACCCCCAACTTAACACTCCGCATGGGGAAGAAGATATTCAGATAGAGCATACAGTCCAGTGGTGTTATTCTGCAGCACTGTTTTCTGCAGGTTAGGAGGCACCATGCCATTCTGTCTCCGGAGCTGGTTCATCTGGCCGGGCATCATGGGTTGCTGCCTCATAAATTGATTGTGTTGCTGTTCTCGCAGACGCATGAAGTTCTAGAGTTCAGGATTAGTCCATGATCCAGATCCTCGGTGAAGAAGATCGTCCACGCACCTGGTTGTGCTGAAGGTACTGCCTAATATCATTGCTATTTCCCTTCTTGCGTTGAGCCCAGAAGAATTCCCAGAAAAGGCTGAACCAGTCGAGCAGGAATGACGAGGGGCTTTCGTTGGGAATATTTGGACGAGGGAGATCATCTGGGATCTTGATTTTCTCACCATCCTTCCCATCGGTCATCATAGCATCAGGGTCCATACCATTGACGTCGCCGTCACGCCGATTTCCGGGACTCGTCTTGGGGTTGTTGTCGGTGTTGAGTTTGATGTTTTCATCTTGCAAGAGGGCACGGGCGCAGTCATGGTACCCACGCTTCAAAAAGTAATCATAGATATACGTGTTGAGGTTGTTGATCATGATGTCGGGGTTGTTCATAGTGCCGTCGTTTCGAGAAGCCGTGGATCCGTTGTTGATCATAGGAACTCCGCCCACAGGGCCCCCAGCCCCGGGGTTCATCCCGACATTCATTTGGTTCATAGTGGCGAACGGTGGAACTGCAGCCACCCTTGCCTGTGGTATCGTAAGATTTTCAAATCGGATATATGAAGCTTCCGACGCGCGACCTCCGTCTCAGGCTATCCAGCCTAACGCGGGGTGATAGAAGCGACGCGTGGGAATGGATGCGGAGGCAAAGCGGTCAGCGCTTTCGAAGGAATATCGAAGGCTCGCAGACTGAGCAACGCGTGTGCGTAACAGCGCAAATCAAACGGGTATATGATCGCGAAATATGAGGGAGTTCAGGATCACCGGTGGCGTCTTTTTCCAGAGAAACCACGCGACGGAGTAGAAACGAGAGGATGGAGGCTCGGAGGCGCAGAGGAAGTATGCTCGGTGTCTCTGACTGGAGAAATTGGTGAGCGCTTGCCAGAGGATTAAAACACTTCAAATGACCAAGTGTAAAAGCAAGTGCGCAGTCTATATGGGGTGGACGATGACGGAGGTACAAGGAGGCGGAAAAAGCGCACAAGTGAGGTGGTTGGTATGGGGGGCGGCGCCAGACACCCGATCGGGCAGAATCGCGGACAGGAGAACACCAAGCCCGTGTACAAAGAAAAAGAAAACCCAAGGTCAAGAAACGAAAAAAAAGAACAGATTAAGAATAGAAAAGGGGAGTTTAAGAGATGTGGATCTCACAGTGGGAAGAGGAGGACGGATTCAGTGAGAGAGAGCCGGGGGGGACGTACATTGACAGGCGCTGCGCTCTGCGGGAGAATCGCTTGTTCGGAGCGGATCAACCTGGTCGGAGGTCGGGGCTGGGGATGGCGCTGTCAAGCGTATTTCTGGGAATGCACCGATCTGATAACCATTGAATTTGCGGTCTGCGACAAAAGAGAAACAGGAGCCCGGGAATTAGCGAAAAAGAAATGGGAGATATATGTGGAAATATGGTGGATTGAACAGATCGAGAGAGAAAAAAAGGGAAGAAGGAAGGGAAATCAGAAGGGTGATATGATACCTGATGGGCCCTGCGATGGATCCCAGCGGGAGTCTAAAAAGTAGGGTAAGCCACTATTTCGCGACCACCACGAACAGCGAATATACCGAAGATCGAACGATCTAGGAGAATTAAACAAATTGAGAGAAGAATCAATGTGGAAAAGTCCTGCCTAGGTAGAGGTTGAGAAAAGATGGAAAGGAGGGAAATTCGATCTGTAAAGAGTTGAGGGGCGGCGGAGATAGTGGTACAGAACCGGTATAGCCTTGCGTTTGTGACATACAGTACTTGACAAATACACTGATTCGGACGTTCCGTTGACCGCTATTTAGGTACCCACAGGAATTATATATACTTGACCGAACTGCAGGTTTACCCTATAATACATGTTTGGTCATGACCATACAGATCAAGCTCCTGAGCGGCAGATTCGCCGAGGATCTACACGTATAAAAAAGGAAAAAAGGGAGATCATGCGATTTCTATGGACTGATCGCAACTTAACCACAAACCTTGCCCTATCCCCAGTTTTTTTTCTAGATCTGAAGCTAGAACTGAATTCTTATAATGTATCGACCTCCTATGCCAGTGATAAATCGCGTGGTTTATCACAGGATACATCATAAACCCTAATTTGTTAAAAAGACAGGTGTACAAATAGAGTGATTATCGGAAGTAATAATGACGAGTAAGGGCAAAAAGACCCATCCCCCTAAAAACATAACCAATGAGGAACCCCAGAACGCCCATTCTTCAAGTAGTGTAAATGCACAAGATCTCGCAAGGTTATTACTCTTCCTCCGGTGGCATCTCATCCTCAATGTATCGTACAAGGGAGACCCGCATCTCTGTAGTATCATCTCCGCGCAGCACGTCGCTGACAAAGTGTGCCTCGATCTGCATTTGAACCTAAAAGCCGGGTGGTCAGTGATCGGACCCAGAACAAGGGAGCCCACTCCAATTGACCGGGGAGCTAGTAACTTACCATCTCCAGAGACCCTCTGAGAACGCCACACAGAATATTGGAGAACCATAGCTCATCCTGAGCCCGCCCATCATCGGGAAGCTCCACAAAGTCCGCCAAGGGATTGTCTTCAAAGATAAGGGAGAACTGGGTGTTGTCACTCGTCCAGTTTGTGACTGTAGGTGTGACGTTCAGGAAGATCTTGAAGCCAACCTGATCAGATTGTCAGCCATCATAACTTTATTATCTCCATGTCCTAAAGTGATTCCCACCTTCGCGATCATTTCAGCTGTTTCCCGGAAGTTGGCGCATCGGCCAACACCTGACTTGGCCAGGAAGTCTTCAATGAGTCGCATGCCGATATTGTATCCCATCTTGTCCAACTGCTTGTTGACATCCTGGTAGTTGCTATCGTAGTCTTGGCATAATTGTGCGACAATTGTTCCGTAGGTTAATGTGACCAGCTCCGCGTTGACTTTATCGACTCTTGTTCTGCGCATGTGAAAGCCGATTAGTTCAGGTTCGAGGGCGGAGATACAGCGAAGTCAATTGGTCATCGCTTTTTGATCCCAGTAAGCGGGCACTGGGGCTTACTGACTTCCATATTCTGTTCGAGGGTCATTGATTAGTAGAAGGTCCACTGGATAAGGCATCCGACCTTGGGAGTCCACCTACTCTTCTCCTATTCTTGAGGTTTTCGTGGACGACATCTTTGGGATTATGCTCTGATATCTCTGCTTGTTGGTAAAATAGCAAAATGGATAGTTTCCAGGCAAGCACAGATAAATGTGACAGTCAACTGTTGATCAGGGTGACTGTGGGGAGTCCGTGATTGTTGGAGTTGCTGATTGTACACAGTCGTACTACGGCCAACGAAACCGACCATTCTGGACTTTTATTTCATTGGTTGCTTTTTATTTGCCGCCTTTCTCTCCGCCTTTTAATTGATATGCATTATAGTTGGTGAGTGGGGTAAATGACCGTGTTATTTTCTGCCAGACAAAAATAACTCCAATACGATCAAGTCTCGATGGTCGCTCTCGTCCACCGGACACAGCCCGCTCACCGCCGAGCCCAGGTGGGATTATCGTTCTTCCTGCAGCTTCTCGCCCTGAACTTTTGCTCTCCACTACTTTCGTCCTAAGTCGCGATTGGTCACCAATCAATTCTTTTACCTCTCCAAATTCACCGAGGTGCTTGCTCTGACAATGTCTGGTGAAAAGCGCCCTGCTCCAGAGGGCTTTGGGACCTCGCACCAGCTTGTGGTCAAACGGAACAAGGCCGCCGAAAACGCAGGAACCGAGCTTGTGAAGGGCTCCTCCCAAAATGGAGCTCTCATTCAATCGGTATGCGCCAAGTTTGCCCTCAAAGCTCAAGGGGCTTTTTCGGGGCATAGCCAGCTAATCTGAGTCTACAGGTTCCTCGCACAAGTGGTTTGGATGCTCCTATTATGGAGCTCACAGGTGAGATACGGTCGCCAATTTTGTCGCCATACATGCGCTAATAGAAGCAACCTACTAGGCCACTCTGGTGAAGTCTTTGCAGTTCGATTCGACCCTACGGCGCAACATATCGCATCTGGATCCATGGATCGTTCCATCTGTATGTCTCATCTTTATCCGGGAATGCGGCCGCCGAATATGTCACTGATCGAGATTTCTTGAATAGTATTGTGGAATACATACGGACAATGCGAAAACTACGGCCAATTGACAGGTCACCGGGGAGCTGTGCTAGATCTTCAGTGGTCACGCGATTCGCGGGCACTGTTCTCAGCATCCGCAGATATGACCCTCGGAAGCTGGGATGTCGAGACCGGAGAACGAGTACGCCGTCACGTGGGCCATGAGGAGATCATCAACTGTCTCGATATCAGCAAAAGAGGGCAGGAGCTTCTGGTCAGTGGTAGTGATGACGGGTCCATCGGCATCTGGGATCCTCGGCAGAAGGATGCTCTGGACTACCTCCAGACTGAACTGCCCATCACCGCAGTGGCATTGTCCGAGGCGGGTAATGAGATCTACAGTGGAGGTATCGATAATACAATCCACGCTTGGGATATTCGGAAGAAGGCCATAGTCTACTCGATGGCCGGACACACAGATACCATCACATCGCTGCAAATCTCGCCAGACTCACAGACTTTGCTATCGAACTCTCATGACTCTACTGTTCGCACATGGGACATTCGTCCCTTTGCCCCTACCAACCGGCAAGTGAAGACCTACGATGGCGCTCCTCTCGGACTGGAGAAGAACCTCATCCGTGCCAGCTGGGATCCTAAGGGCGAGAAGATTGCTGCAGGCAGTGGTGATCGAAGTGTGGTTGTCTGGGAGGCCAAGACTGGTAAATTGCTGTACAAACTTCCCGGTCACAAGGGCACTGTCAATGACGTGCGCTTCTCTCCCAATGATGAGCCAATCAGTGAGTATATACCCTTTGCGAGCACACCTACAATTTCTAACATTGTCACAGTCGTTTCTTGCTCCTCCGATCGGAACCTGATGCTTGGAGAGCTGGGCAAATAAGCATATATGATAGGTATTAATGTTTTAATGAAGATCAGCGGGCGTCAAATTCATTTTTTCAAACATGCCATGTGCATCCGTTCCCGATCTGGACGCGGCTTGTGCTACCAAGTCAGAGAGCATCTTCTGGCTTCCAGAGGTCGTGACTTGTCCGGCTATGCATCCGGATCTATGAATTGTACAATAAGAACAAATTTCAAAGTAATCCTGCTCTTGAATATTTTTGGTCACCTACAAGAACAGTTTTATACGGCCTCTATACTAGGCTGACCTTGTGACGATGTAGAAGTTGGACAATCTAAATATCCAGATGAGTCAAGATCGTATCAAGATCCGTGGAGTACTATGCCTTTTTCCAATATCATTTCCAATGAATAATTGGCAAACTATAGAATCACCTAAACAGAATACTAGGTGGTAGCCTATAGATCCATGGTTCTCTGAATTGTAAATACAAGAACTCAAGAGTTCTGCTCTTTCCCTTCAACTTCCACCTCAACTGCCACTTCAACTTCTTTATTTCATCCACACCCAATATCATGGCTGAGCCTCGCGATCATATCCCAATGCAAGATGACTTCAAAATCCAGATCCTCCACGAGCCTACAGAAACTCCTTCCCTTTCTCGCCTCACCTCAAACGCGCCATCAGAGGTAGAAAAATGGTCTGCACGCTTCGATACCTGCAGCATGGTCTCGTTTCCTCTCTCTGTCTCCAGTAAGACAATTATGTAAATGCAACTGGAGTCCCTTGCTAACTCTATCATAGTACCTGTTCTAGTCCTCGCGGGACCTGACGCCGCATTTTACACGATGACGGTCTTTCTGGTGCCGGTGGTCATGTTCCAACTTTATTGTTGGTGGCGTCATTGGTCTGCTGGCCGACAACAAAACTCCAAGTGAAAAGGAGTACGATGTTACATACTCACGTCCCACCAAATATGGCAAATGTGTACGTTGCTTCTCTCTGGATCGGCGTCGGCGTTGGGCTGCTGTTGATGGCCGCAGCATTGTTCTTCTGGTGGCGACGTAGAAACCCCAAGAACACTACATCTAACCCGGAGCAGCTTCAGACTGAGCAGGAGAAGGACTTCCGGGAATTGGAGGGCGAAGGCACCACACCCCAACCACACGAGATAAGTGGGAAACCCAGCGCCGCAGCAAATCCAAAGGAGATCTTCTCCACGGAGATTCTCGAGGCCGCCACGGCAAAGAACCACGCTGAAGGCGGCTTGGGTGCAATGGAATTGGAAACGACCAGTGCCACTCAAGACCGAAAGGATAGCCCTTCGCCTGTACCAATCCCTGCTCCCCCAATCGTCTCATCATTCTTCCAAACAGAAACTGTAACGTCGACTTTAGGGAATTCGGGTACAAATGAGCTAGCTGAGGAGGCAGACATTGCAGTGCAGGAGCTCGGGCTGATCAACTTGCGCAAACGGGGTTTGGCCGTTCAAGCAGAAGCCCTTGACAGCAGCCCTGAGTCCATGGCGGGAAGGAAAGGCGAAGAATACCGAGAGCTGCTTCAAAGAGAAGAAAGGATTATGGCTAGACTGGAAGAGATTGAGAGCCAGCAAAGAAGCTTTGATTAAGTCGCTGGCTCGGAGTGGTTGGAAGGATAGAGAGATAATATGCTGTAACTCGAGTGATCCATTAACATAAATGTTCTGCCCGAGGGCTGAATTAATTATAAGAAAGAAAGAAAAAACTAACCGAATCTCCCTTGAGCTCAATTTGCACCTTGTTCTTTAGAACCCCCTTGACATAAAAAGTCATCACCACAGAATCCTGGGACTGGTACCACTCATGGCGGACCTTCTCGGGAGCAGGGGAAACGTCGGCAAAATATCACATTAAGGATCCTGATCGCTACGTACCATATGACACCTTATCAATCAAAGTAACGGGATATAATGGCTCCCAATGAGGGAACTGATTCGGCGCGAGGTCAGATGCGAGATCAACGGCCAAGTGGAAGATTCAATGCCTGGCTACTGGGGTAGCGTTGCGTTCTTCCATGGCAGTTCATTTGAGAACCTGCTTAGCTTCGTACCTTCGGCACCACATTCAGCGAAGGCCGTCATGGACAACATCGGCAAAGCCAAAACAGGTCCAGCTCCCATAAACCTTTGTATCCAATGTGGCCGTGATCTGGAGATAAAAGACGTCAGCAAATTCAGCATGTGATTGAAAGTCCGGCCACAGGTAGCCAGGCTGTATTCATGCCGAAATCCGAGAAAAGCCTGAGTAAGAAGAAAATCAACAACTCCTTTGAAAGATATTTGCCAGCAAATTCTAGGCTCTTTGATCTACAAGACCACGAACGCTATCCGGCCTTACCACACTCGACCGCTGCCGATACAGTCCTCATGAAGATATCATTGAGCCCATCACCCGATTTCTGCAGAATGAAGGGATAGACCCGCTACTGCGAGGCGCAATGGAAGAGTGACTTCACAGCGAGGGCACTGTAGGCAAGAAAGGTTTTCGCGGTGTGAGCATTGGGGTGTATACAAAGAGACAATAGAACTTAGAAGGCTGTTTTGAACCGCTTGGTGACTTTCTGCAGGCCCCTGTAGCTGCATCTCTAATTATACACAAAAAGCAAGGGAGAGAGTTTGGAATATGTTTGGCACCCTGACTGGTATCGAAGCTGAGTGTTCGTTTGGAGACACCGTTGTCGATGGCTTTGGTTTCTATTTCGAGACAACAGCCAAGAATCTCCCGGCATTTTTAAAAAACGGACGTCTCGTAGGCTATTTTTTCCCGAGCCATCTCTCTCTGAGACCAACAATATGAAATCACAGCCCAAATGATAATCCATGCAAAAAGGACGCCCAGTGATAGCCCAAACGCATAGTGAAATTCCAGTGTCCATACGATTGCAGACAGACAGCCAAGGTAGAAACACACGCCAAAAATCCACCAAATGGTCAATACGTAAAACATACGCCTGAAGGCTTTCGAGTATGCATACCGCTCATTGAAACGCACGCGAAACTCGCGGTCCTGTAGGCCATCGACGGCGATGAAGTCTTCAGCGGCGTAAGAAATAAATGGCCGCAATGGCGTCCCCCTCACCTGCGAGTCGATACCGACAGGAATTTTGAAAGGAATGAGGGACACAAGCATTAGGATTCCGAGAAATGACATTAGGAATCCTGGAGAGTAGATATATAGATTAGGAATTTCTTTGCTACTACTGATGATAAACGGAATTAAGGGACAGATCAAGGCGACACCATACACCCAGGATGTAGCGTCGAGCTCCCATCGTGAGCGAGATAGAAGGGGAGCGCAGTCATTCGAATGCCAGAGAAGGCGACAAACCCTGACAATTAAGATGTAGAGTTCACCTAAGCCAAAGCAAATGATAGCGTAGCCCAAAATATGCTTGTTGAAATTGGGCTCCGTGTAGCAGGAGATGCTTTCAGGCGGACAGTGATCTTTCCATTTCGATCTATGGGTATTGAACCATGTGTAATAGATTGCGCATGGGACTATTAGATCAAAAAGGATAATCATAAATGGCCCGAGAGTGATTGAGAGATGATCCCTAAGTTTTGGGGTTTTCTGCGCGAGCTTCTCATATGACTCAGCTGGTATACTGGCCATTTCGATATATCTATCGGTTTGTCTGAGTTTTCTTCGCTCGCGCGGACGGATTGAGTGTCCCAGGTTAACCCCTGATCACTCGTCCGAGTGGGAATAATCCCTTCGAACAGATTTGAAAATACTACACGGAAGGCGGAATCAGTATTTTATTGTGAATTTTACTACCAGCCAGAAAGCCGGCTGGATGCGGCTAATCGTCACTGACTCAGGCCGAGATCTTAAGAGTTATGAAAATGTCGACGTCAATCATCTATGTTCAGAAGACTGGATACCGTATCATAAAGTATGGGTAATCTGATTATTTGGCACGGAGCATGGCTACCCAATAGACGTAGGGATTGTTTGTCAAATAGTGACTGATGATTCGCCCGGCGAAGGAAAATGAATTTCCAAGGTTGGCTGCCGCCCACAACCAAGCCGTATATGTACACGGACAAATCGTTATGTATCGTAAACGAGGATTACAGATGAGTGTTATAAGCATTAACTCGATCCTTTGTATAATAACGAATAGAGACCAGCGACATATTATTCGAGGCTAGTTATAGAAACTAAAAGTTCCTGTCACTGGGTCAAATAGCTCAGACTCGAGACTTGAAAAGTCTGGAAACAACGACTCCATACTATAGTATTTACCATATTAGTGTGTTTTTTCTTTAACCGAACATACTGAGATTGCCGATCTCGTGCATCGGTTTGTCGATCTTCTCGATGCAGCTAGTACCAGTGATCTCCATATTTGGGGTCGATATGCAAAACTTCTCAAGCGAATCTGGCTCGCCGAGAGTTCAGTGGCTCCGGATAATAACCAGTCTAATGACCATGATACCCATCCCAACTTGAAATCGCTGGGTGTTAGTGCCATCGGCCGAATTCAACCTTTTCTCGAGCTTGTACTTTCCAAGGTAAACAATGCGCCATGCAACTACATTATGTACATGTTGTTTGGCTGCAAACTGTATAATACGGCGAAAAGCACTCGATATACGGGTATACATACTTTCTGGGTTCAACAGAACAAGAGTAGTCGACCGCTTATGCAGCCTTGTCAAGTCTTTTTTAGTGGTCTTCTCAGATAGTCTTTCAGATGTCTTTTTTAATGTCTTTTTTGGTTATTGTCAGATTCGTTTCAATTAGTCTTCTCAGTCAGTCTTTTTAGATGTCTGTTTTACATGGATATTTTCTCTCCTTTCTCAGTTTGTCAAGGAGGGAGCAGAAAAACGCAGTAAGAGGCTTGATTTGTGAAATGGACTTTTCTATGTATAACCAGGATAGGTGTCGGCCTATACATCCACGGCTTTCCAAATTGTAAATAAAAAAAGACCCTGCCCCGGACTTATCGCCTTCCCTTCAACTTCCACCTCAGCTGAATTTCGTCTGACTACTTCAGCCTCTTTATTTCATCTAGCACACCTAGTATCATGCAGGCAGTTCAGCCTCGCCGTTGCATCGAAATGCAAGACGGCTGCAAAATCAAGATGGTCTGCACCGAGCACGCAGAAACTCCTTCCCCTTCGCATCCCACCCCAGAGATCCAACCAGAGTCAGAACCAAAGTCAGAGAAATTGAGCAGGCAACGCTTGGGCTACAGTATAGGCCTGGCTGTGTTCTTAGTCTTTGGTGAGACCATTACAAGCATGCTACTTGAAGCCCTCATTACTAACTCCATCGTAGCAGCTATTTTAATCATCGTAGGCTCCAATGCCGTAAAGAATACGATGTTCGTCATCCTAATCCCCTTGCTCATCTTACAAGGATATTGTAGATGAGGTTGTGGCTTTACCATCTTCGATGATTCCACAACTCCCATATATTTATCGTTTCAACTTTTGTTTGGGAAAAAGATACAATTGCCTCTTCTGACGTCTCTTCCACGTTGCTCTTGATTTGGTTTCTCGGGATATCTTAAGGTTTTCAAATGTATACATTGCTTCCCTTTTTGCACCCAGATCATCATGAGTAAATCAATACGTAATATGTAGCTCATGAATGTACATATGTACCTACCATCCTAAGCTTATAAGGCATGAAGTACCTCAACTCAACTCGTCAAATCTTGCAAGATGTCTTTTCCACCAGAAAATAAGTATCTCGGAATCCCCTTCTACTATCGGGAGGAGTTCACCACCGATACCACCGGCACGTACCGCACGCTCTACTTCAAGCCCAATGTCGAGCCAGAATCGGGAAAGTGGCAGCCCCGCAGCCCCCTGGTGTCGGGCTTTGTTTCCTGGCTGCCGCCATTGGAGGTGATCTGTGTATACTGCTTTATCGTCGCTTTGGTACTTAGTTTGATCAGTCAGTCTTACATCGAATGATGCAACTTTTGCAAGCTACCTGAAAGGTTCATTGCTAACCTCTTTGACTTAGTTGTGATTGTCCAAATCGCGGCTCCCGATGCCTCAAAAGTCGTGCATTCCTTGTTAACTCTGCAGTTCTTCGTGATATGCGTACAAAACTACTGCATCGCCAAAAAGCTTCTGGCACTCAGGCGTGAATCTAGGAAGCAGAAAGGTCGTGGTTATGATCTCTTCGTTGGACCAGCGTACACATCCACGCTCGCTCTACCACCAGCGGAAACTGGTCTGGATGTTCCCCCACTATCAAAGGATTCTGACAATGCCCACATTTCCAGGCAGGCAGAGAAGGTTTCTCTTGGTGAATAAAGAAAATGGTGAGATAACTCTCGATGTTTTCGATTTACCTGGGCATCTTCTGTTGCTGACATATAAGCTTAGAGTTTGGTCACAGTCGTTGGGTGTTAAGCAGGAAATATGCTTGAACCGTTTGGTTATATTTTGGCTTTATACATGTACCTATACTCGCTGGGTAAGTCGGGTTGATGAGTGGCAGTGAAAGTGACCTCGGGATACTCGTCGGCGTATTAGGATGATAGTCAAAGAAAATATTAATAGCCGAATCAAAAGCGAAGTGTGCCAATAACCTAAGATTACAAGTTATTGCAAACCTTCTTGATCAGTGAAGCTGGACAGCATCCAATTCATCGCTCACCCTTAGGTTAACCCTGGGGGTGATCAGGCCGAACCTCGGGTACCTAGGGGTTCTAGCTGAAGGAAGAGAAGAAACACAAATACCCCAAGCTCTATCATAGGGCTTTCGATCCAAAATACCACGCCTCATAGACTTCATGGAGTTTAAAGACTTTTCGTACATTATCACTGCATATTCTATGGCTAAGTGTGGTATGTCCATATCTGGTTGTAGCTGTATCGGTGGTTTATAGTAGGATAGCATTTGAAGTTTATAGTAAAATACTCAAAATCTATCTAAAAAGAAAAATGTCCAATTTCAAGATAGATCATTAACACAATATAAATATTCAAACCTTCTATAAGTTGTACAGCCCTGTCCAAAAGAGTATGGAGATGATGCAATAAGCGGGAAAAAAAGATTCCCCAGAGGCTTATCTGGCCGAATCCGCCAACTTCCCACTCCACTCGAACAAGCCGAGGGTGATCACCTTAAAGCAGTCTCTTTTCAGAGCCTTAAATAAGAGGCCAGCGCTCCATCCATGATCCCTACGGCGCTCAGATCTGCTTGAAGCGCACGCGACGGAGGTGATGTTCAACCTCCGCTCCGCCTGGATGGTGGTTTGGGCTATCCTGTTATGGCCCACCGTCGTTCATGGCATGCGAGATAGCAAAGTCAAAGAACTAAGGTATGCTATATGCTACCCCCAGTCTTCTTCAAGTGATCCACTTCAACTAACACATCCCTGTTCTCCCGCAGACAAGAAACTGAGCGCATGTTCTTCCATGGCTTCGAGAACTACCTCCAATACGCGTTCCCCGAAGACGAATTACGCGCCCTGACATGCGGCCCTCTTGTTCGCGACGAGAAGAATCCCGAGAATAATGATGTACTGGGAAATTATTCTCTGACCTTGATTGACAGCTTATCGACGCTGGCCATCCTGTCCTCGAGCCCGGACAGTGGAGAGCGAGCCTTGGCGCATTTCCAGGATGGTGTCGAGGGCTTTGTTAGGCTGTATGGTGATGGCTCAGACGGCCCTGCTGGTCAGGGTGAGCGATCGAGGGGATTTGATCTGGATAGCAAGGTACAATTGTTTGAAACTGTGATTCGAGGACTGGGTATGGTTTCTTCTCCTTCGTGGCTTATCGATCTGTCGCATGGGCTCGATTTCCAGCTTCTTATGTCCTATTCTAACGTGTTTTAGGTGGATTGCTCAGTGCCCATCTTTTCGCCGTCGGCGAGCTACCCATCACCGGATACGAGCCATCAGAACGGGAAGCGGCCTTCGCTAGCGCATGGGATAAAAGTATGTTTGTAAAAAGTGACCACGGCATTCGATGGGGCAATGGCTTTGTCTACGATGGCCAACTGCTTCGACTTGCTGTGGATCTGGCCCAGCGTTTGCTCCCTGCATTCTATACAGAGACTGGCCTTCCCTACCCAAGAGTCAACCTGCGCCACGGTATCCCATTCTATGAGAATGCGCCTTTAAATCTCAACGTCCGAGATGCCGATGGCAAGCGCAAATCCAAAACCGCGGCTTCTGAGCCCGCTGAGACTTGCAGCGCTGGTGCAGGCAGTCTAGTCCTCGAACTGACCGTCTTGAGCCGACTCACCGGTGATGGGCGGTATGAGGACTTGGGTAAGAGGGCATTTTGGGCTGTCTGGAACCGCCGGAGTGACATCGGACTACTTGGATTTGGCATTGATGTCGAGTCGGGGAAATGGGTGGGACCATGGGCCGGGGTAAGCAGAATTCCTTTTAACAGGTACAAGCATAGGCTAATTGTCAGTAGATCGGCGCCGGCATTGACAGCTTCTACGAGTATGCCGTCAAAGCTTACGTTCTCCTATCTGAGGGCGAGCGTCTGCCTTTCGACTCCGACAGCCCTTGGGCAGCATTGGACTCGTACTATGCTCCTCTCACGGACTACCAGCATACTGCCGAGGCCTTCCGACAAGTTTGGGAAGAATCGCATACCGCGATCAATCGCCATCTATTCCGAGGCGAGGGTTATCAACATCCCCACCTTATAGTAGGGGATGTGATCACCGGTGCCACGCGAGCTTTCTGGATCGATAGCCTGAGCGCTTTCTATCCAGGAGTTCTTGCCCTGGATGGAAAACTAGATGAAGCTATCCAGATTCATCTGCTGACTACCGCCATCTGGACACGCTACTCGGGCATCCCTGAGCGATGGAACGTGGCTACTGGTGACATCGACAACGGTATGCCATGGTATGGAGGTCGGCCCGAGTTCATCGAGTCCAACTACTACATTTATCGCGCAACGCAGGATCCTTGGTATCTACATGTTGGAGAGATGGTTCTCAGCGACCTCAAGCGGCGTTGCTGGACCAAGTGTGGCTGGGCTGGCATTCGGAACGTTCTGACTGGCGAGCTCATTGACCGGATGGAGAGTTTCTTCATTGGAGAGACAGCCAAATATCTATATCTGCTGTTTGACCAGAACCATCCATTGAACAAGGTCGATGCCCCCTGGGTCTTTAACACCGAAGGCCATCCTCTCATCATCCCGAGAAAAACGGCATCCGCCCCTCGCCAGCAGCAAACGCCATCTCAGGGCCAGGACGTCGCCGAGGGAGTATGTCAAATTATTCCCTCTCCATTCTTCGGCGTGTCCTCCACTGCATCCCGAACAGACATCTTCCATGCTGCCAACTTGGCACGCCTGGATCTGATGCCTGATCGAGGAGTGGCCGCCGGTCCTATTTTGGAAGATTCGCCTGGACATCAAAGTGTCTTTGTGTCTGACCTTTCATCGCCAACCAATTACACATTCTACCCGTGGACGCTGCCACCTCAGCTAGTCCCATTCAATGCCACCAGCGCGCCTATGGCTGTTCGGCCCACGCTCGACATATCATTCCCATCACTCCCAGGCGGCGTAAACATGGGACCTGGAGCGTTGGAACGTGTCCGAGATGGGGTACTTGTAAAAACCATTGGAGGACTTCGATTGAGTATGGTTCAGGATGTACGTTTGGAACCCCCGACGGCCACGACTGGGGAAGAGGGAGACGGGTACCGGGTGCAGGTGATCAACAATGTGCCATTAGGCAAAGATGAGAAGGTATACCTCTCTCGCCAAATCACCTTTGATGTCGTCGATCCGTATGATCCGAACTTCACCCGTGTTCGCGACACTGCCATGCTTGACCTCGTCATTGACGTTCTCCCAGAGCCCTCTCGCCGACGTAATGATTCGGCTCATCCACGAGATGAAACTCCTCAATCAGAAAATCCACACCCGCCAGAGCCCCGTCTCAGAGGCCACAGCCCCGCCTCTTCCATCGACGATGCCGCAATTGTTGACTCCCCGGACTCAACCGTAAGAGCTATGCTATCGTCTCTGATGAACTCGGTGTCGTCTTTACTTCACAGCGAACCGACCGAACCTGCTCCACTCAGGTTGATTCTCCCTGCTGCTATCTCTACAGGCGTTGGGGCCAGCCCGCTTCCGGATATTGAAGATGCAGTTACCACGTCCTTGCTCGGCAACCCATCCACAGACCGCCTGTCGTGGTCAAGTATATACTTCGCGGGCGAGCTCTGCAACGAGGGAATTCCCCGTGAGGTTGCCCATAATCACGAAGTCCTTGTTATCAAACGTGGCGGCTGCACCTTCTCGGAAAAGCTCCGCAACATCCCTGCATACCGACCCACGCGATCCGCGCTGAAGCTAATTGTTGTCGTCTCATACGACGACATGCCACCACACGGCTTCCACGGGCAGAAGAAAGAGTCAACGAATCAACCCGGGTCTCGTTCTGCCCTTGCCGCCGTCCGCGCTGAATCCACCCTCATCCGTCCACACCTCGACGAAGCCCAAATGACAGCCAGCGGCATTCCACGAAATTACCTTATCAGCATGGTCATGGTCGGCGGCGGAGATGAAACATACGAGCTCCTGCGCCATGCAAACGGCATCGGAGTCAAGAGACGATATAGCATGCGCTCTCGTGGCGTCCCAATCACGAATTTACACATTGTTTGAATATTCAACAGATATACTATACCCTTTTGGAAACCCCTCGGATCATTTGTGGCGTGCTTGTTTTATGTTTTCCAGATGTGCATACATATGTAGATACATATGTAGTTTTAAGACTTGAATATAGTCAAAACCCCAGCTCTCAGAGAATCGAACTGGATGCATTTGATGATAATCTACATTCACCCTCAACTTATCCCTATATACAACAACCCACACCCTCAACTAAAGCCTCGACTTACTCTCCATCTCAATCTGAACCTTCCTCCAAGACTCAACCCCCCTCCTAGCCGCCGTCTCCGGACTAACCCTCCCATCCCTCATATTCCGATCAAAAACCTCCATAGAAACCCACCCCTCAAATCCAACCTCAACAATCCACGCCCTCGCAATCTCAACAACAGGCAAATACGCCCCAAACTCAACCTCCAACGGAAAAGGCCTCGCATGCTTCGACCAAGTAAACTCCTTCGCCTCACCAGGCAATGCCCACGGATGCGCCAACGAATAAGGCGGCTGGAACCGCTCCGCATCAGAAAGCTGCACATAGAAAATCTTCTCCCGCGGACAATCCCGCACAAACCTCCTCAGCGAATCCCGCAGCTTCCGCTCCGCGTCCATCTGCATCCCCGTCGGAGAAGCATTATCCCCCCACAAACGCGTCCCTTCATGGAATGTATCCAGACACAGTCCGAAATTCGGACGGTTCACCCGCTGTACGATCGACAGGGCACTTTCCCAGGTTGAGCAGTTCGTTCCCCATGACAAGGGCTCGTAGGCGATTGATACTATTGGTTTTATGGAGCTGGCTAGGTCGGATAGCTGCTGGAGGTCGGATATGATTGTTTTTTCATCGCGGCTGCAGTCTGCCGTGAAGATTGAGGGGACTTGCAGGTATGGTGCTTGTAACAGACGGGCGATTTCAAGCCAGTGCTGGGCGAGGGCGAGTCTTTCTTTTAGAGGGGTTGTTGAGCCTTCGTAGTTTTCGAAGGGGGCTAGGGAGAGGACTTCGATGTTTGTTTTCTGGCAGAGAGTGTGGATTTTTTGGGCTGCTGTGTGGATGGGGATGTTTTGGGTTTTGCTGTAGGTGAGGAGGTCGTTGTAGACTATTTCGATTCCTGCGATGCCGGCTTGGGCTGCGGCGCGGATTTTGTGGTCGAGGGTGTGGCCTGGGTATTGGCTTAGGGAGATGCTGGCGATTGCTAGTTTGTTGGGTGCCATTTTGGAGTTTTCTTTTGGAATTGAGTATTGAATGTATTGAATGTATTGAGTCCTCGACTTCCTTCTGGAAGACTTGATATATCAAATTAGGGCGGAACTCGGTTTCCGGTATGTGGAGGGTTCACGAATAGACCCCGCAATTGGCTATCAAGTTATTCCAGGTAGTGTTTGGCTTCTTTGTCTATCTGTGGGTGTATTTATCGGACATTAATGACCGAAAAATGTGGAGTAGTTGTTGATCATCGTCTTGCAAGGGTTGTTGGAACTATAAATCCGGGGTACTTTAGGCCTCAGGTAAAAGTATTGTCGGGAATATAATATGTCTTTTATATTAAGCTCGCAAATAGCAATAGACGCATAACACACAAATTTCAATAGATAGCTGAATATATCCACAGATTCATCAACGTCCAGCAAGTTCCTTCAAGCGAACCAGTCTCATAATGTAGCAGAGATCAAATATATCCGCCACTATAACAAGTTCAACCGCGGTCATTTCGGTTGTCCTTCCATCCGCGCTTATTCCAGTTTCGATAACCCAAGTCCCTCATAGTTGAGACCTTAAAAACATGAGGCTCTGTCACCATTGGAGATGCCTTTGCCCCCCACGCGGAGTAATCCAATCCCGCATCTATAAAGAATTGCCTGAGCCACTTATTCGTCTCCTTGTGTGGACAGATACCACCTGACACACCAGAAAATTCCTCTGAGAATTCGAAAGTGTAGGTATTGTGCACATGCAAAGAGGTGGGTTGGCCATCCACTTTGATAGCTTTTTCCATGTAGAGCTTCGTTACGATCCCGACTTCTGCATAAAAGTGGCCCACTTTACACTCATGCGAGATTCTCATTGCATATGAATTGCGGGTGAAATCTTCGGGAAATAGAGGTTCGCGAGCTTCCATAGAGGAGACCATAGCCTCCACGAGTTGCCGCTCGTTGAATGCGATGCTGAGACAGGGGCAGATGTCGACTAGCCCCGCAAAGGGGATACAATCAATGCCATGAAGTACACGACACTTGTAGCAATGGCTCCCTTTATTGGAGTGTTTGGAGGGTTCAAATGCCGAGCGTGGGTGTAGGTTCATACACACCACGCAGGATTTCCAGCGTTCGTTTTCGAGTTGTCGTAGGAGCTGGATTCGAGGTCTCTTTTCGAGCTCCGCGTTGCGGTATATTGGTGGACGCTTTTCTCTTGGGATCAGGAGCTTCACATGATCTGGGTCTTTGGTTTTGAGAAATGAGACAAAGTGGGTGTAGAGATCTTTGCAGGTCAATGCAAAGAAGATCTGTTCTAGCGCGGGGAGTTGCTCATATATAAGATCCAATATCTCTGCTGGAATGTGCCCGTTGTGGAGCTTTGAGGTCTTGGATTGGTGGGAGATGGGCTTCTTTTCTTTTCTGTGTAGTGCCAATCGAAATATTGAGCTAAGCGTCATGTTGGATGTCGTAAGCGGCATTGGAGAGGGAAATGCTATGCCCAGGCGAGTGCACGGGGTAAACGTAGCCTTCCTGATCTGGATGCGGTACTACCACGTCAGCATCTTCCGGCATCCAGATGTCGTAATACAATAAGAACTAACATTTTCCTTCTGTTTATCTACAAGAATACTCTTAAGCGGCCTCTTTGCCAAGGCTGGCGATGCAAGGCTTGGATAATCTAAACTTGCAATGACTTTTCTAATATCTTTCTAAATGCCTTAGAGTAATTAGCCATAAACTGTAGAATCCAGTGGAAAGGCTTTTCTAATAACCATGTTTGGTATAAGGGCAGCGATCTGGACATATTAGTACATTCATATGCACTTCCTGGGTTAGATAGATCAAATAAACCCCCGTAGCATGGGCATACAATTGTAAAGGCAAGATGGACTCTGCCCTTGACTTCTCGACTTCGATACCACAGGCTGTTTATCATTTCAATCTTTGTTTACGAAAAAGATATCATTTTCTCTATCTGTGTATCTTTTTTACTAATCAAAATGGAGATGGATTCACTTGAAAGTATGTAGCCACAATCTTGTTTTCTTATACTGTGATAGTTGGTATAATGGGTAGACCTTGATAGCAAACCATCCATATACGGGGTATAATAAACCCCCTCCCTCCAGCTATATATTTCCGTGTTATTATAGCCAGCAGCCATAATCGAAGATTTTCATAACTTCATCGGTAAAGGATCAATCCATCGAGCTCCGAGATATCAGGAACACCAGATTAAAGCATTCGTCCATGATCATTGCGCTTGGATTCCCAGGCTTTATCGGGCCAACCCCGGCACCCCAAATACCTATAAGCTCGAATCTCAAAGAAGGAGCGCCCCGTCTCTCCTGCAGCGAAACACGAATCCTTGTCTTTGTCCCACCCCACAAACTCCAGTCCAGCATCTCTAAAGAACCACCCGAGCCATTCCCTAGGGTTAAATTGTGGACAGATAAGAGATCCTGCCTTCCCGTTATCCATCGGCTCGTTGAAATGGAACTTGTAGATGTTTGACACGCCTAAATCGGGTGCTACTTCAAGTATAGTTTCAATTTCAACTTTGGCACGGTGGCTGATTACTTCGCACTGATGATACAATTTGTGATAACCGATTCCCGACGTTATCGGGGTATAGAAGCCACCGAATTGTGGATATTGTGGACTGCCAGTGTGTAGGTTGTAAGTGGATCTGATATCTTGCACGATGCGGCCTCTGTCTCGAAACGTGATGCGTTGGCAGGGGCAAATATCAACAAGGCCGGCGTAAGGCATACAGGGCACTCCCAAGAGTATTTGGCATTCGTAGCTCTCGCACGTTGGTTGCTCCCATGCTGAGTGTGGATGAAGGTTCAAGCACTCGATGCAACATTTCCAACGGGGGGTTTCTAAACGACGGAGTAACTGCGTTCGGTCTCGTTTCTCGAGGTCGAGGTTGCGGCATAGGATTGTACGGTCTTGCTTTGGGATCAAGAGCTTAGGAAGACGCTGCTCTAGAGGTTTGGTCTTGAGAGATGCGAGGAAAAAGGCATAGAGACTTTTGCAAGTCAGTGCGCAGCAGACCTGATCTACTGCTGGTAGACAGTCGAGAATAATGAACCATATCTCAGAATATTTGACTAGGGAATTATTTTCAAACTATCGGGATTAGCGGATCTAGAATGTCTCAGCATGGACAGGGATCCGTGATGGGGGGGGGCGGGATTTTTCCGGTAGAAGATCTAGTTTATAGCCCTTGTCTGTGACCAACCAGGCCTATTTTTCTTAAATATTATTGATTGGCTCGGGGATTCGAGAAAGTAATATACGCGTGGTGGCCGCCGCCGTTCATATCCAAGTGGGGAAACACACACGCACTAATTAGCGTAGACTGCCACCAACATCCTTGCTTTTTTAGTCGGAGTAGCAGTAGCTCGTGCCTAGTGGCGTGGTCATATTCAGGCACGGCCCGGCTTAATCTCCCTCAGTCCTTAACTAAAAGCTGCTGTCAGTTATGTTGTAGTTTCGTTTCTTGCCCATTCGCAAAGGCTAAGTTGTGTGGATACCACTTTTATACATACCTTGATTTCCCTGAAATCCTTTCCCCCGGACAGTATGTCCCGATAAAAAGAAATATGAATGCGGCTAACTAATGTCGTCTTAATTAATCTCCAGATAGCGTTGATATAGCACTAATGTACTGTCCTCGCTCGGTTATGTGTAATAAATTTCCGAACACAACGTTATGCATTGTATATCATCATTTTGTATTTGAAGCTACATCATTGGACGCAGCTAAATAATAATCCAGGAAATAATATATTTTATAAAGGGTCACCGACGGGATTAATATGGAAAAGAAAGACTAGGAGGGGTATATGCATAGCACACTATAAGCTTACCCATTTTGAGTAATAGCATGAGGTACTAGTACCTGTATACACAAGGATAGTTAATACACTCGTACTTTTGTATTGAATCCTCTATAATGCCATTGTGCCAGGAAAATATTTTTGTTTCTGCGCTCACCATGGCTTCAAATATCTTGGAAAGCGTCTCCTCCAGCATAGAGGACATCTCTGAGAGCCGCAGCATGCTTAGGATATTCAACCAGGTATGTCTACAATTGCACCAGATTTAGCTTCAGTTTGCTAACAGCATTGTCTATTTTCTAGGAAAGTCCATTTGCCAATCCACTCCTTGCCATATTCAATTCTGCGTCTTTTCAAATCGCAGTCCTCGCCTTATTGACGCTTCTTGTTTCGACTTATACGCTATCTTTATTCAACTTCATCCGGACTCGAAGCAGCCAGAGGCCCGGAAAGCCAGCACCAACCCTTCCATACTACCTCCCAGGACTATGCCATGCTTTCGGCCTAGAATGGAGCATGGCCAACTTCCTGGCTAACACGGTGTCAGTCCACTTAGTTACACGTAAGTCGTGATGTTACTAACAAATGCTCTAGTAAACGCTGGGGCTATCTGTCACCCATCGGAGTCCGCGCTGGATCCTTCAGACTCACAATGATTGTCAACCCAAGTCATATCAGAGCCATACTAAGGTCCTCTAAAACCCTGACGAACAGACCTATGATGGCTTTTGTCATGGAGAAATGGTTCTGCACGCCCAAGCAATCTTTGCACTTCTATGCTGCTCATGATCCCAGCGTCTCAACACCGGGAGAAAGGCCTGAGCATATGCATGATTTCCAAGTGAAGATCAGCCTCAAGTACTTGTCAGGAAAACACCTCCTAGCAATGTCGGAGAGATACCTTGCAATTCTCAAGAGCAGACTAGTGAAGCTCGAGATTCCAACTGACAGTTGGACAGAGATCTCGGATTTTTACGCATGGCTTCAGAGCCAGGTCACTCCCTCGGTTATTGAAGCCCTGATGGGTTCGCGAATTCTGGAAATATATCCTGACATCGTGGAGGACTTTTGGAAATTCGAGCATCAGGTCGCCAATTATTCCCGTGGCTTGCCTCGCTGGATGATTCCATCTGCATATAAAACTCGGGATCGTTTGCTGGCGAATATCAAAGCATGGAGTCAGCTTGCAAATCGCAAATCGGATTATACGCAGCATGGGGAAGAGGGGCCTGAGTGGGATGAATTCTTCGGGACTAAATTCATCAAAGCTCGTGAAGATTATTTGAGGAAGTATGGTATGGATGACGATGCAATCGCATCTGAGCACCTTGGCCTTCTTTTTGGGTGAGTACTTCTCATTTAAAGGGAAAGCTTCTCATTCTCAACTAAGAGACTCACAGATCTAATGCAAATACCGTCCCCGCTGTCTTCTGGTATATTTTTGAATCTTTCAAGGACTTGAAATTGCAAAAAAATATGAAGACCGAGCTCCAAGATTGTCTGAGTCCAGAAACTGGCAACTTGGATATTTCGAAGTTTTCCACTAAACCTCTGTTGCAATCCACTTACGCAGAGGTATTGCGTATCCGCGTCACAACCACCACGATACGCACAAATGAGGATGCCAACTTCAAGCTAGGACCAGATTACACTATTGGCAAAAACATGACAATGACAATATTCTCTTCGATTACGGCTTATAACAGACAAGCCTGGGGAGCCACAAGACCTGAGAGCGTTGTCAAGCCTCTGGATGAATTCTGGCCAGAGCGCTTTCTTGTTCGAAAGGACAAAAATGATACGAATTTTAGCCTTGAAGGTTTGACTGAATGTTGGATGCCTTACGGTGGAGGCCAACGTATGTGTCCTGGTCGTCATTTTGCTAAGAATGAAATCATTGGCACGCTGGGACTGCTCTTGGAATTGTTTGAATGTGAGCTGGTTGATGTTCAGCAAGCTGAACGGGTCAAGCCTGATACAAGATGGGTGCCATACGGAACGTTGCCACCTACGAAGAAGGTGGCCGTGAGACTTCGAAGACGCGCAGAATGAGGTTGTAATAGTGAATGTTGTGATTCGACTCCTTTTTATCAACGCCGTTTAGGGCCAATACAGACTCTTTATGATCTTCTTCTTCGTTTTGCAGAATATCTGTCTCGTCATGATGCGACCTGGCTAGTGTCTATTAGGTTAACACTATATTTAGGAGTTTCTCTGCGTCTAACAAGGAAACTATAATGGAAAAGGCCTCCACATCGCGAGATGCTTCCCGATTCATTACCATAGTCCCGTCTATACAAATCTTCACTTATCTTTAATCTAAAGACTCGCGATAGTATGTTATTGAAAAGCAGTGGTAGAGATAGGTTGGACTTTACATATTCAATCTCGTAGAACTCGATGATTAATATCGCAATCGGAGCTAAGTATGCAGTCACTTTAGTCACTTTACTATTGACTCATTCCCTACCTCTTCCCATCTCCTCTCAACTTCTAAATACACACAATAACCAAACTATCACCATGACTATCACATCACCATCAGAAAAACTGCCCTCCAACCCAACCGCCCTGCAACCAGCAGAAAGACACACCCAAGTCCCAATACCGACCCCGCCAACCACAAAACCACCCCAATACCCAAGATATCTCTACTTCGCCTACGGCTCCAACCTCTCGCCATCCCAAATGAAAACCCGCTGTCGCATAAACCCCACCCACTCCGCTACCCCACTAGCAATCGCAACCCTCCCACACTGGCGCTGGTTAATCTGCGAAGCGGGCTACGCAAACGTCCTCCCACCACCTGGTCTGCGCGTCCCAAATCAAGACTCCGAAACTGCGCACAAAATCCCCATTTCCGGGTCCGAGGACGCGGTCTACGGCGTTCTTTACCAGATGGATATTGGTGATGAGGGGATTCTGGATGGTTATGAGGGTGTTGATACATCTGCTGCTGGTGCGGGGGCTGGGGATGGTGTGCCTGTTTCTGTTAGGCCCCGGGTGCAGGGAGATGGGTCTTATAATAAGTGGTATGTTGAGGCGGATGTTGTGAAGTGGTTGGATGGGGCGGAGGGGGTTAGGGCGGGGCTTGAGGATGGGGAGGGGAAGGTGCCTGTATTGGTTTATGTTGATGAGAACTGTGTTAGGCTTTCTGAGCCCAAGTTGGAGTATATTGCGAGGATGAATCGGGCTATTCGGGAGTCTGTGGATTTGGGGGTTCCCGTGCAATGGGTGGAGGAGGTTATGAGGAAGTTCATTCCCGAGGAGTGAAGATTTAGAGTTGAAGATTGATAAGATGGATACATTTAGAAGTATACATATGTATAAATCATTGGTCACGTCAGGTTCAATTGCTAGGAAGCTACTCTATTAAAATAAGAAAATATAATTAGCCAGTCTATACACATATCAAGTTGCATTGATAAAAGCTAATTGTCTATATGGATATTATTCGGGCAGCTCTGCGCCAGCTGGGGCGGGTGCCGTCGACCAGCGACACGAGGCTCCAGACTCGAAGTTCGAGTGAATTGTTTGATTGGGCCCGGGGGGAGCGGATGGTAGACGCTCACCGCAAGATCGGGTGTGGTCGGGCTTTTGAAAGGATGGGGTCATTATAATCGGCAGTTGAGATCGTCGCAGAAAGAAATGATTTTTTTGAAGCGGTGTGTGTATAATTAAGCCTGGCCAGAGAGGAGAGTGTAAACCGGCGCGGGGAGCTTGTCGCGTCCGTGGAGGAACTCAAGCTCGAGGAGGAAGATGAAACCGAGGAGTTCGCCGCCCATCTTCTGGATCAGCTCACCACCGGCCTTGGCAGAGCCACCTAAAAATAGTTTATTAGTATCAAGTATCCACCGGGGAGATTCTTATCACATACCAGTAGCAATAATGTCATCAATGACGAGGACCTTCTGGCCGGGCTTGATTGAATCGGCCTGCATCTGGAAGAAATCCTGACCATACTCCTTCTCGTAGCCCTGGGTTTCACAAGGACCGGGGAGCTTGCCCTGCTTGCGCACGGGGACGAAGCTGGCACCCAGACGCAGCGCCAGACTGGGACCCATCAGGAAGCCACGGGCCTCAAGACCGACAATGACATCGGGCTTCTGGCCACCGTAGTTGGCGATGATGTGAAGTTCCAGAGAGCGGATCAGGGCCTCATGCAGAGAAGGATCGGCGAAGATGGGCAGGATATCCTCGAACAAAATTCCCGGAGAGGGGAAATCCGGGAACTGGCGCAGGGCGGCGCGCAGTCTTACCTTAAGACTGGCGAGTTCGGCGGTGCTGGTGGCATCGGAGGCGGGGAGTCCGACTTTGGAGGCATCTGGGAGAGTGGAGGACATTATGAGGAAGGAAGAGAGAAAAGAAGGGGAAGAGGAGAAGGCTTGGAGGTAAAGGGTAAAAAAAGAAAATCCAAAAAATCTTTAAGAGGGGGAAAAAAATAGGAAATGGTAAAATTACAGATAAGCAGATAATGGGTTTCTTGCCCCTCAGGTCTAGACTAGATCCTTACTTGTTTTTTTTTTTTACCTTTTGGGATATTTTATATACATATTTCATATTATATACTGTATTTATATATACAAATATATACCAATATACTTTGTATATATCGAGTATTCAATATATGTTCTTATATCTTATATACGTTGGTACATATCAGGTTCTATACTCCCCAGGTACTCCAGGGTATACAAAATCAGCGGTCAGATCCCGCCACTAAGGTAAAAAAAATACTCAAATACTGCGGTCACGCAATTGCATATTCTTCTAGAACACATGTAAAACTATACTCCGTACTTACTACGGAGTACTAGTCTACTTACTACACTTACTATACTCGTACGGTGTACAAAGAGTTTAGATATGGCCTAACCCAGGTCGGATCTGCGAGACCCTAATTGACCAGCCCCCAAACTTAGTGCTCAGTCCCCTCGTCGTCAGGGACGAATTGTGTCGCAAAACTGATACTCCTTCGTCATCACTGACACTTGTGTTCCAATTCCCCAGAAGCCTAGACCGTTGGACTACCTGGGGTTTATGGTTACTTTTGAGAGGTCCAGAGGACAACAGGCGAAACCCGAAACTAAAACTAAAACTACCAGATCAAGGGATCATCATAAATGACTCACCCTGGAGTTTGTCCAGACCGGAGATTTAGAATCGCATTGGATCAGACCATCGCAACGGATATGCGCCGTATGGCCGAGCCTTGACAAATCGTACAGCCATTACACCTAGCCCCGACCAATGGAATGTCTCAATCCCCGACGTGATCTGAAATTCATCACAGTGGCTTTACTGGAAACAGACATGCGTGCTGCATACCGACATGTCTGTTGTGCAGATGGTGGGGGGATTTGTCCGTTGTCTGTGTAATCGCATAATAATCCGCCCCTCATTTGGGGAACGGGAACAAAAGTACGAAGTAAAATAAAACACTAACCAAGATAACTAACCAGGATAAACAAGGGAAAGGGATAATCAGCTGCAGATCATAGTTCGGAAAAAAACAATAGAAAGAGCAAAAAAAAGAAATCTCAGGTTTGGTTTTTAGGAATAGCCGAACGCGGGGGTCGAACCCGCAGCCTTAAGATTAAGAGTCTTACGCTCTACCGATTGAGCTAGCCCGGCTGGGCTGTTGAAAGAGGCTGCAATATAGTGCTACATAAGCCAAAAATAGTGAACCCTAAATTAATAGAGCTAAGTACTCCGAAGTGGTGGTTGGATTAAATTTCAATTATTGTATAATATAATATTCTATGACTATTATCGCTTCTGTTATCATCTATCTGTCTTTATTGTTGATGTCTCCCTGCATAACATATATATATATTTTGCCTTAGATTGCTCAGTGCACAAGATATATATACCAACCTCCGATTGACGAGCGTCGACTTTCCGAAATTGGAAGTATGGGCATTGGTTCACACCATATACTAGCCAGAAACGGGAGTAAATTCCGAAAAACCAACAAAATAATCATATGTTCTTTGAAGTAATCTCACTTAGGGTGTGCAGATTGACTGTACTGACTCATTGTCTCACTTATACTTTACTTGACACTATAAACTCCATCATTCGTGCTACTAGTACGACTTAACCTATATGTACCTGCATATACCTGCATATAGACACTCTATTCAATGTAAAAATGTAGATCTATGAACCCCCATTTTGTACATCGAAGTATACTCGGCCTCGGCCCAAGCCTAAAACGGGATAGCCCCTCACATGATCAGCACAGACCACCTCGCTTCAAGTTTTTCCGCCCATCGCTATAAATCCGCTTGTTTTCCTCTTTTCCATCTCTCATACTTTTGGAGTTTGAGAGCCTCAACAGGCCACTTCCATCTCAGATGAATTCTTTCTGATACCCCTGTAATACATTTTCTCATGTCACCTGCCGTGATTGCCGAGATGCAGCCGGATCTGCATCACGACCAGGTCGAAGCCGTGGGCAAAGCCTTCGATGCACTCCTACTAACCGTGTACCGGCTGACTCACAGACAAAATGAGCTGTTTCAGCACATGGACAATGTCTTCAAAGAGGTAAATACACACCCTTCTCTCTTTCCCTCTGCTTCCGCATCCTGGTCTCGCATGACGAAGAAAAGCTCTAGATCAGGAGTCACTTTTGTGGCGATGACGGATTAACATGTATTATCTGATTGAGACCATGATTGCCTTGCTGTTATGCATTTGACAAGATGAACATTGCTAACTTTGTATCTTGCAGTACACAGATGTTATAGAAATTCTGCCTCCTCAAGATAGACATCGTGCATTTGACGTTCAAAACAAGCTACTCGCGCAGCAAGAAGAATACCGTCAGGGCCTCGTACACAGCAAGCCTCGAGTTGAGGAACAACCGTTGAATTCCATGGATGTAATCAAGACCCTCGTTGCACATCAAAATGTAGACGAAAATACTTTCTCGGCCATCAAGAAGGGAGTGAAAGGGTGCAAATCTCTGCTCCGTTCTCAAGATAGCCTCTCCCAAATATCCTCCAACTCGTGCATCCTCGCGCAAGCACCGGCTCCAGCAATCG